CATGTGGCAGAATAAAGCAGCCATCTTAGATCCCTGGAGCAGGCTTTGCCATCTTCTCTGCCAGCTTAAAGCATTGGTACATGGGTTGTGTGCTCAGGCAAGAACCAGTAAATCTCAGCTTCCCAGAGCTGTGTTGATTGGAGATGTAGAAGACCTGCCTCAAAAAAGACAACAAGGCATGGGACATGTTCTTGGACTTGGAACAGGCATCTGAGAAAGGTCATGGAAGGCATTGGTCAGAAACCAAAGAAGAGATATAGTGTTAGCCAGTTTGGTGTAATGGTTAAGGTGCAGGCCTAGAAACCAGGAGATGGTGAGTTCTAGTCCTGTCTTAGGCATGAAAGACAGCAGGGTGATCTTGGACCAATTGCTAGGAGATCATGAGTTCTAGTCCCGCCTTAGGCATGAAAGCCAGCAGGGTGATCTTGGACCCACTAGGAGACTAAGGTGGGACTAGAACTCACTAGGAGACAGTGAATTCTAGTCCCACCTTAGCCATGACAACTAACTGGATGATTTTGGGCCAATCTCTCTCTCTCTCAACCCAACCCATTTCATAGAATTGTTGTTATGGGGAAAATAAGAGAAAGGAGTATTAGGTATGCTCGCTGTCTTGAGTTATAAAGTAATAAAGGAAAGATAAAAACCTAATAAATAAAATAAGAGTTCAGATGTTGCCTAGACTGAATTATATTTCAGTGGGAAAACAGCAAAGCTGGGCTCACGTTGGCACAAGTTAGAAAAACACCTATTCTGAAATGGAAAAGGAAAGCAGTGTGTGGAGAATACAATATTCTTCATTTAAGTCTCTCAGTATAATTGGTGAACTATTGCTCATCCATTCGTAGCGGGTCAATCTACCACCTGTTTCATTTGTCCAATCTATAAAACAATAGATTTATTTTGACCCACTGGAAAAAAAATTGGAATGATATAAGTTGTCCTTTTAAGAGGATCATGTTTTGAGAAGAGCTGATCAGTAATTTCTTGTACGTACCATTTGTACTTTTGGGGCATTGTCAGAGACATCCACAAGGATTTAATCGGCTTCATGCTTCGATTAAACAAAAGAATACAATTAATGCTGTTTCTCCTTGGAAATCACTTTTGAACTTTGTGCTTGCGGCGGAAACAAAATGAAACTTTGATTTGGGGTTTTGTTGAACACAGTAGATAGGTTTGTTGTTGTAGAAATGGTTAGCATGTATTATGGAAAAGAAAAAAAATTAGAGGTTGTATGTTATTACCTTATTCTACTGCACCAAAATGAGTCGGAAGCCAAAGCTTGTCTTTTTCTCCTCTCCTTTACTGCACACTTTCTCCTCTTCCTCTTTTCCTCCCATATTTTCCTACTGTTTTCATTTTTCTTTGTCTTTCTGTATTTTATACTTTGATAAACCAATAAAAAAATATGAAGGCAGAAAGATTTAATGCAGTGATGGCGAACCTTTTAGAGACCGAGTGCCCAAACTGCAACCCAAAACCCACTGATGCATCGTCAAGTGCCAGGTGGATGGGGCCCATTGGCTGGGTGTGGCCCATTGAGTGGGTGTGGCCCATTGGGTGGGCGTGGCCCATTGGATGGGCATGGCCCATTGGGTGGGCGTGGCTGCAGTGGTAATGGCAGACTGGGTGGGACTAAAAAGTTCAATCAATCAATTCCAACTTTGCAAGATCTTTTTTTTTTCCCGCGAGAAGTTGAAATTGACTGATTGATTGAACCTTTTTTTTTTTTTGCACACAGCGGCGGAGGCCTAAAGCGAAAAGGTTTTGTAAAACCCAGCTGAAGGCCTAGGACTGGGCCGACGGCATGCGTGCCCACAGAGAGGGCTCTGAGTGCCGCCCCTGGCACCCGCGCCATAGCTTCGTCACCACTGATTTAATGGGTCTCATGGATGATCATGAGGGATATTCTGAGCCAGGGGGTGTCCACACAGATGGGTAAAAAAAAAAGGCAAGATGGCAGCGCAACCGTGGGATCAAAGCCCTGCCCTTTTTGGAGAGGTCTTCAATTGCACGATGGAGAGTGGCATGTTTTCCTTAACGCCCTTCTTGCGGACATCCATGCTTGAAGCTGAAAATGGGCTGAGATGTAATTTTAACCAGGAAAGAACACTTGGAAGGTATTCTAATGAAAAATGACATTTTTCATTAGGCAGCAGTTGCTGTGATACATTAATTACTTCAAAGCATACGAATCCATTTCAAGTTGTTCAAAGTTACACAGCGAGTGAAAAATTAAGTGAAGAGGAAAATTGCTACGAATACCTGATTGGCTACATGACTTAAGCAGCAAAAGAGCAGTGTTCCAATTTCTAAGGGGCTGCCACAAAGAAGGGGGGGGGTCATCAACCTATTTTCCAAAGCCCCTGAAGGCAGGACAAAGAAGCAGTGGATGGGAACTAATCAAGGAGAGAAGCAACCTAGAACTAAGGAGAAACTTCCTGACAGTTAGAACAATTAACCAGTGGAACAACCTGCCTCCAGAAGTGGTAAATGCTCCAACACCGGAAGTTTTTAAGAAGAGACTGGACAGCCATTTGTCTGAAATGGTATAAGGTCTCCTGCTTGAGCAGGAGGTTGCACTAGAAGACCTCCAAGGTCCCTGCCAACTGAGTTATCCTGTTATTCAGTGCTATTCTGTCCTTCCGAGGCATATATAGTTTTCAACGTTGTCAGATTTTCTTCTGAATAACATACATAGGTTAGACTGGGATCCTATGTCTCCTTTCCTTGGAGTAAATGTCCTGCAAAGCCGCGAGCTTATTTCTGAAGCAGGTGGGCACAAAATTCTACGGTAAGGTTGAGGTTTACACGGTTTTCAATTTTCCAGTTTTCTGCGTGTTTCGTGCTGAGATGACTAACTACAACTCCCTAAAGTCATTGCTTGCCCCCAAGGCCACTCCAGCTTTTGCTGCCAAATTATAATTGTTAATGTGACAGAAACTGGAAATGATTAAAGACATGCTGTTCAATCGTTTGGATGATGTTTCATTCACTGAATCTTGATCCTGGTCTCCCCCAGGCCAAGGATTAAAGTCAGCAGTCAATCCTAATAGAATTAAATTCTGCTGAATTCCTCTGGACATCTTCTGGATCACCGTTTCTCGGCTTGAAGATGGGGGGACTTCAACTCCCAGAATTCCTCTTAGACAGTCTGGACTTCAACTCCCAGAATTCCTCTTAGACAGTCTGGACTTCAACTCCCAGAATTGCCCCACCAGCATTCTGGTGGGGCAATTCTGGGAGCTGAAGTCCATTCATCTTAAAATTGCCAAGTGATCTTGATCTTTCATATGGAGTGTTTACATTTGCTAGCCTTTCCAGCTTGCAAACTATCTGAGGAGAGAGATAAGATAATGACTGGATTAGCAATTGAAGCTACAGGCATTCCTTGACTTTCAACCATTCCTCTAGTGACTGTCTGAAGTTACAAAGGCACTCCAAAAGGGAGTTAGGACCGTTTTCCACACCTACGACCATTGCAGCATCCTCAGGGTCACGTAATCAGGATTCGGCCGCTTGGCAATTGGCTCATATTGATGACGGTTGCCGTGTCCCAGAGTCATGTGATCCCCTTTTGCGAACTCTTGACCAGCAAAGTCAATGGGGGAAGCCGGATTCACTTAACAACCGTGTTACTAATTAAACAAACTGCAGTGGGTCACTGCTTTGGCAATAAAGGTCGTAAAATAGGACAAAACTCACTTAACAACTGTCTTGCTTACCAATGGAGATTTTGACTCACTTGTGGTCATAAGGCAAGGACTACATGTGGTTCTCCTGTAGATGGGGGGGGCACCCTTTATGCTTCTCCCTAGCGGGGTGGGTGGGTAGAAGGCTGAGTCAGGAAGTTTGGGGCAGATTTGGGGCACCCAGATCCTTTGTCCAATTCTACCATCTCCAGCATCTGCGGCCCCCCAAATGCCCTAATGATTTTAATATCATTGTTGTTAGTTGCGAAGTCGTGTCCGACCCATCGCGACCCCATGGACCACATTCCTCCAGGCCTTCCTGTCCTCTGCCATCTTTTGGAGTCCATTTAAGCTCACGCCTACTGCTTCAGTGACTCCATCCAGCCACCTCATTCTCTGTCGTCCCCTTCTTCTCTTGCCCTCCATCTTTCCCAGCATTAGGCCCTTCTCCAGTGAGTCCTTCCTTCTCATTAGGTGGCCAAAGGACTTGAGTTTCAACTTCAGGATCTGGCTGCCTAAAGAGCAATTAGGGTTGGTCTCCTCTAGGACTGACCGGTTTGATCGCCTTGCAGTCCAGGGGACTCGCAGGAGTCTTCTCCAGCACCATAGTTTGAAAGCCTCAATTCTTTGGCGCTCAGCCTTTCTTATGGTCCAACTTTCACAGCCTTACATTGCAACTGGGAAAACCATGGCCTGGACTATACGTACTTTTGTTGGCAGGGTGACGTCTCTGCTTTTTAATATGCTGTCTAGATTTGCCATAACTTTCCTCCCCAGGAGCAAGTGTCTTTTAATTTCTTGGCTGCAGTCCCCATCTGCAGTGATCTTGGAGCCCAGGAAGATACTTTCTCTCAAACCTGCTGTTGAACTGATGAAAGGTAAATATTTTTATTTCCTTTTATCCAGCCAGTAAAGATCTTCCCATTTCCACCCCCCTCCCATCCCCCTGGTTGCTATCCAGATCAGAATCTGCCTCTTGTGATTTATAAATGTCACCGCACAGTTATTGAAAGGCACCTGGAAAGAAGGACAGGCTAAATTGTTGTCCCTGAATGTCACATTCCAGGAAGAAATGATGGATCCCTAAGGCAACCATTAGCAATTAAAAAGCAAGACACCCACATAACAAAGCAACAGATTTACAGGGGATTCAGCAGCAGACCTTATTCCAAACAGTAGATAAAAATTATGGTGTGTGTGTGTGTGTGTGTGTGTGTGTGTGTGTGTGTGTGTTTCTCTCCTCCAGCTGTTCCTTTCTGCTATCCACTGCCTTCCTCATTCACTTTTGGTTATCTTTTGTTACAGCAGCAGCCGGTCCTCAGAAAGGGAGGCAGATCCTGTGCAGCGATTTTCGTGCGATTCAGAAAAACTGCCTTTTTTCTTTTTTATTCCTCTCTAAAAATTTTCTTGTATCAGAAGTTTGATTTTAAAGGAAGTTTGAAGTTAAGCCAAGGCTCTGGATTGTCCACGTCGGATTCTTCAAAGCATCTAAAGGCAGGACAAGAAGCAAAGGGTAGAAGATCACCAAAGAGAGAAGCAACCTAGAACTAAGGAGAAATTTCCTGACAGTGAGAACAATTCACCAATGGAAGAGCTTGCCTCCAGAACTTGTGGGTGCTCCACCACTGGAGGTTTTAAAGAAGAGACTGGACAGCCATTTGTCAAAAATGGTACAGGCTGGACTATTAGATGACCTCCAAAGTCCCTTCCAACTCTACTATTCATTGTTAGATGTCTCTTTTTGGACCCCTGTAAGAATTCACTGCTCTGAACTTTTATGATTCAAACACTTATTTTAGGCAATGTTTTAAGAAGCACCACACCAATATGCAGGAGAAACGCCTACAATGGTATGGCCGTATTCTACAAACAGCATCCCACACCGTTACCTCTATCGCTTTCATAGAATATGTGGCCAAGTGTGATTAAACACACAAGGAACTTTGAGTCCGGTGCCAAAGCTCTCAGCGTGCATGCAAAGCAACGGAGTAATAATGATCATAATAATGATACCAATAAGAGGGGGCAGTAGAGAAGATGATAACAATAATATGACAGCCGTACAACATTTCGAAAGCTCTGCAGAATGCAGGAGACCAAACGGAAGCGAAGGGGGGAGCACTTCCAATAAAAGACCAACAACCTATATATTATATTAGACATGACAGTACAGTGAGAATTAGGTGCTCAGCAGAGTGATGGCAGGAAGGAACAAAAAACTGTCTTTGTGTCTAGTTGTTTTGGCATGCATTGCCCTGTAGCGCTGTCCTGAGGTGAGGAGTTGAAACAATTTATATCTAGGATGTGAGGGGTCTGCAGGGGGTCTTCTCAGTCCTCCTTCTGACCCATGCAATGTACAGGTTCCTTCCACTTTAATATAGTTATTTAGTTACACGATCTACACAAATTGACATCAGAGGAATGTGTTATCTCTCTATTTCGAAAGCTCTGCAAAATGCAGGGAACCAAACAGAAGCTAAGGGGGGGAACGCTTCCAATAAAAGGCCAACAACCTATATATTATATTAGCAGAACTGCCAGGAAGTAAAATTGCTTCATCCATCACAGTTCCTTCGCTAGCCAAAGGTTGAGTAAATAGAGATGGTCAAGGGAATCTGCCAATGCTTTAAGCTTTTATTTTATATCTTTTGTGAAACAATAATGAAACACAGCAACAGAGAGGTAGTAGAGTTGAAGGATATGAATGGGCACGGACTCACTAGAATGGGCTTCATGTGTGGACTTCATGTGTGGGCTTTTGGAATTGTGGGGGCTGAAGTCCACACGTCTTCAAGTTTCCAAGGTTGAGAAACACTGTTCTATGTGTCCTAAAATGGCCCCTCAAACTCTTTTGGATGTGTTGGAGGATATGCCCATCATGGTATAATCTTCACTGTTCTCTGAGCTTGATTGTTTGCAGACAGACATTTTATTACCCAACTAGGTAATATCATCAGTGCTAGAAAGGAGAGGGGGCTTGCTCCTGTTTATATGCAATAGCTTGCCCTGCCAATGTTGATGGAGGTGTGGTTTCTCTTTGATTGTCCTTTGATTGGAGTACTGTTTCCTCCTTGATTGTTTGTCTCCTTGGTAGTTCATCGATTAGATTGTTAGAGATGACCATCAGCCAGCAAAAGCTCTAGGTGGGAAGTGTAGTCCAGTGCACGGGGCAAAGGAACACCTTCTTTAGGTAGTGGAACTTGGAAATGATGTTCACTGTCTTCTTAAGGTAGAGCTTATTTACATTTAAGTGTCCCTGCAGATTGGTCTTTCAGTGTCGTACATACATTTGTCCCTTGAACAGCATCCACACAGAGAACCGGTTGTTCACATATTTGAATCCCACCACTGGATGTAGAACAGGCATCTAATTACTATCTTGTACCCAAAATTGCAGCCCGGTCATTACTTTGTCTGCTGCTTGATGAATTGATGTCCTCATCTGATTAAGAAATAATTGAATTGGAACATTTAATCACTGAAGTCTCTATTGAATGTTTCTTGCCTATGTGGACATGTCTGGATCAATGAGATGACCATGGATTCGTAGTCATGAGCCCCCTTGGTTCTATCTCCCTTCTAGTAGAACATAACCTTCCTTGCACTTTGTCTTCACAAATCATCTTTCAGGAAGACTGAAACATTTGTCTGCCAAATAACTTATTTTATTTTCTAATTTCTGGCAAAAAATGGTGTAATTCACGATCATCTAACCATGGGCTGTGGCAAAGTGTTGTAAATGAAGGGCAGTCGCAGACTGCTCAAAATGCATGTCATATGAGCATGGGGGTGGGGGGCACTTCAAAACCAGGTTGTAATTCCCATTTTCAGAGACTTTTGTAACTTTGAATGGTCATTAAAGGATAAGTTGTAAGTCGAGGACTCCCTGTATGTGGTGACAGCACTTTTATATGTACAGAGATGGAAAGACTCACAAATTCCCACAATGGAAGAAAGGATGGTGAAGTTAATGGAGTTGGCAGAAATGGGGAAATTGTGTGCTGTCCCACCTACCCACCCACAAACACATATACACACACACCACGGGTCTAAGGAGTCTTCCCAGCCTGAACTGGTATTCCCCAGCATCTTCTCCATCTGTCTGCTATGCTAAGTAGTCAACTTCTAGTGAAGCCCATTAAGAAGGGCAAGGCTGCCTCTTTGTGAGTAATCTCTCTGACCTTCACTGCTTCTCCCTTTTCTCTGCCCTATGTGTTCTTGGATCAGGGGCAGAAGGCTGTTCCTCTTTCTCATTGCTGACTGGCTGTAGCCATATGCTTTCCCTGTCCTGCTGCAGCTGTGTTTCAGCCAAATTACTGCTGGGAGACATTGACCAACTCCCTTCCTGAGGTGCCCAGAACTGGTTCATCCTCCTCCAAGCTGACATCTGGAGAGGTATCTTGGAAAGCCTCCAGGGGAGTCATCACAAATTGATTGCTCTGATTAAAAATGAAAAGACTTTGTCTAGTTTTGTTTTACTTGGAAATCAGTTTCAGTTTCTGTTTGAAACCAAAAGAAATGAAATTTTAACTCTGGGATTTGACTATTAGAATTGTGTAGAATTGTGTAGAATTATAAAAGTGTTATAGTTAATCATAAAACAAAAGGTTACTGCATTTATACTTCTAACCAAAGAAAGTCAGAAGTTATTCTTTTCTATATGTTTCTTCCTTTCTTCTGCACTCCCAATTTTATCTTTTCCTTGACCCCTTTTTTCCCATTAAATTTTTTTTCTGTTTCCTTATATTTTATCTTCTTTGAAACTTAATAAGGTTTTCAAAAAAAATAATAATTGAAAAGGATATACAAACAAAAAAACCAAGAGAGTAGCCTTAAATCAGGGCTTTTCAACCGGTGATACGTGTACCACCTGTGGTATTTTGGCATATGCCAGGTAGTATGTGACCATCCTAGAGAAGTGTAGCGGGGGAGGGGAATGAGCTGAAGTGACCCAACCCTGAGGGAGATGCAGCTGCATAACTGTCTGGGCTCAGCAGAAGCCCCAGGAGCCGGCAGGGCTCCAGCTGATTGGCTCCAATTGATTGGCACTTCTGGAAGCAGCGCGGAGGTGGCTTTGGCGGGAAAGGGAAAAAAAAAGTCAGGGAAAGAGAAGGGGATGGAGAAGAAGCTATGGAAGGAAAGCTGAGCAGGCATGGAGGAAAAAGAGACAGGGAAGAAGCAGTAGGTCTCCTAGTTCGTTTTCTCCAGCCAGGAGAATGCAATCAACGCTGATGAAATGAAAAGCCAGGAGATGAGCATGTCAGAAAGGAGGTTGGTTTATTTAGTTCTTGGATCAGCTGGCAGCTTGATTGGGTTACCATAAGGATTTTTGTGCAGTTTGTACAGCGTTTTGTAATTTAGAGGGTCGGTTTGTGTGCTTTGGTTATTGGAATATTTTAATCTGTTTCACAAAGGCTAGCAATGAGTCCAAAGTGTTGAGTTCTGTAGGTTTAATCCCTTTAAACAAATGTTAGTTTTACCCCCTTATTTTGAGTCTATCTATGGCTTTTAGAAAGTTTTCTTTGAAGGTAAACAGGCTTAATTTAAGGCTAAAGCTTTTCGCAATTGCTGGAGCCTTTCAGTCTCAGGTTGCAACACTGTGACACGTGACATGCCCGAGGCAGCTTAAAGAAAAAACCACGGAGTTTAGTGTTTATTCTGGGAGGCTTTTGTGAGCCTTTCTTGCTTTGCATTTGATTCCTCTGTTGCAGCAGAAGGAAGCATTGACATTGAACCTCAACGTTTTTACTTTTCCATAAAATTATAAACTAGCTATTTCTATAACAACGGAGGAATCTAATCAATAAAACCCAAAATTCCCCCCTTCCTTTTTTTTAGTCAAGTTTTTGACACCTTGCTAAGCATTGGTGGTACTCAAATACTGTCATGTGTGAAAAGTGGTACAATCTGTGAAAAGGTTGAAAAGCCCTGACCTAGATATTTTTCCTCTATTGGGTTTACAAAGGAGGCTTGTTAAAGGTTTGAAGATTTTTATGAGTAGGGACAAAGGAAAAAAATGAAATTAACTTCTATGATCCCTTGTTTGAAGGGACTAACAAAAGATCAAGAAAGGAAGACAAAGAGTGCTTGCAACTCTTCTAAGGCTTCTCAGAAATGGTCTTAGAAATGATGGCCCCTTTCCCCACTTACTTAAGTGCGTGAAGTTGCTTTGCAGCCTTTGAAGTTACTGTGTGCTCAAAAGCTTGCCTAAATCAAGAATACGTGAAGTATTAGTACCGCTTTATAAAACCCTAGTGAGACCACACCTGGAATACTGCAACCAACTGTGGTTACCATATCACAAAAAAAGATGTTGAGACCTTGGAAAAAGTTCAGAGAAGAGCAACTAAAATGATCAAAGACCTGGAGACTAAAACATATGAAGAACGGCTGCAGGACTTGGGTTTGGCTAGTCTAAAAAAAAGAAGAAACAAGGGAGACATGATAGCAGCATTCCAGTATTTGAGGGGCTGCCACAAAGAAGAGGGGATCAACTATTCTCCAAAGCACCAGAGGACAGGACGAGAAACAACGGTTGGAAACTGACCAACGAGAGAAGCAACCTGGAATTAAGGAGAAACTTCCTGACAGTGAGGACAATTAACTAGTGGAATGGCTTGCCTTCATACATTGTGGGTGCTCCATTACTGGAGGCTTTTAAGAAGAGACTGGACAGCCACTTGTCTGAAATGGTATAGGTTCTCCTGCTTCAGCAGGGGGCTGGACTAGAAGACCTCCAAGGTCCCTTCCAACCCTATTATTGGCTGAGGAATTCTGGGAGTTGAAGTCCACAACTCTTAGAGTGGCCAAGATTGGAGACCCCTGTTCTATATTATTCTATAATCTAGATGAAGACTCTAAATCACAGCGAATTTGATAGTAGATTAAAACCAGTAGATTTTGATTGCACCTTGAGGCCTGCAAGATGGAGCAAATGTTGGACAATTGATGGAAGTGGACAATGGTGGCGATGTGGCACTATTTCTAGGGATCATTGTTCATCGCCACTCGTGTGTGTTGTGCTTTTTGGGATAGTTCCTCAAAGACCTATTTTGATCAGAGAAGCTGCTGGCAAAAAAAGAAACTAAATTCTTCTTGCAGGGAACAAGCCTCCTCACAGCTTTACAGAAAGCTAATGTTATTGAATGTTTTCTTCTTCCAACAATTCCCCCCTTTGAAAATGTCCCTGCCACCCACCAATTCTTGTATCTTGGGGCACTGCAGTCTACCAGCTATCCATGGTACATAGATATACATTTTCAGTTCGTGATCTGTTGTTTTGACAGCTAGACCAGTGGTGGCAAACCTATGGCACGAGTGCCAGAGGCAGTACTCAGAGCCCTCTCTGTGGGCACATGTGCTGTCACCCCAGTCTTAGGCCTTCAGCTGGGTTTTATAAAACCTTTTCGCTTTAGGCTCCACCGCCATGTGCAAAAAAAAAAAAAGGTTCAATCAATCAGTCAATTTCAACTTCTCGTGGGAAAAAAAAGATCTTGCAAAGTTGGAATTGACCGATTGAACTTTTTAGTCCCACTCAGTCTGCTGTTACCACCACAGCCACGCCCAACCAATGGGCCACACCCACCCGGCACTCGACAATGCATAAGTGGGTTTTGGGTTGCAGTTTGGGCACTCGGTCTCTTAAAGGTTTGCCATCACTGAGCTAGACTCTGTGCCACAAACAGAAAGATAGACTAATGACAGTGATGGCGAACCTTTTAGAGACCGAGTGCCCAAACTGCAACCCAAAACCCACTTATGCATCATCGGGTGTCGGGTGGGTGTGGCCCATTGGCTGGGTGTGGCCCATTGGGTGGGCGTGGCTGCGGTGGTAACGGCAGGCTGGGTGGGACTAAAAACTTCAATCAATCAATTCCAAGTTTGCAAGATCTTTTTTTCCCGTGAGAAGTTGAAATTAACTGATTGATTGAATCTTTTTTTTTTTTTTTTTTTTTGCATATGGTGGCAGAGGCCTAAAGCGAAAAGGTTTTATAAAACCCAGCTGAAGGCCTAGGACTGGGGCGACGGCACACGTGCCCACAGAGAGGGCTCTGAGTGCCGCCTCTGGCACCTGTGCCATGGGTTCACCACCACTGGATTATGAGATATTCCAAATACGTTATTTAACTGACGACAATCTGCATTTTTGCCATTCTGTTACTAAAATTTTCTGTGCGCGATGGAAAAAGTTTGAGCGTTTTTTGCACGTTTTTGTACCTTTTGCTCCCTTTATGGCTTATATTGACACATGTCATTCTTGCTTTTATTTTTTTTTTAAATTAAAAGGACACCTGTTCTATCCAATGCTCATAGGGAAATCGATCCACCACCAGCTGTCCTTTTTTTACCCCAGTATTTTAACAGGTTGAAAACGGAGGAAAAAGTGTTTTCTCTTGTTTAATTTAGCCCATGCTTTTAATTGAGGTGGCTGTTTTTCTCCAGAGGTTTTTATTTCCTCATATTAATCCCATTCTGGACTTTGCACTTTCAATTGCTCCTGTTCTAGCTGGCTCCTTTAGTGTGCACAAATTCAATTAGTTAAACCTGGCCTTAGTGAATTTGTGCTATTAGAAGTGATTTCCAAGATTCAGGGAGTTTAAGTAATGTCTCCAGTGGTCTGGGCTCACTTACTTTTCATTACTTACAACAGTAATGAAAAATAAAGGCATTTAGAGAGGTTGCTGTCAAACTTGAGCTAGGACTAGAACTCACTGACTCCTAGATATTGGCCCAAAGTTGCCCACCCAGCTCATCCCTTAGGTGGGACTAGAACTCCCAGCCTCCTGATTGATTGGTCCAAAGTCACCCAGTCAGCTTTCATGGCTAAGGCAGGACTAGAACTCCCAGTCTTCTGGTTGATTGGCCCAAAGTCACCCAGTCAGCTTTCATGGCTAAGGCAGGACTAGAACTCCCAGCCTCCTGGTGATTGGCCCATAGTCACCCAGTCAGCTTTCATGGCTAAGGCAGGACTAGAACTCCCAGCCTCCTGGTGATTGGCCTAAAGTCCCCGAGTCAGCTTTCATGGCTAAGGCAGGACTAGAACTCCCAGTCTTCTGGTTGATTGGCCCAAAGTCCCCGAGTCAACTTTCATGGCTAAGGCAGGACTAGAACTCCCAGCCTCCTGGTTGATTGGCCCAAAGTCACCCAGTCAGTTTTCATGGCTAAGGCAGGACTAGAACTCCCAGCCTCCTGGTTGATTGGCCCAAAGTCACCCAGTCAGCTTCCATGGCTAAGGCAGGACTAGAACTCACCAGCTCCTTGTGGTTGGTCCAAGTTCACCCTGCTGGCTTATATGCATAAGGGAGGCAGGCAGCTCTTTCTCCTGCCTCCCAAGGTCATTCCTACCCACCACTACAGATTATACGCTATTTAAATCTTTGCATCCCAGTTCAGGTAGTGCCTACAGTTATACTTCATCAGCCTCCTGATTACAGTTGGAGCAGATGGTGTGTCATTATAATGCAATATAATGCAACCATAAGCCTGAAAGAGACAAAGCTTTACCTTCCACAGCCCTTTTGCTGAACAGATTGAATCATAGTTGGGAGAAAATGTCATTACTTTGTCACGCAAATCCATAGAAATATGATAGGGATGCTAGTTGTTTAAGAATGTTGCTTCAGCAAGTGCATCTGTCACAGGGATGGGTAATTCCAGTGCTGGGATTCAGCTGGTTCGCAACACTTCGGCAGAACCGGTAGCTAATTTTTTGTTGCCCAGGCCCAGTATGGACTTCTGGAAGCAGTATCCATACACAATTGTTCACATATTTGAATCCCACCACTCCTTCCTTCCTTCCTTCCTTCCTTCCTTCCTTCCTTCCTTCCTTCCTTCCTTCCTTCCTTTGGTGGGATTCAGCCAGTTCGCACCACTTCAGCAGAACCGGTAGCTAATTTTTTGTTGCCTGGGCCCAGAATGGACTTCCAGAAACGGCATCCACATAGAGAACCGGTTGTTCACATGGTGAAAAAAGTAAGGTTTCAATGGTGAAAAAAGTAAGGTTCTACATTTAGGCAAGAAAAAACAAATGAACAAGTATAGTATAGGGGGTACCTTGCTCAATAGTAGTAACTGTGAGAGGGATCTCAGTCCTAGTGGACAATCATTTAAATATGAGACAGCAGTGTGCTGCAGCTGCCAAAAAAGCCAACACAGTGCTGGGCTGCATCAACAGAGGAATAGAATCAAGATCATGTGAAGTATTAATAGCATTTTACAATGCCTTGGTAAGGCCACACTTGGAATGCTGCATCCAATTTTGGTCACCACAATGTAAAAAAGATGTTGAGACTCTAGAAAGAGTACAGAGAAGGGCAACAAAGATGATTAGGGGACTGGAGGCTAAAACATATAAGGAACGGTCGCTGGAATTGGGTATGTCTAGTTTAACGAAGAGAAGGACGATGGGGGGGACATGATAGCAGTGTTCCAATGTCTCAGGGGCTGCCCCAAAGAAGAGGGAGTCAAGCTATTTTCCAAAGCGCCTGAAGGCAGGACAAGAAGCAATGGATGGAAACTAACCAAGGAGAGAAGCAACGTAGAACTAAGGAGAAACTTCCTGACAGTTAGAACAATTAACCAGTGGAACAACCTGCCTCCAGAAGCAGTGAATGCTCCAGCACTGGACGTTTTTAAGAAGAAACTGGACAGCCATTTGTCCGAAATGGTATAGGGTTCCCTGCCTGAGCAGGGGGTTGGACTAGATGACCTCCAAGGTACCTTCCAAGTTTATTATTATTATTATTATTATTATTATTATTATTATTATTATTATTATTATATTATTATTTGAATCCCACCACTGGGTAATTCTATACAGTACAAGCCTCTCTGTATATTACTAATTATAGGCTAGAGGGCATATAATTTTGCTAATACAGGGGAAAGAAGAATGGAAGGACTGTCCCTCCCATTTATATATACTTCCTTGCCAGCCGTAAACATTTAGTAAGTGATCCAAAGGAAGTGAAATTATCGCTTCTCATTCATTCTCCTTCAAGTGGCAATTATACTTATCACACGTTCTTCAAAACAAAAACTAAAAAACAGCACCACAGCAACCAACAGGCTCTTGAAACCTTATTATGTCCTCTTCCCACTCAAAACCTTAGCCGTGCTCTTTGTACTGGGAAGATGTGACGTTGAAGCCCAAAAGAAAAACCTTTGCTGCTGTGAAGAATCACAGAAAGATCTAGTTTTGGGTGGAAAAAGCAGTTTTTAAGTTTGTGAAGGATGGGAAGGATGATTCATTATGGCTGGAGCTGGAAAGAGCTGGATAGATTTGGTTGAAAGTGAAAAGAAATAGATAATGATAAGTTTGAATATCTGGCTGACTGTGCAATGAACTAAAATAATAGTAAAATGACAAATACAGAAATGTTTAAACACATGAATAAGTGAGGTGATTGAAACATTAGCTTCACTGTCATGGGCCTTTTCTTCTAGGGACAACTACTGTATAGTAAAAAAAATTGTCCTCTACTTATGACCGTAATGGAACCCCGTCCATTTTGGTCATAACCCAGGAGGTTGTAAAACAGGTCACCCATGTGACTGACCCAATTTTAGAATGTTTTTGCAGCAGTCATTAAGCGAATACTATGGTTAATAAGCGAACCAATGGCTTGCTATGGGCTGATTTTACCAAAAACAGGAAGTAAATGCTAGTTTTGGGCAAAAATGTCATGCCATAGAGTTATGTGACTATGAGACGTGCAAATGCTGTAAGTGTGGGCCAGTTGCCAAGTGACTAACATGCAGGGCGATGATAATGTAAGGAGATGACCAGGCTGAGCTGGAGGGAGGGGTCAAACCTGTCATCAGTTTGCAGTCTCTCTGCTCCCACAAGAGACCTAGGTCCACCCCCCCCCCCTGAATTTCATTGACTGGTATCTAGCACCAATTTGCCTGGACCATTAATAGATCAGATCCTTGTGTATGGGTAACATGGAATAAACATTTAGTGCTTTGAATTCAAGTCCTGTTCCTAGTTCCTTGTGCCTGTCAGGTGGTGGCTGTTGGGATTTCAGGACTAGGTTGTCAATACTGCGGGGAAGTCCATCATAACTTTGAATAGTTGCTAAGCAACTAGTCATAAAGTCAAAGATAATCATGTAAACACATAGGGCGATAGAGTTGACCAAGATTCAGTAAACAAACTGTCCAGTGCAAAGGATGAGGACTGTCTGCTAAGTATCAGCCAGAAGATTTAGAATGGAATGGAATGGAATAGAATAGAATAGAATAGAGTGGAAGGGACCTTAGAGGTCTTCTAGTCCAGCCCCCCGCTCAAGTAGGAGAACCTATGCCATCTCCAACAAGTGACTGTCCAGTCTCTTCTTAGAAATCTTTGTTCAAATCTATAGCAAGAATACATTCAACTAAAATTCAATACTAAATTGTCAACAGATAAGGGTCAACAGATTCAAGAGAGATTGGACTTGGACATTTGTGGCAATATAATGATTCTAGACTTATAATGCACTTAACTTCACACCCCAGCTCTGCCTGCTCTTCTCCTACATATAGAAAGAACTCTTTCAGGAAGGTAAAAATTTACCCTGGTTGAGATAATTACAAATTACTGGAAGAACAAAAAGTGATCTCAAGAAAGGAGGAGGAACTTTTGAGAGATATGACAGAATTTGAATTTTTTATGAGGAAAGGTTTAATTTAATTTAATCACTGCAGTGTTAATAGCTTCCAGTTCCTATTGTATAAATACCATTGTATTTGACTATTATTTGCATTCTAAATGTAATAAAGTAACTAAACATAGGAAAAAAATGACAGCATTTGAAATGCTTATATAAAACTGACCTGCTGGGACATAAATACATTTTTTTATTGAAAGAGAACAATGAGGTAAAATAAATTAAAAACGTCATAACAAAGTGGATGTAAAACAAAAATAATTATAGTACAGCAGTGAAAAATAGCTATAGAAAAAAAACATTAAAATATACTGCAAGAGTGCAGTACTGCAGGCCACTTTAGCTGACTGTGTTCAGCAGGTCAGTGGTTCAAATCTCACCGGCTCAAGGTTGACTCAGCCTTCCATCCTTCCGGGGTAGGTAAAATGAGGACCCAGATTGTTGGGGGCAATGTAAATATATATATACATACATTGCTTACTGGTGTACACCGCTTAGAGAGTGCTTGCACTTAAAGCGGTATATAAGTCTCATAAATAAATAAATAAATTGCTATAAAATATTTTTTTCAAATGGTATATACCTCTGTCGGTAATAACCAGAATAGACCAATCATACAACAATAAATGTTGGAAAAGCTATCTTTCTATGAAAGGAAAGATAGCTTTTCCAACATTTATTGTTGTATGATTGGTCTATTCTGGTAATTGATTGGAAGACCAAAATTGAAGAAAATACAACAATAGTAAAATTGATAATAAACATCCATAAGAAAAGCTTAACCAAAGTGAAGCAAGAATGGATCATGTGTACAGCAAGTTCAGTTGACATATTAGGAATATGTTTTTTTAGGAAATAAAGTATGACACTAATAAAAAGTAACAGATGAAATGATTCAAATAGATCATCATCATTATCATCATCATCATCATCATCTTTGCTGGCTGAGGAATTCTGGGAGTTGAAGTCCACAAACTCCTGAGCAGCGTCAATCCAAACTCCAGCTAGCCCCGCCTTCTTTCTGGCCTCCCATTCGCTTCCCCCGCCTGCCGCTGCTCCGCCTTCCGCTCAGCTTGAGCCCCGCCGCTCGCCGTCGGCCCCGTTGCCATGGCTACGTGAGCGGCGCGGCCTATTTCGCCGTGGAGCCTGAGAGTAGTTACCCGACAAAGCGGGCTTGCAACAAGCCGTTGTTATGTCTTTCCGCGATCTCCGGAGTGAGTCGAATGGGGCGAGGGGACGGGGACGGTCCGGTGTTGCATGTGAAGTCCCAGCTGATCCTCCTCTAATTTATTCCATTATTTAATCACCCCAGCGGGGCGCCATGATCCCCACCCACCCACCCATCCCCATTACCAAAGAGCTCAGGGCAGCGTATGTGACACCACCCCCACACCCCTCTTTTATCCATACAACAATCCTGGCAGGTAGGAGTCCCATAGCTGGTCTGCAATAATCATCCCGACCACAGGTGGCAGCAAAGAGGCGCCAGGCAAACCCTCGGCTCGTTGCTGCCATCTAGAGGCCGCCTGGAGGCATCCAGAATAACAAAGGCTGTTTTCCCCTTGGAAGCTTAAAAGATTTATGTGGAGTCCCATCGTCCCCAGCCTGCATGGTCCCAGGGAGTGGGGGGGGGGAGTCAGACTTTTAACACTCACGAAGGGCATCAGATTTGGAGAAACCACTCAATTCCTAAATTAAAATACTACTGACACTACTAACTGTATTAAACTTGCATGCCACCCAACTCTTCTAATGATGGTCTCTGTTTTCTATTGTTTTGTTGCTTTCTCCTATTTTTTTTAATTGTCAGCCACCCCCAGTTGTCACTGGGAGCCTCTAAATTTAATAAAATAACGATACATTTAATAAAATAATGATAAATGATGTGTTAGGGTGCCTTTTGTAACCTAGAACTAAGGAGAAACTTCCTGACAATTAGAATAATTAATCGGTGGAACAACCTACCTCCAGAAGCTGTGAATGTCTGAAATGCTATAGAGTTTCCCGTCTGAGCAGGGGGTTAGACTAGAAAACCTCCAAGGTCCCTTCCAATTATTATTATTATTATTATTATTATTATTATTATTATTATTATTATTATTATTATTATTATGGATCATCGCACAGTCAGCCAGATGTTCAGACTGGATTTGGCATTTTGTCTACCTATCGAGTCCTTACCCAGGACCTGGGATAGGCAGATGTGGATGTTTGATGGTATTACAGGTATTGTCGCAGGATGGAAGCAGTTCTTAGTAAGGCTGCCTTTTGCAATTGACTAATAGCGAATTTGTCAATGCCGATGATGGTGTTCCAGTGGTGCTTCAGTTGTTTTGGGATTGCACCCAAGGCGCCTATGACTATTGGTACTACCCTTGCTTTCTTTTGCCACAGTCTTTCTATTTGTAGGTCTTTGTATTTTGTTATCTTCTCCAGTTCTTTCTCGTCTATTCTGCTGTCTCCAGGCACTGCCACGTCCGCTATCCAGACTTTTTTGTCTTTTTTATCGACTATCGTTGTTGTTGTTGTTATGTACCTGCAAAGTATAGTCTCTATAACAGCGGTTCTCAACCTTTGTGTGACGGCGACCCCCGTCACACGGACGCGCCCCCATGCGCGGCGCGCATACGCGGCGGCGCCCCCTGAGGGGGAAAAATGGCAGATCGCATTGTTTGGCGACCCCCGTAAAATGGTCGTTCGACCCCAAATGGGGTCGCGACCCATAGGTTGAGAACCGCTGCTCTATAAGTACCCATAATCTGTGACCCACATCTTAAGATAATGTAAGGAAAGGCTGACATAATTCTGCTTTTCAAAAATTGGCAAACACTGCCCAAGGCCTATTGCGATGTCTTATTTTTCAGACTCGTGGTACTAATGCTGAAGCTGATGACTAATTCTGAGTCACATTTTCTGAGCAGCACTAAACTCTATTTTCATTGCTGAATTCAGCCGTCAGCCTGCCGTTTTCTGCCCTGCCTTTTCATTTGTTTGGCATGTCATGCTTCAAAGTGTAGCATGCAAAATGATTTCTGCTGCAAAGCCTCTACCAGTATCTTTTCATCCCCCTGGGGAAAAAACCCATTGCAGGTTCATTGCCTTCAGCTCTGTCTTTTGTACACACCCTACACCAGCGTTTCTCAACGTTTGTGTGACGGCGACCCCCGTCACACAAACGTTATGCGCATGCGTGGCGCGCATGGGGGCGCCCCCCCGTGCGCGGTGCGCGTGCGTGGCGTCGCCCCTGTGCGCAGCGCGCATGCGCGGCGGCACCCCGTGCGCGGCGCACATGCGTGGCACCGCCCCCGTGTGCATGCGCGGCGGCGCCTCCGGAGGCACGCCCCCCATGTGCAGTGCGCATGTGCGGCGGCGCCCCCGGAGGGGACAAAATGGCGGATCGCCGCCTTTGGCGACCCCCGAAAAGTGGTCAATCGACCCCAAATGGGGTCGCGACCCATAGGTTGAGAACCGCTGCCCTACACTAATCCATACTGTGATTTGTTTTCTTTTTTCGCCTTATTGTGTTGCTTGTTTCCAGCTTTGGTGATTTGTAAACCACAGTTAGTGGCGTAATGTTCTGGTTTATCATTTTATTTAAATTTAAAAAAAAAACACGATCTGGCAAAGCCCAATCAGGTTTGTGGGTGGACGGGCCCAAGGTGTTCTTCCTTTTCACAGAAAAAAATGATGTTGTTGCTGCAGTGACCGATATTAAGCCTAGCACTAAATCCCACCCCATCAGTTCCTCTGCTGAATACCTGTTGGTCAGATGGAAGCCACTGTAGCCTGTCTTGAATAGACAAAGTCAATAACTTTATTGTCTACCACCTATGTTACAGAAGGGGACGCTCACGTGGTTGGAAGTTGGGAAATTTGCATTCCAGACCCAAGTGCTGCTGCGTAGTAGGATAAGCTCCCATCATTTGCTCCAGCTCCTTGATGGGGACATGGAAGGACATCCCACGGGCGTTCCCTGAGCAATGGTGATGTCACTGGCTAATCCTGTCAACCCAGAAGCACTTTAAACAGTGCCCCCGACATGAAAGGGATGAGACCTATATTGCAAAAATCTCCCAGCGTGCTCGCCTTCGCTTGGGAGATAAGGCTTCGTGGATCCTGGTGGAAGCTTATGTCACTTTGTAACTGTGCAAGGATTCTGAGCTAGGCCCTCGCTTGACTCCTCCTTCTAGCCTAGCTGACAGTTTCCCAGCACTGTTAGAAAATGTGTAAGAATTTATTTATAGATTTGTATCCATCTTTTTATGTATAGTAGTCCTTGACTTAACAACTATTTGTTTAGTGACTGTTTGAAGTTACAATGGCACTGAAAAAAGTGATACGACTGTTTTCCTTACTTATGACTATTGCAGCACTTCTGTTATGTGATCAGAACTTGAACACTTGGCCACTGGCTCATATTTATGACGGTTGCAGTGTCCCAGAGTTATGTCATCCCCTTTTGTGAGCTTCTGACAAGCACAATTCACTTAACTACTGTGTTACTAACTTAACGATTGCAGCGATTCACTTAACTGTGGCAGGAAGGGTTGTAAGATGAGGCAAAATTCTCTTAACTATTTCGCTTAGCAACAGAAATGTTAAGCTCAATTGTGATCGTAAGTCGAGGACAATCTGTACTCTCCATGAGTACAGAATATGGAATGGAATTTCCCATTCCAGCATAGAAGTGAGAGAGAGAAATTAAGAGGTACTATACTTGAATGTATTAAAAGTTTCATATTTATTTATTTTTTTGCCAAAGATTTTACTGAGATGATGAGGGCCCTGGGCTATCCCCGGCTGATCTCGATGGAGAATTTTCGGACTCCAAATTTCATGCTGGTTTCAGAAATACTCCTTTGGCTGGTAAAAAGGTTGGTGCTCAGCTTTAATTTCAAAATAAATATCAGCAACTGTGGTCACAGCACTTGCGAAATTCTTGGAGCGTTTCAAAAGAGCTTAAAATTGAAATTTAGAAGTTGAAGTATTCTGGAAGATTTCCAGTTTTAAAAAAAAAAAAAGATTGCAACCAAAACATATTCAAAGCTTTTAAAAATATTGATGCTTGATCATCAGTTTGAACCATCTGTTGTTTCTCTGCGATAGCTTGACATATTTTTGAGATTAAAATATCTTTCCTTCGTTTTTTTGCATTTGAAATTAAACATCAGTGGAATTTTCCTTAATAGGTTAAAAAAGACTTTGGTAAGATATATGAGGTTGGTGGGGGGAAAAGCAGAGTTAAGATTTGTCGTGTATTTTGTAAACAAGACATTTTGGTGATTGTTGTTGTTGTTGTTAGTTGTGAAGTCGTGTCCGACCCATCGTGACCCCATGGACAACGTTCCTCCAGGTCTTCCTGTCCTCTACCATCTTCTGGAGTCCATTTAAGTTCACACCTACTGCTTCAGGGACTCCATCCAGCCACCTCATTCTCTGTCGTCCCCTTCTTCTATTGCCCTCAATCTTTCCCAGCATTAGGCTCTTCTCCAGTGGGTCCTTCCTTCTCATTAGTTGGCCAAAGTACTTGAGTTTCAGCTTCAGGATCTGGCCTTCTAAAGAACAGTCGGGGTTGATCTCCTCTAGGACTGCCCGGTTTGATTAAAATTCCTGAGTTATTTCCAGTTTCAACCTTCAAGGTTTTGGGACAGTCCAGAAGTCGTGAAAAAATTGCTACTTAAATTGCAGTTTGCAGTAAGACAGAAGAGGGAAACTCACATGGAACAATTACATAAACTAAATTGAAATTTGGTTAAGTTTATTTTTTGGGCTGGCCCTGCCCAGTTCTCATCCCATGTTCTTTTTGTGTGTGATTCCCATCACACTATAAGCCCTGGTGCCGCAGTGATTAAAGTGCAGTATTGCAGGCAAACTCTACCTACAGCTGGAAGGAAGGAAGGAAGGAAGGAAGGAAGGAAGGAAGGAAGGAAGGAAGGAAGGAAGGAAGGAAGGAAGGAAGGAAGCCGTAGTGGCGCAGTTGTTACAATGTAGTCTGACTCTGCTCACTGCCAGGAGTTCAATCCTGACTGGCTCAAGGTTGACTCAGCCTTCCATCCTTCCGCGGTCAGTAAAATAAGGATCCAAATTGTTGGTGGCAACGGGCTGACTCTGTCAACCACTCAGATTGCTGTAGAAGCATAATGGAATGCTATATAAATCTAAGTGCTATTGCTAACACACGACTCAAAATCCAGATGTGGTCCTTAGCCCATAAAACGTTGTATACTTCTGCAGTGAAGATTAGGCAAAATAGATTACCAAGGTTCAGTTTGGGAATTGTGCCAGTCAGAACTCAAAAATATTTCAAAAGAATTCGCTATAATTTTCTTTGATGAGCAAAGACAGCTTTATGCTTTATTTAGTTCTGAGTTTAAGGTAGTCTTCAGGTGAATGTTTCCTGGTGCTCTCTCTGCAGCGAAATTAAAGGTTAGCAAGGAAGTCTAAAACGTTGTCCCAAGGACAGGTAGTCCTTGACTTATGACTACAATAGAAATTCATGCCCGATTTTACAACCTTTTTGGCCATGGTTTTTAAATGAATCACATGGTCATTAAGCAAATCCAGCTTTCCCCCATTGACTTTGCTTACTGAAAGCCAGCTGGGAAGGTTTTAAATGGAGATCATGTGACCCTCCAGGACGCTGCAATGATCATCAATCTATGCCTTGTCCTGCAAGCCATTTTGAACCAGCCCAGCGTTACCCAAACCGTGGCAAATAGGCGGCCAATAAGTGTGATAAATAAACCCGCCGTAACATAAATGGTGGGATGTAAACATTTCAGTTCAGATAAATACAAAGAGATGCTGTGGCCCCTGCTGAATTCCACCTCCATCTCCTTTTTGCAGATGGTCAATTCTGTATCTATTTCCGTTTGCAGATACGAGCCTCAGACTGATATCCCTTCCGATGTTGAAACAGAGCAGGACCGGGTTTTTTTCATTAAGGCTGTTGCTCAGTTTATGGTGAGTTTATTTATCTAATGTCCCTGAAGGGCCCTGAAGGATCAAATGCAAAATATTAAATTGAGTACCAGAGTGCTCTCCCAGTTAATTTTTAAATAAAATACTTCAAATACAGAGAGAGAGAGAGAGAGAATGAGAAAGCGAGAGAAAGAGAGAAAGAGAAAGAATGAGAAAGAGAGAGAAAAAAAGAAAAAGGAAGAAAAAGAATGAGAAATAGAGAGAGAAGAAAAATAAGCCTCCAATGATGGCGCACCAGCAATGACATATTTTCATTTCCCCAGTTGGAAATCATTCGGGAATTCTCTGGAAATAGCTATGAAGTGCTTCATCCTGAGATCTAAGCATATATGGAGGGAGATAGCTGAGCACTCATTTGTTCTTCCAACAGGCCACCAAAGCTCACATAAAACTCAACACCAAGAAGCTCTACCAAGCCGACGGCTATGCCGTGAAGGAGCTGCTGAAGATCACCACGGTGCTTTACAACGCCATGAAGAGCAAAGGGATGGAAACCACAGCTGTGGGTGAAGAAGACGTTGGAAAATTCAAATTTGATCTGGGTTCCAGGGTAAGGAACTTTCAGTTTCCTCTTTTAGGCACTGAGCCTTGCCTTTCCTTCTGAGGCTCAAGGCATCATTTAAGTGATATATAAGTGATATATAAAGTAGATTAGGTGTTGTCCTACGTATAATCACTGAAGTATTGCAGAAGCCAGTAAACATATTGATCTGGATTTATGCATTGTATTAAGCATAGATTCTATTGAATAAATCATGATTGCTTGGGTGTGGAATCAGGTTATATCATAAATAGTAGTGTATAAATCACAATAATGAGATTCACACACCACGATAAGCCAAATCTGAAAAAAGTATTGTATTCTAGCATGGTATGTTCAGCCTTCCTCCACCAGATGAGAGGACAACTCCTACAATTCCTTAGTCTAGCCCGAGGTAGGCCACCTTGGCTCTTTTATGACTCGTGGACTTCAGCTCCCAGAATTCCTGAGCCAGCATGGCTCAGCATGGAAACCTCTCCCTGTCCCCTCAGCATGGCTGGCTCAGGAATTCTGGGAGTTGAAGTCCACAAGTCATAAAAGAGCCAAGGTTGCCTACCCGTGGCCTAGGCTGAATATTACTGAGAATGCTGGGAGTTAGTTAGTTAGTTACTTGGAAGTCTCTCAGCTTGGAAAGAAAGACAGTAGGCCATATTCGAAGATGTGTGAATTACGTAGATGTATGTTGACCTCTACAAGAAGAAAGAGTGACCTGGTTGATGGAAACATCTGGGAAAGTTGTGAGAATTGGCCTTAATTTATACAAGCATTCTTCCCTCACTGAGAAGGCCAATTGTGTTTTCTGTGAATGGTACAGTATCATGAAGGGCAAATAACATCTATGGTGTACTTTGGTAAGGAGGGGATGTGGTCCTTCTCCCCCTTCCCTCACTCCAGACCAGGAGCACATTCCATCTTGGATTTTTTTGCCGCTTGTTTTCCTTCAACGTTGAGATGGTCAGGAAAGTAACATAAGGCACCGCTTACTGCTCACCAAGTTATGAACAAATAAATTATTCGGATCCATTGACCCTGGTGCACAAATTATTATGGTTATTGATCTGCTCGGAGAAAGGCACTTCCAAATAGATTACCATCTCAGTGTATGGCTTTAGTTAGAAGTATTCTTTCCCAGGCACGTACTAATCACTTTTGGTGGATATGTCCTAAAGCAAAAAAAATTTGGTCAAAAATACACCTGTGGTTACCGAAAATGTTAAGAAAACATGTAGATTTTAAGCCAGAACTATTTCTTCTAGGTATAATTACAGACAACTATGACAAAAAATGTATACATTTAATATTACATATATTAACAGCAGCGAGAATTACATTTGCACAATATTGGGAAAATGAAGAAACACCATCGGAAGAAGACATAATTAGGAAAATTTTGGATTGTGCGGAAATGGACAGGCTTAACACTGAAAATGAAAGGGAAGGAAGATACAGAATATTTTCAAACATGGGGTAATTTTTATAAATGGCTAGAACTGCGGAATAGAGAGTAGAAATGGAAGTTAGTATTACTATTAATGTTAAATATGTGAAGCCAGATGACACATTGTTTATTAAGCACCAAAGATTTGTAACTATAAAAACTTAATAAAATATAAATATATATATAATATTTTATTAAGTTTTTATAGTTACAAATCTTTGGTGCTTAATAAACACACACACACACACACACACACACAATAATATATATTCTGAGGTTTTCGCAGGTGTTTGTATGTAGGTCTTTGGTTATTCGGGTTTTCTCCCGCGTCAAATTGGAAGTGTCTTGGCGACGTTTCGACGAAGTCTCATTCGTCATCTTCAGGCTGGTGCTTTTGGCTTCGTGCTTCTAGGAGCACGAAGCCGAAAACACCAGTCTGAAGATGACGAATGAGACTTCGTCGAAACGTCACCAAGACACTTCCAATTTGACGCGGGAGAAAACCTGAATAACCAAAGACCTACATATGTATGTATGTATGTATATATAAAAAGGTATTCCCTCTCTACTCCTCATTACTAACCCCTTTTGGAAAAATAAACTCTGATTTCTCCAAATGTCCATTTAGATCAGCGATTTGAAGACAGCCAGGCAGCTTGCTTCGGAAATCACTTCGAAAGGAGCATCTCTGTATGACTTGTTGGGCAAAGAAGTGATGCTGAGGGTAAGTCTACAAAGAAACATTTGAATTGTCCCACACTTGCACCAAAAAACGGTTTTCGATTTTTAATATTTCTAGGCAACGCGATGCCCAGGACGTGGCAGTAACAGTTCTGTGAATATCAATTCTCCTTATTGTTGTCCAAAAGATCCTTTTTCCAAAAGGCATCTGGATTTTCTTGGTGTTTTCTTTGAAAATGTTTCGCTTCTCATCCAAGAAGCTTCTTCAGTTCTTCAGAAGGACTAGGGGTGACCTGATAGCAGTGTTCCAGTATTTGGGAGGCTGCCACACAGAAGGGGGTGGTGGCGGTGTCAACCAATTTTCCAAAGTACCAGAAGGCTGAACAAGAAGCAAAGGATGGAAACTAATCAAGGAGAGAACCAGCCTAGAACTAAGGAGACATTTCCTGAACAGTGAAAACAATTAACCAGCGGAATGGCTTGCTTTAGATCAGTGGTTCTCAACCTTTTTAATGCCTCGACCCCCAACCGATCATAAGTCGAGGACTACTCAACCGGTCGTAAGTCGAGGACTACTCAACTGGTGCAGCACCGTTTGCAGAATGGGGCTTTTGGCGGGCTCAGCAGGGCAGAGACAGCCTGGACAATTCCTATTGGCTTTTGAAAGCCAATAGAATTAGACTCTATTCAAGAGAGTCTATTCTATTGGCTTTCAAAAGCCAATAGAATAAAAGGGAGTAGCATAGCTAAGGAAAAGGGGGGGGAAAATGGCGGACTGCGTTGTTTGGCGACCCCCGTGAAATGGTCGTTTGACCCCAAATGGGGTCCCGACCCACAGGTTGAGAACCACTGCTTTAGATGTTGTGGGTGCTCCATCACTAGAGGTTTTCAAGAAGAGGTTGGGCAGTCATTGGTCTGGAATGGTATAGGGTCCCTGCTTGTGCCGGGGGTTGGACTAGAAAACCTCCAAGGTCCCTTCCAACGCTGTTATTCTCTTAAAGGAACAACATCAAGAAAGTCCAGTCGCCTTTTGGAAAAAACACCTTAGGGATAACCATGAACTGGATGATTAAGAATCTCCATAGACTCTCCTTATTGTTCTGTTGCTGTCCACCTTTCTAGCTCTGTCCATTTTCAAGCAACATGTGTTCCCTTCTTTCTCTTCTAAATTTCATCCTTCTCAATCACGTGCCGAAGGGTAGAGATATACTTGGCTGGGAAATTCTTGGGGTTGAAGTCCACACGTCTTAAAACTTGTCAAGGCTGAGAAACACTGCTCTGGTGGGAGAAGATCCTTTTCTGTCTTGACTAGATGTTCCTTCTGCCTCGTTAGGGTCAACAGGACATTTTGAAAGATAAAGCAGACAAATCTGTTGTGTGAACATCACTGGGAAGAATTGAAAAAGCTTTTTGTAATGTTTTCTTCCTAATGCTCAGTGCCTTTTTTTTTTCCCTTCTGCGTCCTGGGCAATTACTTAAAAAGAAGAAGTGCAGTTCCTATCAAGACAGGGATGTTCAAGCAGAGCTATTATTGCTCTCTGTTGAGCTTCTGTTACTGATTTAGTCTTCGGCAACCCCAGGCCTAGTCATATTAACAATAATCCATGGAATACAACTTGGGGATAATCCTGTAAATATTAAGGACTTCCGACATACAGCCGTCTCATGATCATTGTCAGGCAGGTCAAGAGGTTTTTTTTTTGATAGAGGAGTAAATAACTTTCTCTGTTGGGGGGGGGAAATAAATAATGCGGTTGGGGCTATTTCTCATTTTATATGCAATCAACCTTACTTTCCATTGATGCTCTAGATCATTAAAATCGGGGGCTTTTTCCCCCCACCATTAGAGCCTCTGCATGTGAATTTATTTTTCCACAACAGGAGACATAATGCCCATTATGGAATAATAATGTAATTAAGTTGTCATTTTTCATCTGAGACAGTGCAAGGCTAGAATGCTCAATGTCTAGGTTGAGATGTTTTGAAACCCACGGAGAGCAATGTGTGTGGCATCTGTGGCAGGTTTGACACCAATATTTGACTTATTCTCGGAAGACCTTGCAACAGTGCAAGTTAGCTACTGCATTGGAACCAGTATTTATTCAAGATAACTACCTAACCAAATAACAGAGTTGGAAAAGATCTTGAAGGTCTTCTAGTCCAACCTCTTGCTAAGCAGGGAACCCTATACCATTTCAGGCAGACGGTTGTCCAATCTCTTCTTTAAAACCTTCAGTGTTGGACCACCCACAGCTTCTGAAGGCAAGCCTGGTTAATTGTTCTCACTGTCAGGAAATTTCTCCTTAGTTCTAGGTTAGTTTTCTCCTTGATTAGTTTCTATCCTTGTCCCGCCCTCATGTGCTTTGGAGAATAAGTTGATCCCCTCTTCCTTGTGGCAGCCCTACAAATATTGGAAGACTGTTATCATGTCACTCCTAGTCCTTCTTTTCATTAAAGTAAACATACCCAGTTCCTGCAACCATTCCTCATATATTTTAGCCTTCAGTCTCCTAATCATCATCGTTGCTCTTCTTTGCACTTTCTAGAATCTCAACATCGTTTTTCTTTTATATCGTGGCTATATATATATATATATATATATATATATATATATATATATATATATATTTCTGAGGTTTTCGCGGGTGTTTGTATGTAGATCCTTGGTTATTCGGGTTTTCTCCCACGTAAAATTGGAAGTGTCTTGGTGACGTTTCGACGAAGTCCCATTCGTCATCTTCAGGCTGGTGTTTTTGGCTTCGTTTCCTAGAAGCATGAAGCCGAAAACACCAGCCTGAAGATGACGAATGAGACTTCCTCGAAATGTCGCCAAGACACTTCCAATTTTACGTGGGAGAAAACCCGAATGATCAAAGACCTATATGTATATGTATGTATGTATGTATGTATGTATGTATGTGTATATATATATATGTGTGTGTGTGTGTGTGTGTGTGTGTGTGTGTGTGTATGTATGTATACACACATAGAATGACCAAAGACCTACATACAAACACCCGCGAAAACCTCAGAAAACATATATACATATACATACACACACACAAACATATATATACACATACATACATAGAGAGAGAGAGAGAGCCTTATTCTTTTTCCAAGGACATGTTCTGTCTCTACAGCAATCTTCCTCAAATTGCTGCCTTTTAGAAGTACTGGGATTAATGGATTTTTTTTTTTTCCTGCCAGTGTGATTTTAGCTTTGAAGACTTAGAACTTCCCAAGGGGTCTGTCTCTGAAATGGCCTCCTGCAGGGCTTGCCACGCAGCTTCTTCCCCTCGTTTGCCTTGAGGGTCTGGCTTTCAGTAACACGAAGTCTTTGGATCTAGAAGTTCTATTTCGCTCTCAGGCTAGTCATGAATTATGGGCTTAGGTTACACTCGCATGGCTTGGAACAACGTTCTCTGGTGCCTATGGGAGGTGCCAAATGGTGACAGATTGAGATGTAATCCTTAAAAGAGAGAAAGACTAAATGTTCATGAGCCCCAAGCGCTGAGATATTGGCTTCTTCCCTCCTGACTTGTGGCCATGGAAGAACATCTTTTCCGTCCTCCTTCTCTGCAGTCGATCAATGAGAAAGAAAGATGAAAAATCACTTCGATTAGAACAGCACATCTGGCTGGTTGGCTCCTGTGGCATCAGCCTAGCATGACCTTGGGGAGTCTTCCCTAGAATATCTCCAGAGATCTGGCCGAGCTTCCCAGATTTCAGGCAGAAGACCCTTCATGTAATTATTATTCGAATTGATATGCACTTTGTTGCTAGAGATTCTGGATGACTACTTGCAGTTACCCTGATCATAGCTTTTTCCTTGCCACCCCCTTGCAATTCCAGGTGTTCTGCGAATGCTCTCTATCAGGGGTCTTCAAACGTGGCCCTTTGATGACTTGTGGACTTCAACTCCCAGAATTCCTCAGCCAGGCACACTGGCTGAGGAATTCTGGGTGTTGAAGTCCACGAGTCATAAAAGAGCCAAGGTTGCCTACTCCTGGTCTAATCTAATGAAGAGAAGGACAAGGGGGGGACGTGACAGATGTCTTCCAATATCTCAGGGGCTGCCCCAAAGAAGAGGGAGTCAAGCTTATTCTCCAAAGCGCCTGAAGGCAGAACAAAAAACAATAGATGGAAACTAACCAAAGAGAGAAGCAACCTAGAACTAAAGAGAAATTTCCTGGCAGTTAGAACAATTAACCAGTGGAACAATCTGCCTTCGGAAGCTGTGAACGCTCCAAAACTGGAGCATTTTAAGAAGAGACTGGACAGCCATCTGTCTGAAATGGTATAGGGTTTCCTGCCTGAGCAGGGGGTCAGACTAGATGACCTCCAAGGTCCCTCCCAACTTTATTATTAGCATTATTACTAAGCTGAAAAACGGAATGTCTTGTCTCAGGATGAGAATTGCACTTGGGGGGAATTCTTTATTTTGTATTCCTAGGTTATAAGGGATAAAATAAGTGTCAACCTGAAACAGATCTTACACTTCATAAGTAATTGAAGAGGTCCACAGCTTCCCACTCTCCCGACATTACCAGCGCTGCATGAAATTTGAGCTGTGCTTTGTTGCTTTGAGAATGAAATCCATTCAGGCTTGATCTGCCTTCAAAATACAAGCGTCCCGAATCAGTGAACTGTAACAAATTATTCTGCGTGCTGCTTCTTGTCATAGGAGCCATCCCCCCCCCCCCCGGGAATAATTCCCGGCATTTAATATATTTTCTTCCATGACAGAATGCAGTGACGTATGTTGCTAGCAGAAGAAAGGAGATCGGAGTGATTTGGGGGCTTGTGAGGGTCCAGGGAGTAACTTACTTTAGGTAACTTTCTGATTTGAATTGCACGAATTACTATAGAGCAGTGGTTCTGAACCTTTTTAATGCTGCGACCCCCAACCGGTCGTAAGTCGAGGACTACTCAACTGGTCGTAAGTCGAGGACTACTCAACTGGTGCAGCACCGTTTGCAGAATGGGACTTTTGGTGGGCTCAGCAGGGCTGAGACAGCCTGGACAATTCCTGTTGGCTTTGGAAAGCCAATAGAATTAGACTCTATTCAAGAGAGTCTATTCTATTGGCTTTCAAAAGCCAATAGAATAAAAGGGAGTAGCACAGCTAAGGAAAAGGGGGGAAAATTGACGGACTGCATTGTTTGGCGACCCCCGTGAAATGGTCGTTTGACCCCAAATGGGGTCCCGACCCACAGGTTGAGAACCACTGCTATAGAGGAAAGATTATGGCCATTTAGTATTCCTCAGTTTTAAAATGAAGAGTCATTAAATTGGCCGTTGAGGACATCAACCCTCACTCCCACCCCCACCCCCCAAACTGAGAAGCATGAGACCTGAAAGAACTTGAAAGAGGTGAATGAAATGTGAAATTTAGTTCTTAGGGCACAAAGACAAGCCTTGAAATCTCATCACTCTTTCCTCCCGTGTTGTTGTTTTCCACTCTGGTGATCAATTTTATTTCTCTCTTCCAAATTTGTCCCAAGTTTCTCATATCCGTTTCCTTCAAACCTGATGTTCTCCAGATGTGTCGGGAGTAGAATTCTCTGTGGCCATGGCTGGGTATCAATTCTGGTTCTTTTGCTTTTAGTTTTCTTTCCTTAATGCGTAAAGACCTATATGCCATCTCTGTGGAATATTTTGTATTTATCTTAATTGCTTCAAAATGACTTTCTGCTTTAGCTCATCAGCAGTAATGCTACGTTGATGCTCCCCTGATTTCTAATGAGTAGATGTTGCACATTAACATAAACAGGAAGGAGCACCTAGCCTTCTTAATAAAATACTGCTTTTCTGTTTATTAATCATCATAATCTTTGAGCATGGCTAATCCTCGACTGAAAATGGTTTAACAACCATTTTGCTTAACTCTTAAATTTCATAAACTGATTGTACTGCCGGGGTATAGCTGCATATAACATTAGGGCTTGAAACTCAACATTAAGAAAACCAAGATAATGGCATTTGGCCCTCTCACTTCTTGGCAAATAGACGGGGAAAAAATGGAGGTAGTGACAGATTTTATCTTCCTGGGCTCCAAGGTCACCACAGATGGAGACTGCAGCCAAGAAATTAAAAGACACTTGCTCCTGGGGAGGAAAGCTATGGCAAATCTAAACAGCATACTAAAAAGCAGAGACATCACCCTGCCAACAAAAGTACGTATAGTCAAGGCCATGGTTTTCCCAGTTGCAATGGATGGCTGTGAAAGTTGGACCACAAGAAAGGCTGAGCGCCAAAGAATGGAGGCCTTTGAACTATGGAGCTGGAGAAGACGCCTGTGAGTCCCGTGGATTGCAAGGCGATCAAACCGGTCAGTCCTGGAGGAGATCAACCCCGACTGCTCTTTAGAAGGCCAGATCCTGAAGCTGAAACTCAAGTCCTTTGGCCACCTAATGAGAAGGAAGGACTCACTGGAAAAGAGCCTGATGCTGGGAAAGATGGAGGGCAATAGAAGAAGGGGACGACAGAGAATGAGGTGGCTGGATGGAGTCACTGAAGCAGCAGGCGTGAGCTTAAATGGATTCCAGAAGATGGTAGAGGACAGGAAGACCTGGAGGAACGTTGTCCATGGGGTTGCAATGGGTCAGACACGACTTCGCAACTAACAACAACAACAACATTAGGGCTGCTATTCCCAACCATGATTCTGTCAGGATTTTTACTCTAATTCTAATAACACTTCCCTAATTTGCTTTCAACGGGCATTTCCTGCTGATAGAAATGTTTTTCTTGCATCTGTGATGCGCTAAGAAAGCACAGAAGATTTTGCCTTTTCAAAGAGTGCTGTGTGCCCACTTGTGATTCGCCCAGTCGAATTAAGATTCGGAAGCTGTAATCCTCAAATTATTATTCTGAAATTCCCGTTGCCTGTTGCTTTGAGCTAACTTGCCCACTGATCTCGCTCTGCAGTCACTTTGTAAAAGAAAAATTCCTACAGATGTAACCGAGTTTACGACAAGAGGAAAAAAAGAAATGCACTGATCAATAATGCATTTTATAGCCAATAAAAGCAACTGGAAATTAACCAACTGTTACATTTAGAGCAATCACGGCAGCACTTGATTGTGCCTTCTGCAGTTAATTTCTGTATGTATTTATTCATACATTGATTGATTTTTCTGTGACCATCAATTCATCCTGACTCTTAGCATCCCCACAAAAACAATCACCAAAAATAATAGGCGTCAAAATGAGCAAAACAAATCGGCAACCCAGTGTGCCTCCTAGAGCAGCGGTTCTCAACCTGTGGGTCGGGACCCCATTTGGGGTCGAACGACCATTTCACGGGGGTCGCCAAACAATGCAGTCCACCATTTTTTTCCCCTTTTCCTTAGCTGTGCTACTTCCTTTTATCCTATTGGCTTTTGAAAGCCAATAGAATAGACTCTCTTGAATAGAGTCTAATTCTATTGGCTTTCAAAAGCCAATACAAATTGTCCAGGCTGTCTCTGCCCTGCTGAGCCCGCCAAAAGTCCCATTCTGCAAACAGTGCTGCACCAGTTGAGTAGTCTTCGACTTACGACCGGTGGGAGGTCGCGGCATTAAAAAGGTTGAGAACCACTGAGCTACTGTATATTAGGTCTGTTCAGCAAATCACCATTAGTAAAATTGTGACTTAATGAATCTGTATTCCCAGCTGATGACTTCTAACATGATTCCTGCAACGACATGGGAGCCTGATCCGAAAGCCAGAGGAGGGCACGTTATGCCTCAGTCTTTTTGATAAGATAGAGAAGAGAAGAGAAGATAACCTTTATTGTCATTTTTTTACTGTGGGCACAACGGCACAACATCAAAAAGGAAATTTAGTTGCCCGCTCTCAAAGTGAAACACATACATGACACACACCTAAACATACTATGAACAGCATATGTATAGACCCACATCCCTACATATACGTAGCAAATAAATATTAAATACTGTCCATCTTGAATATGTAACGGAAGGAGGAAGCTTGAGAGTTCACAAGGTTAATGCTGTATGGAATGAAACTCTGGCTGAATCTGGATGTTCTGCTTCGGATACCACGAAGCCCCCTCCCCCCAGAAGGGAACAAGGAAAACAGGCCGTGAAGAGGATGTGTAGTGTCCCAGATAATCTTACGGACCCTGCTCAAGCAATGCTTCTGTGCTATGTCCTGGATGGGAGGGAGGGAGCTGCCAATGATCTTTTCGGCCACTTTCACCACTCTCTGCACTGCCTTCCTGTCTGAAGCAGGGATGCCTCCAAACCAGACTGTGATGCTGTATGACAGGATGCTCTCAATTGTCCCCCTGTAGAAAGTGGTCAGGACAGGGGAAGGAAGATGTGCTTTTCTCATGCGATGCAAGAAATGCAGGCGCTGCTGTGGCCGCGTCACCAGTTTCTCACTGTTGAGCGACCAAGTCAGCCTACCGTTAGCTGCACACCCAAGAATTTGATGCTGGTAACCATCTCCACAGGTGAATCATTAATGCACAGAGAACTGTGGCTGTGCCTGCCTTTTCTGAAATCAACCCTGATCTCTTTGGTTTTTATTGCCCGTATTATTTTAATAAAGCCTCATTTAAATTGATGTTGACGTGCTAGATTTTTAACTGTTAATAAAGAGATTGCCTAAAGAGGCTGGCCAGCCTTAAAGACGTATGATAGCAATTAAAGTGAGTTCTCAGCACTTCACCGTACATTTCCTTCTCTGAAGGATTCCTGCGTTTGGGGATCGATTATCCTCCTCAATCTGGAGTTGCTGCCAAGAAAGGAAAACCATACTTAATGTCTGTAACCGTATTTTTTTCTGGGTTGTGTCCTCGGTTGCTCTTTTGTTTCACTGTCTTTCTTTTTTGCCTCTCAGGAACTGAGAACAGAAGCAATTGGAAGACCCCTCGAGATCAACGAAACCGAAAAAGTGATGCGCGTTGCCATCAAAGATATTTTGGTAAGGACGAGGGGGTTTTCAACTGCTAGTCAGTAAGTTGCTTATTTTTTTCAGTTCAGGTTGTCCTTGACTTACAATACTTCATTGAATGACCGTTCGAAGTTACAACCGCACTGAAAAAAGTGACTTGTGAGCATTTTTCGCACGTACGACTATTGTAGCATCCCTACGGTCATGTGATCAAAATTCTGGCGTTCATATTTATGACGGATGCAGTTGTCCCCGGGGGTCACGTGATCCCCTTGTGTGACCTTTTGACAAACAAAGTCAATGGGAGAAGCCAGAGTCACTTAACAGCGGGTTACTCATTTATCAACTGCAGTGATTCACTTAACAACTGTGGCAAGGAAGGTTATAAAATGGGGCAAAATTCCCTTCACTGTCTCATTTAATGATGGAAATTTTGGGCACCGTTGTTTTCGTAAGCCGAGGACTACCTGTATTTGGACTTTTCAAGATGGTTTCCCTTCTGGAGCTTTTCCATCTTTGTCCTTCCTCTTTCGTCCATCTCACGCCCACCTATCGTAGACTCACAGGTGGTCACTCAGCTCACCTCTGCTGCGTGTGATCATCATCTCCTCCTCCTCCTCCTCCCCCTCCCCCTCCCCCCCCTCCTCCTCCTCCTCCTCCTCCTCCTCCTCCTCCTCCTCCTCCTCCTCCTCCTCCTCCTTCTTCCTTCTTTTTGTAGGAGCAAGTCCAGAAGACCAACGACATGCTGAGCAACGTGGCTTCTGATGAAGCCAGTTTGGAGGCCAAGATCGAAAAGAGGAAATCCGAGCTGGAGAGAAACCACAAGCGGCTGCAAACCCTGCAGAGCGTTCGGTAGGAGCCGCGTTCCTCTCTGTCCTGCTTAAGAGCGTGTGTGTGTCTGTGTGTGTGTGTATGTGTATGTATATATATGTGTGTGTGTGTGTGTATGTATGTACGGGGACACACACACACACACACACACACACACACACACACACACACACAGACATATATAGGAGCTTTCGGCTCCTAGAAGCACGAAGCTGAAAGCACCAGCCTGAAGATGACGAATGAGACTTCGTTGAAACGTCGCCAAGACATTTCCAATTTTATGTGGGAGAAAACCTGAATAACCAAAGACCTACACACACACACACACACACACACACACACACACACATATATATATATATATTTTCTGAGGTTTTCGCGGGTATTTGTATGTAGGTCTTTGGTTATTCAGGTTTTCTCCCGCATAAAATTGGAAGTGTCTTGGCGACGTTTCGACGAAGTCCCATTCGTCATCTTCAGGCTGGTGTTTTCAGCTTCGTGCTTCGAGCAATGTATGAATCCACCTTTTTTATCCTTACCAGCCCTGCCTTTATGGATGAATATGAGAAAATTGAGGAGGAGTTGCAGAAACAATATAGCTACTACGTGGAGAAATTTCGTAACTTGACGTACCTGGAACAGCAGCTGGATGACCAACATCGCATGGAGCAAGAGAGATTTGAGGTGAGCGTTTCTAAATAAATGACTGTACTTGAATTGCTTTAGTCATAATTTCTACCATGTATGTCCCTGAACACCAGTCTGTTGTCTGCTGTTTTATCCTACATGTTGGGGTATATTCAGTGTTGGAGCTTGATTCTCTATATTCTGTAATCCTCAGGATACTGATTTCCATTTTTTCAGAACTGCCCTCTTTTCAAAGAATGGCCAAATTCATAAAAATAAAATTATAAGATAACACCTGGGTGATGAGAGACACGGTGGAATAAATGGAGTTATAGCAGAGCCATTTGTAATTGTGAACACCGTTTTCCCCAGCATTATAGTAAAGTACATTGACCCATGCACTGGATTCTAGTTATATAATTCATCTTTCAAGCTTTTTATTAAAAAAATTACCTACAGACATTTTAAGGAATTACAGAAGTGCTTTGGGATGGGTAAGTTAATTATTTTACCTCTCCAAGCCAATAGCTTACTTTTTTGCAGTGAGAAACATCTTTGGCACATTAAACTTTGCCTAGTTGCATTTAAAAACATCCTAATTTCACAACAATATATTCCTCTATAAACTAAGGGAACTATTCCTTTTAATCTTACACTAGTGTGCCTATGCATTATAGTTTCAGCTTTCCAATTGGGAACTATAGATAGAAAACAAAACACAAGCACTAAATACAGACTTAATATGTTTATATTATACTCTGACATAAACTTAGATGTCCTTAATTCTTATTATAAGTAGTTGGTCTATATTATGTTTGTTTTCTTTTAGTATGCAGCTTTAGTTAAGTTGATGGAACTTACAGATTGTGTTCTTATGGGTTTTTTTCTACATTATTTGTAACTTTTAAGAGTATCAATACATTTATAGAAAAATTTTGCAATTAAAAATTCAGGTTCTTCCTTCAAAGAAGTTAAAGGTTCTTTGGAATCTTCATCCCTGAATGCTTTTAAAATGAGGTTTTAAAGATGGCCAAGGGTTTGAAAAAATAGCTTTTTTTTTTCCTTTTTGCCGTAATAATTGCTTACCTCTTCAGCATATTTGCCAGAAATGTTTACTGCCAAGGGTGGGAAATCATTTATTCCAGCCATTTTTGGAACTGCAACTACAGTCCTTTGTAATCATTGTCTCCTTCATATTAACAAAGAAATTAGAAATTAAATTGCAATCTTTGTAATGGACCTTTGCTGGTATTCTTAGTTCTGAATTGCCTTTTTTTGCCAGTTTAGCAAAAACTTTAGTAAACCTAATGGAAAGAAAATAACATCCTCTGCCCTCTATTTCTTGAGAGGATCAAGATTCTTGGTGATGTGTTTGTTTTCCTGGAGTGTTTTTAAGAAATGGTGCTTTTTTTTCCTCTCCTTGCCTGGGGGAGAAATGAATGTTTATAAGGTGATCTACTTCTAATCTTTAAAACGCTTGGCAAATACAGTGCGTTGTGTTCTTTCTTCTTATGCCGCAGCTGGTGATATTGGATAGATTACATTTTTAATTGGAAAGAGAGACCCAAAGATTGAGCAAATATTTTGTCATCCAGCTGAGACCCTCTGGATTACACGCAACCAATTTTGACTCCTGTTTATGATGGTTGCTGTGTCCCAGGATTACGTGATCCCCCTTGGCAATTTTCTGTAAAGCAGAGTCAATGTGGGAAGCCAGATCCACTTAACAACGGGGTTACTAACTTCACAACCATGGTCACTCACTTACCTTTCTTGTAAAAATAGGGCAAAATTCACTTAACAGATGTTTCACTGAGCAACATAAATTTTGGGCCCAATTGTGGCCGTAACTCGGGGACTACCTGTAATTGCTAAGAAGGTATTTCTCAGAGTCTTGGGATATGACATTAACAGATGCTCCATAATGTGGCATTGAAGGCTCTAATCATGCTTAGCTCCATCCAGTCGTCCCGACTCTCCCCCGAATTAAGGGATTAGTGGGTTGTAAAAAGGGAGTTACTAACATTGAATGCTCCGTGTTAGAACCCAGTGGGAAACAATGCACATAAAATAAGATCTTCCAATCCCAGTATTCACAATTCTCTCTCCCACCCTAACTCCTCGTCGGCCTGTCCCAGATGCACAGATGTCCCTTCTGATATGCACCAAGATAACTGTGACATCCTAAGCTAGTAAGATTTCTTTTAGCTGGCTCTCAGCAGCCCCAGCTGTTCAACTAAGTCCTCTGTCAGAATTAATTTGCCTGACAAACTTTCTCAAGCATTGCAAAATGTTCCCGGGTTTTTATCCCACGGACTCATCAGCGTATTCATATAAAGCCTGTGCATTCAACCAGCTCACCCAAGTAAACTAACGCCATAGAACTTTTTAACCGCATCGGGAGAATAGCAAACGAGCTTTGATTGAATCATTACAATTCATGCTTTCGCCAGCTCCAGGGAGAAAAGTAAGCAAATAAATAGGAGACCTGTTGAAGTAATTTCAGATACAATGGAAAACACACTCGATTTAATTGGAGATGTCCCTGATTGAAAAGCTTTGCAAAGAGCGGGCCATTGAAAAGAAGTACTCATTATGAGAAACGTACACTGGTAAACACATTGTAGTCCCTTAGTGATTCTTTTTAAAAAAGCAAAACAAAAAACAAACAAGCGACAGCAGTGTGGTTTTCTGATCTCAGTTACCAGCATTTACCTCTAGTTCCCATCCCTGTTGACCTTCTCTCCCAGACATAATTTTAAATTTAAAGCTCTTTGTGTCTGAGGATACATTCTGTTCAAGCAAAATAAATAAATAAATAAACTTTTGTGAGTTGGAATTTGGCATTTCCAACTTCTTCCCTGGATTCTGTGCTTGTCGCTCTTCAATTGCTGCATAAGATTTAGGTTTCTTGCTCTAGCATGTTAAATATGGAAGGATTGCAAAAACTAGAGGCCCTTCTGGATTGAGCTGTGAGGATACGAAGAGTATCTCTTGGGTCGTTGAGTGTGTAAGGGAAGGGAAGCCTATAAGGAGTTGCAAAGAAGCAAGAAGTATCAGCTCCTCTGGCTCTCCTTCTCTTTGACTATTTTGGTGAAAGTGCTAAGGATGTTTTAAGGACATGTTTTAAGCAGGAGACCCTATACCAGGGGTAGGCAACCTTGGCTCTTTTATGACTCGTGGACTTCAACTCCCAGAATTCCTGAGCCAGCCATGCTGAGGAGAAAGGGAGAGGTTTCCATGCTTAGCCATGCTGGCTCAGGAATTCTGGGAGATGAAGTCCACGAGTCATAAAAGAGCCAAGATTGCCTACCCCTGCCCTATATCATTCTAGACAAGTGACTGTCCCATGTCTTCTTTAAAACCTTCAGTGATGGAGCACTTGAAGACAGGCTGTTCCACTGGTTAATTGTTTTCACTGTTAGGAAGTTTCTCCTTAGTTCTAGGTTGCTTCTCTTCTGGACTAGATTCTATCCATGGTTCCTTGTCTTGCCTTCTGGGGCTTTGGAAAATAGGTTGATCCCCTCATCTCTTTGGAACCCCTCATATACTGGAACATTGCCATCATGTCACCCCTACTCCTTCTTTTCTCTAGACTAGCCATACCCAAATCCTGCAACCGTTCATCGTATGTTTTAATCTCCAGGTCTTTCATGTTTAATTAAATGTTCTTCATTTAATTCCTGAGCCATCCATGCTGAGGGGAAAAGGAGAGGTTTCCAAGCTGAGCCATGCTGGCTCAGAAATTCTGGGAGTTGAAATCCACCAGTCATAAAAGAGCCAAGGTTCCCCACCTCTGCGCCTAGATCAGGGGTCTTCAAACTTGGCAACTTTAAGACGTGTGGACTTCAACTCCCAGAATTCCTCAGCCAGCCAGGTGAGGGAATAGAAGGGGAGCTAAGCTGGCAGGAACACCCTAGAATCAGGGGTGGGGAAACCTTGGCTCTTTTATGACTCGTGGACTTCAACTCCCAGAATTCCTGAGCCAGCCACGCTGAGGGGAAAGGGAGAGGTTTCCATGCTTAGCCATGCTGGCTCAGGAATTCTGGGAGTTGAAGTCCACGAGTCATAAAAGAGCCAAGGTTGCCTACCCCTGGCCTAGGGCATACAGAAGAAGTTCAAATATTTGGGGTTCCCTCAGCAAAGAAGCCCTACAGACTGGGAAACCATGCGTTCTAGTTCCACTTTAGGTCCAAGGGTGACCTTGGGGCAGCCCCTCGCGTTCAGGAAGAAGAAGGCAATGGCGAACCTTCACGAAATCTAGCCAAGAAAACTGCAGGGACTTGTCCAGGCTGTTGCCAGGAGTCAACCAAGGCCCAGAGGCACACCCAGACGCCAAACCAAAGGAAGGAGAACCACTCAGCACTGCTGCCATGGCTCGTAACATTGATTCTCAAGTTAACTTTAGTTGTATCAAGTCGGGTGCTAAGGAGAAGGCCAATTTTTTTGTAGAGCAGAAGGAACCCACGAGAGCTACGGCTTGTGTAAATTGGAAGAACCGAACAAGGCAATGCGGCTTTTGGGATGAATCCAACAGTGACTCAAAGGGATCAAGAGACCACAAGGCAGACTCTGGACCAAAGTCATGAAGGCAGCTTCATCCTATGGGATAAATCAGATTGTGCATTGCCCGTGTTGATCATTAACTGGTGTTTTCATTTGTTTATTCTGCAGCCGGCTTTGTTCTCGGCTTTTTAACCCTCTTTGGGAGATAGCTATTCAAACTCAAGTATAATTCAACTTCCAGAATCTGCGTTCTCCTTTTATACTTTTCTGTAAGATGATTTATTACCTCGGCGCTTCCAGGAGTTTTTCCCTCCCCTCCTCAGCTTAAACACTGAAGAGATAAGTTCTAGGGTATTAAACAGGCTATTAATTAGTCCATGATCAATAGAAAGAAATGAATGCTTTCACCGGTGCATTGCTAAAGTTGCGTCTGCTTTATCATAGGCTGGAAGCCTCCTATGGTGCAAATTAAAGCAAGACCAAGACAGAAGGAAAACAGATAATATAATTTATACCAGAAACAACCTGGGTGGTTCTCTTCCCTCCCCTGCTTCCCCCCCCCCCCCAATAACTGGATCAGCTCTGCCCAGATCTTGAAGTTTGGCTTGTTAATTCTAGAAGCACTGAAGAACATTAAGTTGGAATTGGAACATGGTTGTGCTGACAGATTTCAGGATAGTTGTCTCCCCATAGGGGAAAATGGAGTTCCAGAAGCAAATGCCTGTGATGTGTGGAGCAGAGAACACACCGTTCCACTCTGCTTTTGTGCATCACGTTTTGTTTATTTGCATATCGTCGCTAGGCCATCACAGATGAAAAGCTTGAACAATGGGAACTATAGATCTGTTTTTCTTTAAATTACAGCTTAACGTGAGTGCAATTGAGTCAAACATCCCCATTTATGTCAGTCACATTTTATATCGTCAACCTGTCTGGCAAAACACAGCCTCCTGTAGACATTTTGCTAACCTCTGTAAAACAGAGGAACAATTGCAACCTTCACATTCTGAATCTCCCTGCTCCAAAAATTCCTTGAATTTTCTCTGTAACTTCGATTCCGACAGCTAGAAAACGTGGCACTTTACAGCCAGGTAAGTTTCTTGCTTGCAGAAAAGATAAATTGTATTCTCAATTAAGTCTCCCATGTCTCAGTCTAAGAGCTGACTTAGGTATTATACAGAGGCTAATAGATGTTCAATGCCCATCTGTTTCAAACTGTAAACATGCTGCAAGAGTGGATTTAATCAGTGATCAAAAATGAACAGGAGAAACCAGAGGCACAAATCGATGAAAAGTTTGTTTTGCAAGCAAGAGAGGAATTTTATTTTTAGTGATCTTCTACTCCAGGAGACTTGTGAGACACCGAGTGAGGAGTGGTCTTGTCTAATGAGGAGAAGGGTTAAGGGGTGACCTGACAGCTGCTTTCTGATACTTGAGGGGCTGTCTCAGATAAGAGGGGCCCGATCTATTCTCCAAAGCACCTGAGGCCAGGATAAGAAGCAGCGGGGAGAAGATCATTAAAGAGAGATACAACTTAGAATTAAGTAGACATTTCCTCACAGTGAGAACGACTGGAGTGGTGGGTGCCATAGTCCATAGGAAAACACGATGCAAACAGAAGAGAAGTCACAAGCAAGACGAACAGACCAGGATTCCAAGAAGCACTTTGCAAACGTTTGCCTTCAGCAACCAGCACCGCCCACACCTCCTCTTTTTATACAGCAGTCCCAAGGTGTTGCCTCTCATTGCCTTCTCCTTTTACTCTGGAGTTGCCATATTGACTGCTGCTGATTTACTCTCACTAATTGATGACGTGTGCAAGCATCAATTAGCAAGTCCATCAGGTGTGAGTCTTCCGAGTCTGACTCAGTCTCCTCACACAGCTGAGCTTCATCAGGAACACGACTGGAGGGCCCAGGCTCTGCATCAAACTGTGAGTCCTGTAATTCCTCCGAGCCTCCCTCTGCCCCTGATGGTCCTTCAAATGCCTCCTCCACCTCCTCCTCAGATTCTTCAGACTCAGCTGTTGGGAGCACAGGCTGGCACGGAATCACAACACCTCCCAGCCCTACAATTCTATGTCTACCTGGGTTAGAACTCCATTCCTTAGTGTGATGTAGCATATCAAATAGTGCTGACAGTTGTCAGTAACTGGTACATCCAGGATCTTCCTTCTTCTCAGCAATTGCCAACTTTTTTCACTAACTTTTCTGAAGTATCAGAATGACACTTCTGAAACGCCACCTTCCAGATTTTGCTGCCTATCTTTGTGTGTGTGGCTTTCTTTAGGAGTAATACATATTTAATATGAAACTTTAGTTCTTCAGTTCTTTATAATACAGAGCATTATAAAGCTTTTCCAGGGCTCTTTTTTTTTTTTTTTGAAGTTCAGTAATTTAAACATATTCCTTCCCTTTAAATGCTGGCTGTTAGTGGTTGGTTAATCACGAAGGCAAAGGAATTATGACAGTCTAGCCACGGAGATAAAATATTTTCCACATGTATCCCTGAAATAATAAAAATGGCATTTAATTATCTCTCTAGTGTCTGAGGTTTTTTTCCCCCCTGTCTTCTTAGCTTAGCCAACATGCTTTTGTCACTGCATTTGTAAGCTTTTTTTTTTTAATATTCTTTTTTACAGTGTAAGCTGAGACCGCATATCATGTTAATTTCTGGATTTTGTGCTTAATGAGGATTTACAGCTTTGTTTTGTGCCTAGATTTTTACCCAGAAAGTGAGTCGTAGGTTTTCATGAAGCTGTCCTTTAAATCGTTCTAGCTCCCTACAAGTCTCCTTTAATGAAGGACAGAAGCAAACCATGGTTTACATTCTGACTATTGTCCTGCAGTGTTTTGAGACTATAGTCTGAACAGTTAGTCCTTGACTTACAACTGGTCACTTAGCAGCCGTTCAGAGTTCCAAGATCTATCTGGGGGACTACATCACCTCGATTTGAAACCGGATACCGGCGGTCCTCAATTTTAACGACCACAACTTGAGCCCAACATTTCAGCTGTCAAGCAAGGCGGTTGTTAAATGAGTCATGTCCCATTTTGTGACTTTTTTGCCTTCGTTGTGCTGCAATTGTTAAGTGAATCTGGCTTCCCCTGTTGACTTTGCTTGTCAGAAGCTCCCTGGGAAGGTTGCAAATGATAATCCCAGGACACGGCTACCTTCATAAGCACACGTCAATTGCCAGGCATCCACTTTTTTTAAAATAATTTTTTTATTTATTATTTTTCCAATCTCTCCCCCATACATATACCGTGATATTTATCAGATGTTAACATACATTCTTTTTACATTCATATATAAGATACTTTTAATAAAATGAAATAAATACATACACATGACTTTTGGTGTTGCTCGCCCATTTCCCCTTTCACTGTATCCACACTCGTTCTTCTCTACCTTCTTTCTCCCTTTCTTCTCTTCCCTACTTCCCTCTTCTTCCTCTCCTCTTCTCTTTCCTTCACCACTTCTCCCCACTTCTCCTCTTCTCCTCCAACCTTCCTACTTCCTTCTCCCTTCCTTTACTCTTTTCTCTCTCCTCTCCTTTCTTCCCTTTCATCCCTCTTCAGATACAATTCAGGGGTAATGTCTGAACAACTTCTCTCTCCAAATTTCCCTATCTGTATTATATACAATAAGATTAATTTTCTCTTACTTTACTACTTCTATTTATCTAACCTTCTCGGTATATACTTCCATAAATATTGATACAACCTCCAGTTATTCAATACTGTGTCACCTGGGTCTCCCTCTTTTGATTGTGTCACTGTGGGGATCCTGCAACAGCCATTACTGTGAACACTGGTTGTAAATCACTCTTTCAATGCCATTGAAACTTTGACCAGTCATTAAATGAATGGTTGTAATTCGAGGACTACCTGTATGACCATTTGGATGGTCTCTACGCCCCCCTAGTCACGTGACTTCAGTACAGCCATTTGCAGCATCCTGCAGTCACATGACTATATTTTACGACGGTTTTGCCCAACACCAGCATTGCTGGAACTTCGCTGGAACTGCTGATATTTTCAGGGTTTTTTTGTTGTGTTTTTAATTGTGTGGAACTAAGCTGTCTTTCAAAAGCCCTCAGTCTTAACTCTTCTCACATCCCGTCTCTCTCCGAAGCCGAAGGAATTCTCGATCAGTTGGCCGTCCTGATTTTTTTCGATCTTCCCTACAGGAAGCAGAAAACACTCTGCGCCTGATGCAGAATAAGCTGAAGGAGGAAGAGAAACGTCTGCTGAAGAGTGGAAGTAAGTTATTTTTTTTTTTCCCCGTGCACCGGGATAGTTCTGTGGACTTTGTCCAACAATGATCTTAAGTCACTTTTTTTAGTGCTGTTGTAACTTTAAATTGTCACTAAATGAACTGTTATAAGTCAAGGACTACCTGCAACCTTTGTTGCTGTTCGCCTACAGCAGAGGTGGTGAACCTATGGCACGCGTGCCAGAGGCGGCACTCAGAGCCCTCTCTGTGGGCAGGCGCGCCGTCACCCCAGGCCCGCCTCCCCCTACGACCCCCTCCTCACCAGCAACCCCCCCTGGAGGAGAGTCACCCCCAGGCGCGGCCCACGCAGAGCAGCGCAGCCAAGGACATGGCAGCCGGGCAGCGTAGACAAGACTCTGCCCTCACAGCCCATCCCACACAATTGATGCTGTGGGGCGTGAGCAGAGGGTATGGCCGCCATGGCGCTGCTGGGCCGCCTGGGCGATCTGCAGCGGGCCCTGGAGGCAGTGGGTGGCCCTATGGGCGGGCAGGGTGGGGCGGAGGCAGGGCAGTTTTGGGGCACTCAGTCTCTAAAAGGTTCGCCATCACTGGCCTACAGACAGCACATGGCCAGACTAAAACAACTACCATATTTTCCGGCGTATAAAACGACTCGGCGTATAAGATGACTCCCGACTTCGGAGAAGATTTGCATGGTTTAGAAAGTCGTCTTATACGCCGGAAAATACGGTATCTTCCTCAGAGGCAGTCTGTGAACTGCTAGAGGATCTATCCGTCTTTGCCCTCTTTCTGCGTCCCAGATCATCCAAGCTTCGCTGCCTCTTTGCTCTCTGCAAAGCAGCCCCTCCCACCTGGGAATCCAGACTACATTCCACCACATCTGAGAGCAGATCCCTCAGTCTATACCCCCACCCTTGCCTCAGCTAGGAGAAAGACAAATTAAGCACGTAGACCTAACATTTCTCACCTTCTCTCATATTGGTCTCTCCTAAATGACATAGTGTTGGCTTTTAAAGTTCTCTCTGAGCTTTTCTCAAAGCTTTTGAGGGCCACAGGACACCCTCGGATTTCTGAGGACGCATTTGGCTTTTAATCAAATATACTGAGGTTGAAAACTTCAGCTTGCAGAAGATAGGTCTTGGCAGGGAAATGTATAGCCATTGCTGGATCTAGTCAGGATTGAAATTGATTTCATTTAGTAATAGTAGTAAAGTTGGAAGGGACCTTGGAGGTCATCGAGTCCAACCCCTTGCTCAGGCAGGAAACCCTACACCATTTCAGACAAATGGCCATCCAGTCTCTTCTTAAAAACTTCCAGTGTTGGAGCACTCAACCGCTTCTGGAGGCAGGTTGTTCCACTGGTTAATTCTTCTAACTGTCAGGAAGTTTCTCCTTAGTTCCAGGTTGCTCCTCTCCTTGATTAGTTTCCATCCGTTGGTTGCTTCTTGTCCTGCCTTCAGGCGCTTTGGAGAATAGCTTGACTCCCTCTTCTTTGGGGCAGCCCCTGAGATACTGGAAGGCTGCTATCATGTCCCCCCTCGTCCTTCTCTTCGATAAACTAGACATACCCAATTCTAGCAACCGTTCCTTATATGCTTTAGCCTCCAGTCCCCTGATCATCTTTGTTGCTCTTCTCTGCACTCTTTCTAGAGTCTCAACATCTTCTTTACATCGTGGTGACCAAAACTGGACTCAGTATTCCAAGTGTGGCCTTACCAAGGCATTGAAGAGTGGCATTAATACTTCATTCATTTACTCAGGTTTTTCATTTGATTTATTTCCTGCAAGGGACAGCTTAACAATCTGGAATGAAAATAATCTTCTTTCTTCTTTGTCGCCCCTTGATCAGATCTCTCTGTTAGAACATATCCCTTCGAGGGGGATCTCATTAAGCTGGACATTGAAATAGATAACAACATAAATTATTAACGTAATAACATTTGACTGGAAAAAATCAGTAATAGATTGGGATAATTTATTGGGGAGCTTCTGCCAGCCGTTTTGAGTCATCTTAAATAAGACGTCAGCAAAGACCCTGCCGATTAATCACCTGGGCAATTTTAATATTGCCAAACAGAGTTAATTTGAACTGAACAGAAAGTCCCTAGGGGGATCAATTAAGGAAATTTAGCCGTATGTTATCATGCTTGTTGATTTTTCCATTGGCTTGTGGCTTTCCTCCGTTCAACATCTTTTTTCCGCGATGCAGAAACTAACGTTTGTACGCTGATAGTATCAAGATCGCCCAAACTGGTAGTACTGCTTTATACTGCGCTGGTGAGATGACACTGGGTCCAGGTTTGGTCACCACAGTAAAGATGTTGAGACTCTGGAAAGAGTGCAGAGAAGAGCAACAAAGATGATCAGAGGACTGGAGGATAAAACATACGATGAATGGTTGGGGAAATTGGGTATGTCTAATGAAGAGAAGGACTGGGGATGACGTGATAGCTGTCTTCCAATATTTGAGGGGCTGTCAGAGGGAAGAGGGGGTCAACCTATTCTCCAAAGCCCTTGAGGGCAGAACAGGAAGCAACCAGTGGAAGCTTATCAAGGAGAGATCCAATGTAGAATTAAGGAGAAATTTCCTGACCGTGAGAAGAATTAATCAGTGGAACAGCCTGCCTCCAGAAGTTGTGGGTGCTTCAATACTGGAGATTTTGAAGAAGAGACTGGCGACCCATTTGTCCAGAATGATATAGGGTCTCCTGGAGGTTTGACTAGAAGACCTCCAAAGGTCTTCTGTTGGAAATTCTCTATTCTATTCTGTAAATTACAGAACAAATGACTGGCCGCACACTGGAGTGTTGGATCTAAACGGACAACTGTGCTGTACAAGGAAATCTAGAGGACCTTCTCTCTTTCAAGATTCACTTTAAATAGCAAAATCCTGCTAATGTTGTCAGGAAAGCTGGAGACGGTAGCTCCGTGCATACCCCGAGGGGCAACAGATTTTAGAGGAATTTGATATCATTTAATCAGGGGTATCCAATCTTGGCTACTTTAAGGCTTGTAGACTCCCACTCCCGGAAGTCCGCACTCAGCCAGTTGAAGCCCACAAGTCTTAAAGTTGCCAAAATTGGGCCCTCCTAATAGAGGTGAAATATTCCTTTTTCAGATTTCAACCTGTTGCAGACACCCAGACAATTGAAAAAAGAAATACTCCCTCTATATCGGGGTGTCCAACTGTGGCAAGTGATACACTGCAGATAATGCAAATATCTACTAAGTGAAGCTTCTTAATGTCTTAAACCCGTGGTGGCGAACCTATCGCACGGGTGCCAGAGGCGGCACTCAGAGCCCTCTCTGTGGGCACGTGCGCCGTCGCCCCAGTCCTAGGCCTTCAGCTGGGCTTTATAAAACCTTTTCGCTTTAGGCCTCCGCCGCCGTGTGCAAAAAAAAAAAAAAGGTTCAATCAATCAATCAATTTCAACTCGCGGGGAAAAAAAAGATCTTGCCAAGTTGATTGATTGAACTTTTTAGTCCCACCCAGTCTGCCATTACCACCGCAGCCACGTCCACCCAGTGGGCCACGCCCACCCAACTGGTCACACCCACCCAATGGGCCACACCAGCACCCGACGATACATAAGTGGGTTTGGGGTTACAGTTTGGGCACTCGGTCTCTAAAAGGTTCGACATCACTATCTTAAACTAAAGGTTTAAGCAAATATCCTTGAATTTGTGGGCGAATTAATGCCTTCCTTCTTTGGAGCTGTTATCCTTCTTTTCTTTAATATTTCTTTCACCGCGGCTATTTTAGGTGGGCGAAGAGACTGTCTGTTTGGCTTAGTTACCTTTCTGCTGAAAAAGGCGTCGTTCTGTGAAATCTTTTTTTTTTTTTTATTAAAAAGTTTTATAAATTTTACAGAAAATAAAAGACAATACAAAAACAAAAAACAACATATACAAATAAAAAACAAACATTACCCAACAAAACCCCCCTTCCCCCACCCCTACCCAAACCCCCCCTTCCCCCCCCCCAGGGCCTCCCAGAGCAGAATATAGGCTTAATTTAAAAAAAGTTAAAAAAATTTATATTTGTAAAAAAAGAGAATATAAAATAGAAAAAATATATAGAGAGAGAGTTAAAAATTATGAAAAAACTATATAGTATTTTTATATCAAATTTAAATTGTATGAATTTTATCCATTTATCCCAAACAGCAAGAAATTTCTCTTGCGTTTGTCCCTTTAAGAAAGCCGAAATCTTTGCCATTTCCGCCAAATGAGACACTTTAAGAAACCATTCCTGCAATGTAGGCAAAGATTCCTTCTTCCAATATTGTCCTACTAACAGCCTCGCAGCTGTAATCAAATTTAACATCAATATAACCTCCTTTGTATCACAATCAATAACTATACCTAACAAAAATAATTGTGGAGTAAATTTTACCCTCCTTTTAAAAATTCTCTGGATATTCCACCATATCTTAATGAGTATTGAAAGGCCTAAAAGAGAAAAGACGGATGGGGGGGGGGACACATTCAGAGATCTTGCATTTTAAGAACGTTTGGCGGGTTTCATCCCCATCACCTTAGACTAGCAGTCAAAAATGAGCATTTGCCTAAGGCCACAAAATAAGAGTCTGAGAGAAGTACAAGGAAATCAGTCCCTGTCAAGTGCTGGATATGGAATTTTTCCCCAGTGCAATCTTTATCTCAGTTCCCACACAGCGCGTCCTTATCACAGACATCCAGACGGGTTGTTTTATTTGTTAGCACAATGCCATAACAATCCAGGCAAGAGACTGAGTTCCCGAGCCGGCCATTCAAAGGAGTTGTCTCACGGATTTGCTTTGCTAAATAAATATTTGAAGCTCCAGAAAAGAACAGCATCGGAATTACCAGGCCACCCCACCCCCGCACCCTCCGCCCCAAGAAACAGGCAGATTCTTTGGGTAAATGCAAAGGACATTTTGTTCTTTGCTGGAACAGAAACAGAAAAAAAAGCGACCGATCTCCCTGTAGGATTTGCCCGTTGCTGCAGTGGAACCAGAGTTCAAAAAGGCAGGCGTCAAATGCCAGGGAAATCTGGAGATTCAGATTCAGTTGGGTATAAAGATTTATTGCAGGCTTTAGCTCTCTGACCAACTGGTGGTTAAGGGAAATGAGCGGGAGATAAGAGAGTCATTCATGGTGGGCTGGGCTTAGATCTCTTGTGGGCACTTAGGGACTCTGAACTTATGACATGTTTGACCCCCCCCTCCTTCGGGCTCAGCCTGGTCATCTCCTGCAGAAGGACTTATTTTGCACACTGGGGATTAGGTAGGTGCTGTCCTCCTTTCAAAAACGTGCCTTTCCTCTCGACTCTTGCTTATTCTGTCCCAGAGGTCTGTGTGTACATTAAGAGTGTCCCAGAAGCTGTTGTGCATTTGTGACAGCACAAATCAGCAGACTTCTGGAGTATTCTTGATTTATTTTTCTGCGTGAAGCTGTACAGAGGAAGCAGGCAACATGTCTAAATTAGATTGCACTGAGCACTTTATAGCCCCCCAGAAAATCTTACACAGCTGTAGATCATGCCTGATCGTTGGCCACATTGTCCATGCCTGATGGGAACTGGATCGCAGTGGGTCCTTGACCTAGATTCTCTCCAGGATCCTACCATCTAAGATCCTTTCGAGGGGAAATTACAGGGATGGAACCCAGACCCATCTAAGCGTAAAGGATGTGTTGTAAAAATTGTGTGGTGGACTTTCCCATTCTATCCTGTTTTCTCCCAAGAGGCTATGGCCGGACCCAGTAGATGAAAACCACAGGGAAATAATTTCAGCAGAAAGCATGGACTTCCTAACATTAATAACAGTTGTTCAGATTAATTAAGTTCCAGTTAAACTGATTTATTGCCGATGCCTGTATGCAAGAATGTAGTCCACTAATGGTCAGCACTAAATTGGTGCTAGAAAAGCGTTAACAGAATTCAAGAGAAATGGACTTAGAGCATTTGTGGGAACCTGAGGACTCCAGGCTGATTCCTCTCTTGACTCTGCCTCCAGGCTCTGCCTGCTCTTCTCTTATAGATACCATCGTAGCAAAACTTGGATTGATTAGAGATAGACAGCAGTTGCTCTCCAAATTTAACATTCAGCTACTTTCAATTGGTTCCTTTTCTTTCCTCTGTAAATTGAATTTTATTTTACAAATGCATATATTGCAGCCTTAATTAATAGGGCCATTTACTTCCCTAAGTCTAAATCTCTTTTCTTCTGTCTCCACTGTTTTTTTTGTGTCTCCGAAATGGTCTTTCCTCTCTGACCAAGAATAAATGCTTTATTATTTTTATCTTAACACGGGTTGGGTGCTATTGTAACTTCTTTCCTGACTGTAGAGCACTGTTCCTCAAGGCTTGGCTGTCCGCTCATCTCAGAGTTGCCGAAGTTGGAAAAACACACACCCACAAACACACACCAAGACTGTACAGAAGTGAATGCTCTCCTGTGCTCTTATTTGTATCTCAAATAAGACTCGGCTAAATGTTGCTAAATATCAATCATTGTAAAATGCATACAGTATCAATACATTAGAACAGTCGTGATATTGTTCAAAAGCTACTAGTTGGAAGTTCAGTCGTAGGGTCTCCTGCTTGTGCAGGGGGTTGGACTAGAAGACCTCCAAGGTCCCTTCCAGCTCTGATATACGGTTACCATTACTGAATTAGGATTGCAGAAGGACAAGGAGAGGCAGATTTGTTTTAAGGAAAGCCCAAATAAAAGGCAGAGAAGCAGCCAAGATCTTACGAACGAGCAGATCCGTTTACAAACAGAAGTATCATTCCGAAATCAAACATTTTGGCTTGTCTAATTGAAAAGCTGGTGATTAATAACCCTCCTGCTTGTGTAACAGGGGGTGGCCAGTGGTACCTCAGGTTCCCTTAGGATGTTTTGAGAAGGGCAAGTAAATTGATAGCATCACTTATTTGCCAAAGGAGGGAGGAGCAGAAATGGCTGGGGAGATGCTTGGCTGTTCTCCAAGGGGCGTCTTGGCAGGCTAAGCCGAGCCCAAGTGTCAGTGCTGCGATCTGTGTAAATGTGAATCTGTGAGTGAGACTATATAGGTCAGTTGACAGCAAACACATCTGGGGTTTATCAACCTTGACCTTCTGTTTTCCTGACGAATAACCGGCTGGCAGGCAAGACGGCATAGTCTGCGCCAGCCAGCGAATGGCCTGCTGGATGTTGTAAACATAATCAGTGCAAGATAACGCATGAAAAATGCCCAGCATGATATCATTCGGCCTGATGCAGATAGGACAATTTGTCTGATGTGTTATCGGTCGTGTGAGAGAGAGAGAGAAAAAAAAAAAATCAAAAGTACCCAAAAAGGAATACACAGCATTACTCAAAAGGGAAAGCAAATTGAAACTTAATAATGATGATGATGATGATGATGATGATGATGATAAAGTTGGAAGGGACCTTGGAGGTCATCTAGTCCAACCCCCTGCTCAGGCAGGAAACCCTATACCATTTTGGACAAATGGCTGTCCAGTCTCTTCTTAAAAACTTCCAGTGTTGGAGCATTCACCGCTTCTGGAGGCAGGGTGTTCCACTGGTTAATTGTTCTCACTGTCAGGAAGTTTCTCCTTAGTTCTAGGTTGCTTCTCTCCTTGATTAGTTTCCACCCGTTGCTTCTTGTCCTGCCTTCAGGTGCTTTGGAGAACAGCTTGACTCCCTCTTCTTTGGGGCAGCCCCTGAGATATTGGAATTCCAGGTTGCTTCTCTCCTTGATGAGTTTCTATCTGTTGTTTCTTGTTCTGCCTTCAGGTGCTTTGGAGAATAGCTTGACTCCCTCTTCTTTGGGGCAGCCCCTGAGATATTGGAAGACTGCTATCATGTCCCCCCTCATCCTTCTCTTCATTAGACTAGACATACCCAATTCCAGCAGCCGTTCCTTATATGCTTTAATCGCTTTTAGCCTCCTTCGTAGAAACAAATTGGTCCATTGATGCTAACTGGGGTGGCTATTCTGAATCTTTTGCATTGTATGCAATCTTCTAGTTCACCTTTTTTGCAATCTGAAGTCACCTCAATCATAATTGCCCCAAAGCAGTGGCTTTCTTTTCCTGCTCTTTTGAGGCCAAGAAGACACCAAAATTGCTGTTGGCTTTGAAATAGGCTGTTTGTTTGTTTTTAATGCTTTCCGATTGTTGCTCAGCTCATCTAGCTGAGAGCACTTTTCCCCTGAAAGCGTTGGCTTTGTTCACACCTACCCCATGTTCCCTGTCATTGCCTCTTTGGTTCTTTCAAAGGGTACATAGATGCTGGGGAGACCAGGTGATCACCTCATCTTGCCTCTCGAGCAGTTAATAACTTGAAGGGTTCTTGTTTTTATTCAGGTCATGATGACTCAGACATGGAGATTCACGAGGATGAGGGGTCGGATAGCGACATGGACGACCGGCAGCTGATCAAGCAACACACAGCCATGGAGATGCTCATGCAAGGTGGGTCAAGCTGCCCCGTCCTCCCAAACGTGCTTTCAAGACACGGCTAGCTCGCTGTCAAATAGTGCAGCCTGTACTCGTGACCGTGCAAATGAGAAAAATGTTTTTTAAGAGATAAAGCAATGTCAGGTTGTACCAGCGTAAATAAAGATTCCTCGGGTTAAAATTCTAAAGATTGCCTTTAGATTCTAACTGGGAAAGCTTTTGTAAGTAGACGGCCAACAGTCTTAGACCAAGTCAGTTTCCTTTACCTTAAGCCCATCTTACCTAATTCAACCAGGAAAAGGTGCTCCGTGGAGGGGTTTGAAACCCCACCAAAAAGGTGTGCCCATTCTGACAGGTGTGAACATTTTTACTTTTGATAGCTCTGCCGACAGTGGAAACATCCATGAACCGTGAGCTTATTTATTGATAGTTCTGCCAGAGCTTGGCTTACATTTTTGTTACATTTTCTGACAAATACTGTGTGTTTTAGGGCGGCCCAGCAAAAGGATTGTTGGAACTATGCAAGGGGGAGACACAGAGGATGAGGTAAGTGACTGTGGCTGAAGTCCCGTGGTATTTTTAAACGTGTTCACCTGCACCTTTTTGCACATTAAAAGAAAAAGTTATTTTAATAAGGGTTTTTTTTTTCCTGCTGGAAAGCAGGAAGGTTTAGCTCCTTTCCCGCCACTGAACTTTTGTTATTTGTTTATGATTAAGCCCAAATCCATTTCCTCGACATTTAGTTACACTGGGTTTAAAATAACAAATCATTTAATGAACTTTGAATGTCGGATTTTAAGTATCCCTGCCTCTTATTTAAATTTTATATCCTGTTTTTATGTTTTACTGTTTTATTTGTACACCCACAGAGTCCCTCTGTAAGGCAGATGGGTGGTTTCTAAATTTGATTAATTCATTAATTAGGCAAGGTTGGACCTTCTTCTTTAAATCAGAGGTGAGGGATAAGCTAGGATTGTCAATAATCTAAAGGTAGTATGTTCCACTATGAACATGATTTCTTTAGCTTATGCTTGTCTCTGAATGTGTTTTTCATATGAATAGTGCAGGTAGTCCTTGACCTTGTTTAATGACCGTTCAAAGTTACAATGGCATTGAAAAAGGTAACTTAGGGCCATTTTTCATAATTATGACCTTTACAACAGTCCCATGGTCACGTGATCAAAATCTAGATCAGTGGTTCTCAACCTGTGGGTCGGGACCCCATTTGGGGTCGAACGACCATTTCATGGGGGTCGCCAAACAAGGCTGTCCGCCATTTTTCCCCCCTTTTCTTTGGCCATGCCCCTGACACCCGGTGATGTATAAGTGGTTGGGGGTCACCACAACATGGGGAACTGTATTATGGGGTCGCGGCATTAGAAAGGTTGAGAACCACTGACTTAGGGTTAGGGTTAGGTCACCATGAACACATAGAGCAAAATGGACCTCGCCAACAAATTGGGAGTGCTTGGATATGGTTAGGAGGGCACTGACTTTTCTAGGCTGCCCTATCTATGTTTCCTGGTAAAATACATGGGAAAATCCCATTGGAGGAAAATTCCACTTAGGGTTAGGGTTAGGTCACCATGAACTCAGAGAGGAAAATGGACATTGCCAACAAATTGGGAGTGCTTGGGTATGGTTAGGAGGGCACTGACCTTTCTAGGCTGCCCTATGTTTCCTGGTAAAATACATGGGAAAACGCCATTGGAGGAAAATTCCACTTAGGGTTAGGTCACCATGAACACATAGAGCAAAATGGACCTCGCCAACAAATTGGGAGTGCTTGGATATGGTTAGGAGGGCACTGACTTTTCGAGGCTGACCTATCTATGTTTCCTGGTAAAATACATGGGAAAACCCCATTGGAGGAAAATTCCACTTAGGGTTAGGGTTAGGTCACCATGAACACATAGAGCAAAATGGACCTCGCCAACAAATTGGGAGTGCTTGGATATGGTTAGGAGGGCACTGACTTTTCTAGGCTGACCTATTATGTTTCCTGGTAAAATACATGGGAAAACCCCATTGGAGGAAAATTCCACTTAGGACAGTGGTTCTCAACCTGTGGGTCGGACCCCATTTGGGGTCGAACGACCATTTCATGGGGGTCGCCAAACAAGGCTGTCCGCCATTTTTCCCCCTTTTCTTTGGCCACGCCCCTGGCACCCGGTGATGTATAAGTGGTTGGGGGTCACCACAACATGGGGAACTGTATTATGGGGTCGCGGCATTAGAAAGGTTGAGAACCACTGATCTAGATGCTTGGCACATGGTTCATATTTATGACAGTTGCCATGTCCTGGGGTCACGTGATCCCCTTTTGCAACCTTCTGACAAGCAAAGTCAGTGGGGAAGCCAGATTCATTTAACAACTGGGTTACGAACTTAACAACTGCAGTGATTGACTGAACAATTGGGACAAAAAAATGTTGTAAAATAGGGCAAAACTCACTGGAAAATAGTAATAACAACAACTACTACCTACAAATAGAAATAGAAAGACTGTGGCAAAAGCAAGCAAGGGTAGTACCAATAGTCATAGGCGCCTTGGGTGCAATCCCAAAACAACTGGAGCACCACTTGAACACCATTGGCATTGACAAATTCACCATTAGTCAATTGCAAAAGGCGGCCTTACTAGGAACTGCTTCCATCCTGCGACAATATCTGTAATACCATCAAACATCCACATCTGCCTATCCCAGGTCCTTGGTAAGGACTCGATAGGTAGACAAAAATGCCAAATCCAGTCTGAACATCTGGCTGACTGTGCGATGATCAATAATAATAATAATAATAATAATAATAATAATAATAATAATAATAATAATAATAAGTTGGAAGGGGCCTTGGAGGTCATCTAGTCCAACCCCCCGCTCAAGCAGGAAACCCTATACCCTATAAATAACCCTATAAATGTCTCACTTAACAACAGAAATGTTGGGTTCAGTTGTGGTCATAAGTCGAGGACTACCTGTATATTCAAATGTATACATGTGCTCTGCATACTAAAAACATCTGGGATTGCGAATAAGCTGTGGATGATTTATAGAATTCACTTTGATTCAAAGTGGTCGTGAACACTGAGAACAAAACTGCTTTGCAGTACAATATCCTCAGAGGCCCTTAACTACCTATTCCTGAATCTTATTTAAATACTTGATTTTGCAATTCCTTTCTTCGTCTGATTGCTTCCAGTGAGATTTAGGAACGCTTAAGTATTTTGCTTTGGGCACACAGGAGTCAGTTACATTTTTACACAGCCTTTGTATAAGACGCCCTTTTGATTTGGACATGAACGGCAATGGAAACACACCACTTATAATTTGCTGCTCTACAATATGGAAAGTCCTTGACTTACAACCCTTCACGTTCAAAATTACAGCAGGCCTGAAAAAAAAAAAGACTTACATCCAGTCCTCTCACTGACCAATATTGCAGCCTCTCCAGGGTCACGTGATTCCGAATTCAACCAACCTGTATTTGTGACAGTTGCAACATCCCAAAGTCACAGGATCACCACTTGCCGCCTTCTGCCAGCTTCTGAGAAACAGCCAGTGGCGGGGGGGGGGGGAGGCAGATCTCCTTAACGACCATACGATTCACTTAAAAACTGCAGTGATTCATTTCATAAACATCGGCCAAAAATAATAATAATCCGTAAAATTGGCCACGCTTCTCTTAACCATCACCTTGCTTAGCAAATGGGGGTCCCAAATGTGGGCTGTAAGTCGAGGACTATTTGTAATAATAGCTTTAGTTTGAAAGTACTTTTCTTTTACTTTATTTGCGGAGCTTACCACCTCTCAAAATAGGTCTGTTGACTTTGGGCCAGGTTTAAGGGTCAACAAGGTCTGAAAATGGCTTGCTGGACCGGGCTATAACAACAGCAATTGCCTGCCAATAACAGACAACACAAGAGCCCCATGGAAGTAACACAGCCTCTGCTCTACTAACGTGTAAAACTAACCCTAAAGTGTCTGCCTTTAAGCAGAGACTTGGCCCATGTGCTTGAGCCAGTCCTGCTGCTGAGCTGTCTTCTCCAGCCTGGTTTGGATTTGAACTCTCTCTTTCTCTTTGCCTTTTTCCACTCACGCTTTTTTTAACCCTCTCTGGTGTCATTCCTCTGATTCCTTTCTACCTCCATCTTGCGTGGCCTCGCATGCTGCTGCTCCCTCTTCCAAAGATCGGGACAGCCCGAGCCCGAACCAAAAAGCGCAAAGCTTCCCGAGCCAAAGCAAAGGTGCGTGACTCTCCTGTCTGCCAATACTGGCTCCCCATCTCTTGCCCCCGTGTCCCTTGCCTCTCTTCTCTGCTTCTTGGGTCCTGCTGGCCATCAGAAGCCATGGGCGGTTGGGAGGACGAGGGTGAAGGTAAGAAGCAAGAGCTCGTGTGCCATCTGCCAGGGATGGGGACCATCCACAGCAGCTTCTTCCCAACCTCAGATTGGGTCTGGAGACCACCAGCAAGGGAGGTGGGGTTGGATCTAATGCAGTGCTTCCAGGTCTTGGCGACTTGAAGATGGGTGGGCTTAACTCCACGCTGCTTCAACCTTGGCGACCTGAAGATGGGTGGACTTCAACTCCCAGAATTCCCCAGCCAGCATGGCTGGCTGGGGAATTCTGGGAGTTGAAGTCCACCCATCTTCAGGTCGCCAAGGTTGAGGCACATGGATGTTATGGATGAAAGTCACTCCAGAACTAAGAAACAGAGCTTTCTCGGGACTAGTTTTGCCAAACCGTGTTTAGGCATAATTTTCTGGGCTGTCACCACGTGTTAAGGTTTAAATTGTGTTTTGGTAAACCCACTGGGTGATGTGGGAACCAGGAAGTGTAATTTTCCTGATTCTGTTTTAAAGAAAAATGGAAAGGCAAGTTTGATAGTGTAAATCTGTTTTCCCCCCTCAAAACTTCCTCTTGTCATTGTGTTTCCGTGTATCTTCAAGCAAAAAATTTCAGAGGATAGGTTGCTATAAAGGGGGAGAGAGCCTTCTTCCAGGCTCCCCCCATCTCTCTGACACACACACGTACACAAAATGCTTTGTTCCTTAAAATTACAGCTTTTATTCACAATAAACCAAAGAGACTATAGATTATTTAACTGGATAGCAACTGTATTCATTCACTCTTATGGACAAATATTATCTATATTACCGTAATTTTATTCACAATAAACCAAAGAGACTATAGATTATTTAACTGGATAGCAACTGTATTCATTCACTCTTACGGATAAATATTATCTATATTACCGTAATTTTATTCACAATAAACCAAAGAGACTATAGATTATTTAACTGGATAGCAACTGTATTCATTCACTCTTACGGATAAATATTATCTATATTACCGTAATTTTACTCACAATAAACCAAAGAGACTATAGATTATTTAATGGGATAGCAACTGTATTCATTCACGGATAAATATTATCTATATTAATTCTTCAAGACCAGGGTGTATTTTTTTTAAAATATCGGATAACGATATTTATCCGCTTTTTCCCACAGGAGGACTCAGAGGAAAGTGAAATTGATCTGGATGATGACGATGATGACGAAGATGATGATTTGGAAGATGACAGCATGGACATCTCGCCCACCAAGGCCAACCGGAGGGTCAGGAAGCCGGAGCCATTGGAGGAGAGCGATAATGATTTCTGAGGAACCTCAACAGGGACACCAAATGCCAACTTGCCCATGTCTATGCCTATGACGAGGCCATATTGAGACAGTATAAGCTGTCCAAGAGAGCCAAGATAGATATATTTTAGGCCTCAAAGCTATTATTGCTTCATGAATTTTACAAGCTTTAAAAATTGAGGACACAAAAATTACACTTAACACCAGAAGCCCTGGCAGTCCTATCGTGCTGATGGTCAAAGAACCCCATCATCTTCAAGTTAGCAGTCTGGGAAAAGAAATTTTGGTCAGTGCTAAGATGAGTTTCTCAGCTATTTCAAAGAGAAGTTTAGGGTGAATTAACAGCCTGAGTTTGGGTCTACTTTACAGATTGCAGTTGAAAAAGCCAACTCTCTGTAACAGAGGAAAAATAACTTTTTTTTTGTCAAAGATCAAGACAAAATTGTCACTTGAGCAAAGTGGAGAAAATCCCCCAAAAGGAGTGGCTGATGGCCCCTCCCATTTGTCCTTGAAGCTATTGGTAGAGCCAATTCCAAGTTGGCCTATTGAGGAGAAACTCTCACCTGAGGAAAAAATAGCTCTAGGGAAAATAGAGTTTATTTTCACCAAATGAATCATATACAACTCTAATGCAATCCCTGGTCCTTCTCTTTTCAGATTCATTGAAGTGTTTGATAGACCATTTTGCTCAAGCCAACACGTATTGTTCTGTACCGATCAGCTCAGTTCTCAACTGTAGGCCAATAAATAACATTTTTGTTTTCCTTTTGATTTTGACCATAACATTCTTGCATTTTGCAAGTAAATTGCTCCTCGCCTCCTCTCCCTTTCCTTTGCTCTTGTATCTTTGTCCCCAGTTAAGAAATTCAAGAAACGTTATTCCAAAATCAACCTATTGGCCTCTTTCAAATCAGTTTTGTAACGCTGCTTCATCTGAGCACCCTCCTCGCAGGAGCAAAAATCAAGAATGTCATGATTGGTGGAGAGTGAGTTGGGCTTCTCTTTGATCGCAGTTTCATGGCTGCATCTCCCCTTCAGGTCTGTCCTGGGTCTTCAGGACACCCATCCTTTCACCATGTCCTCAGTCAATGGGCCGGGCACAGGGAAGGCATCCATCCAGGGGAGAGTGAAACGTCACACTCTTCTTCCAACATAGTCCCAACTGTGCTTTATATCTCCACCACACAGCTGGGGGTATTTGCTCGGATGGCGTCGGAAATCACCTTAGCTCCTGATTCACCAATTTTATTTCCCAGTAAGCTGTGGGAGAGAAGAAGAAGAAGAAGAAGAAAAAGCTTTAGACTAAGCAGCTATCCAATTGCGTCCAATTGGAAGGAGATGTGGCTTCTAACTCCCTGTTGACACTTACCTTTGCATTTTGTGTCCAAAATATCTAAGTTTGTAGTCTACTATGCCAGCTAAGGCACACCTATAGGACCTTAATGATGACCATTTTCTAACCTGCTGGTGAGTGAAAAACTCCATATGGTCTTCATTTCACCATAATTGTGGCAGTAGGAATTTCTAGAGCTTCTAGACCAACTTCTCCAGTAGGCATCAGCTTGGGAACGACTGTTCTAGTTCATCAAAGGTACTTACTTGATGTAGGTGAGGTTGTGGCTTCCCGTCAGTGCTGTGGCAATGCAGATCGCCCCATCCATGCCCAAGGAGTTCTCCTGGAGACTGAACAAGGACACAGAAACATCTGACTATATGCACCGATAGGAAGTTCTAACATTGTTAGCATGTTAAGCGAACCAATTTCTTGTCATTTGTATTTGTGTTTTAGTCTTTGGCCTCATATCTGCTCTGGCTTTATTTTCTACAAAAGATCCCGAGAAACACCAAAGGAATACTAAGAATCAATCAAGACTTATGCCTGAAAAAGAGTCGTATACAACTCTAAAGCCATGTTGGAAACATTCACTGAGGCAACAGTCTTGTTTTGCATTTCCAGTTTCCTTGAGTTTTAGGGGTTTTCTTCCAGCTTAAGACATTTCAAGGCAGCCAGCTGATTTAGGAGCAAAAATTATGGCATTCTTGTAATATTGATAAGCCTTGTACTTTACAAACCTAACAACTGCCTGATGATATGTACAACATTGGTTAGAATAGGCTCCTAAGGCCATCTGCTGCTTTCTTTGTCTGGATAATAAATGCAAAACCATTTGAGTCTGAGCCAAGCAAAATATATATAACCCCAATGTTAGGAGCTGGAACTTGCTCTCAGAGCTAGAAAAACCAATTATTCTAGATACAGAGGAGATTGCTTCCAATTTCAGCAAGAGGGTCCATCCTTGGCGACTTGAAGACTTGTGGACTTCAACAGCCAGAATTCCCCAGCCAGCCACACTGGTGGGGAATTCTGGGAGCTGAAGGTCACAGGTCATAAGTCTTAAAGTTCTGGAATTGTGGAAGTTGAACTCCATAAGGCTTGAAATTGCCAAGGTTGGACAACCCCTCGCACACAGTCAGAATTCTTCATAAGCAGCCTTTCCCACATGCACTACTTACTTCAACCTGCGGAGGGTGCTATTAACTTTCAAGGAGTGGGCCATAGCCTTGGCTCCCCTCAAGCCAATGGAGTTTCCTCTAAGGCTGAAATCAGAAATAAGGAAGAGTTGTGACAAAGAGGCTACAGGCTACAGTTCCCCCATCTCGGAGATAGAAAGGGAGAGAAAGACACCATTTCCATAATCCAGGCAAGGAATGACCCCCTTCCCCAATGTTCCCAGGTGGTTTCGAAGAAACACCATTAAATATCATGAATGACAGAATGAATCTCATGAGAAATTGGGACAGTTTAAATCAAAGTAGGTTTCAGAGATTGCGAGAGGGCTCCAAGACCGAATTCTTGAATTGGCAAAGTTGGCACAGCCTGTAAGTTATTTTCTCAACCTCAGCAATTTTAAGAGAATAGAATAGAATAGAATAGAATAGAATAGAATAGAATAGAATAGAATAGAAAATACGGAATTAGAATAGAATAGAAATAGGAATGAATAGAATAGAAATAGAAAGAGGAATGAATAGAATAGAATAGAAATAGGAATGAATAGAATAGAATGGAGTGGAATAGAATAGAATAGAAAATATGGAATTAGAATAGAATAGAATAGAAAATATGGAATTTAGAATAGAATAGAAAATATGGAATTAGAATAGAATAGAAATAGGAATGAATAGAATAGAATAGAATGGAGTGGAATAGAATAGAAATAGAATAGAATGGAGTGGAATAGAATAGAATAGAATAGAATAGAATAGAATAGAATAGAATAGAATAGAATAGAATAGAATAGAATCTTTTAAAATTTAAATTAATAGTTTCCCCTTTTTCCCACGAGAAAAGAGATCTCCTGATGGGAGAGGTGAGTGTACTTACTCCAACACGGCAAGGCTCTTGTTAACCACCAAGGCTTCTGCCAGTGCTGTGGCCCCACTTGCCCCGATTGCTGCCACCTGCAGGCTGCAAACAAATCAGCACTTTTAAGAGGGGTCCAACTATGCCAGTTTCCCATTCGGTAAAGTACGAATGCTGTGTAAGAGAACCTTTGTAGCGCAGGATTAAAAGGAAGGGTCCTTGGTGTTCTCTGGGCTTGGCGGTTGACTTGAAGACATTTCATTACCAAACTGGGTAACATCCTCAGTGTGAGGAAGTGTGGGTGGGTGGAGGTATGGTGGGTCAAGCTATTGTATATAAACAGAGAACCAACTCCATCCTTCCTAGTACTCATTATGTTACCTAATTGGGTAACGAAATATCTGCAGCAAAACCAGTTCAGAGAGCAACAAGGACTTCACCATTCCTCAGAGCACCCAGGAACTCGATGGGATGAATGGTCAAAAGAGGGGAAGGTTATAATTTTCACGCCGAGCGTGAATGCCCGTGGGATTCTGACTTTGATCACAAAATGGGTCGACTTTGCTGCTCTCTGTTCTCTCTGCTTTCCATACTAACACGATGAAATACGTAGGAGAAGCTGGTGAGGTCAAAACTGTTCTGGGTTGGCCCTTGAACGTACAAAATCCCTACGGAAAATGAAAGTCCCATTCCACATTTTAGCGTGATTTACGCCGTTCAGTTTTTCCATTCACAAAAGGACCACAAGTTCGGTTCTCTGGGATTTGATGTCCTCAGGTTGAGAAAAGGAATCTAATCGTAGTTCATTGAAGTCTTCCCGTGTTGAAAATAACAGAATGGCAGATCAATCATCAGCCACTAAACACACAGGTGGACCTCGAGTTATGAACACCACTGAGCCCAAAATTTCTGTTGCTAAGCGTGACAGTTATTAAGTGAGTTTTGCCTCACTCTGCAACCTTTCTTGCCACAGTTGTTAAGTGAATGACTGCGGTTGTTAAGTTAGTAACATGGTTGTTAAGTGAATCTGGCTTCAAGGGCATCCCACGACTTTGGGATACTGCAACTGTCATCAATATAGGCCAATTGTCAAGCATCCAAACTTTGATTGGGTGTCTATAGGGATGCTACAGGGGTCATTAAGAGTGGGAAAACGGTTATAAATCACTGTTTACAGTGCCATCGTAACTTCAAATGGTCACTAAACAAATGGTTTTAAGTTGGGGCCAACCTTGAGGAACTCATCCACAGCAGTCCAGTTTTAACACAAGACAGGCACAACGGTCACAGACAAGTGGCGGGTCAACTGTTTGGCCAGAGTGAAGTCTTGGGCCAAGAGTAGCTGACCTCATCCACCGAATCCTTCCGCCCACCTCTCTTTGGATCGATGCACTGCCCTTCTAAGGAGCAAAGCAACTTACTAGAGTGCCTCAAGCGTTGAGTTCACCCGCAGAGCAGAGGCCAAAGCAACCGTTCCTTCATCCCCGATGGCATTTTCTTGTAAACTGCGAGACAATCGATGCAAAGGATTAGCTTACTTCACAGCTCAAGATTGGTGGAGTTTTGATTTGATTATCAGCTCAAAAGTGGAAAAGTTTGACCGTACCCGCAATGGAAGAACAGTTTTGAAAAGGATGAAATTTGTGGAGATGACTTCTTGGATTAGAGGGAGAGGAAAAAAAAAAACGCTATCTTGATGGTTGACCGGAAACATCTTCTAGAGTTTTTGCATAACGTTTGCGTAATGGGAGTCTACCTATACCTAACTCACGTCTTTTGACCAGCCAAGAATTCTCTTGAACCAAATCAAATCCAGTTCTGTTCTGTTCCTTTCGTTCAACAGATGCCTTTTGTGTGAGGCAGTGTTTCCCAAACTTGACCATTTTAAGGCATGTGGACTTCAACTCCCAGAATTCCACAGCCAGCAATGCTGGCTGTGGAATTCTGGGAGTTGAAGTCCACATGCCTTAAAATGGTCAAGTTTGGGAAACACTGGTGTGAGGATTCCAAATGGTAGCATCAACGTGCTCTCAATGGCTGGCTTCGCGCAAGCTAAACTTGGTGAATTTTAACTTTGGTTACTTTGCTTTGTGGATTCGCATGTTGGGCAATCCCGGCCTGTTTCACTAGTTTAGGGTTGGGGGTATGGAGGAGGTCCAGTTACCACATGGCAGGTGCCCACTGCTGGGGTATACAGTGTAATATTTATTAAATATTTAATATGCAATTAAAGCAAGGTCATCTCAAAGCATTCTGCTGCCACACAAATTCTTCCATGTCTAAAACAACCCTGAGATTTTAGAGAAGTGGGTTTTTTTTCATTCATTCATTCGTGTGAGATCTAGGTGAGGACTTACTCCAAGATGGTCAGGCTCTTGTTACATTGTAAAGCCAGGTTCAGGGCCTTGGCTGCTTTGGCCTGAATGAAATTCCATTGCAAGCTAAAAGAAGAGAGAACAATCAGAATAAAAGTCAAATCTTCTAAAAACATATCAGTTCAGAATACGGGAGCTATGAGTCTGAACTGCTGTCCTACTATAAGTCCCAAGTGAGAAGGTGACTGCCCCATCCTTTCTTCAAAGTCCTTTCCCCAAATCCTCCCTTGAGTGAAGTTTGGGGTTCCAGTTATTCAAGGTGAAGGAAATGTTGTTTTGTTTTTTTTAGAGTCAAAATAAACCTTTTGTCACTTAAATAAGTACCTCATATGCCCAAGGATCTTCCTTGGACAGCAAAGGCGACTAACAAGCACGTATTGGAGCGCATAACCCCAAATACAAGAAAAGAAGAAATAGGGGTGACATGATAGCAGTATTCCAGTATTTGAGAGGCTACCACAAAGAAGAGGGGGTCAATGTATTCTCCAAAGCATCAGAGGGCAGGACGAGAAACAATGGTTGGAAACTGATCAAAGAGAGAAGCAACCTGGAATTAAGGAGAAAGTTCCTAACAGCGAGGACAATTAACCTGTGGAACAGCATGCCACCAGAAATCATGGGTGCTCCATCACTGGAAGTTTTTAAGAAGAGGCTAGACAGTCACTTGTCTGAGATGGTATAGGTTCTCCTGCTTGAGCAGGGGGCTGGATTAGAAGACCTCCAAGGTCCCTTCCAGATTCTATTCTATTCTATTTGCTATTCTGTTCTATTTGCTATTCTGTTCTGTTCTATTCTATTTGCTATTCTATTCTATTCTATATTTGCTATTCTATTCTATTCTATTTGCTATTCTGTTCTGTTCTATTCTATTTGCTATTCTACTCTATTCTATTCTATTCTCTATTTGCTATTTATTCTATTCTATTCTCTATTTGCTATTTTATTCTATATTTGCTATTCTATTCTATTTGCTATTCTACTCTATTCTATATTTGCTATTCTATTCTATTCTATTTGCTATTCTATTCTATTCTCTATTTGCTATTCTATTCTATTCTATTTGCTATTCTGTTCTGTTCTATTCTATTCTATTTGCTATTCTGTTCTGTTCTATTCTATTTGCTATTCTACTCTATTCTATTCTCTATTTGCTATTTATTCTATTCTATTCTCTATTTGCTATTTTATTCTATATTTGCTATTCTATTCTATTCTATTTGCTATTCTACTCTACTCTACTCTACTCTACTCTATTCTATTCTATTCTATTCTATTCTATTCTATTTGCTATTCTACTCTATTCTATATTTGCTATTCTATTCTATTCTATTTGCTATTCTGTTCTGTTCTATTCTATTTGCTATTCTACTCTATTCTATTCTATTCTCTATTTGCTATTCTATTCTATTCTCTATTTGCTATTCTATTCTATTCTATTTGCTATTCTATTCTATTCTATATTTGCTATTCGATTCTACTCTATTTGCTATTCTATTCTATTCTATTCTCTATTTGCTATTCTATTCTATTCTATTTGCTATTCTACTCTATTCTATTCTATTCTATTCTATTCTATTCTATTCTATTCTATTCTATTCTATTCTATTCTATTCTTAAATATGTCACTGGAAGGCAAAAATCATGAGCTGTGTCTTACTTATTTTGGCCATGTCATGTAGGGGAATTCACCAGAGAGAGCAATTATGTTTGGAAGGGTTTGCGGTGCGGGAAAAGAAAACGCGGCCATCAAAGACCACGGTGGCTGAGACACCATCAAAGCTGACCCAGCTAAAGCATAGGAAAACTCAAGCAGTCCAAGATCAGAAGGGGAGGAGCGACCTGGTCCACAGAATCACCAAGAGTCAGACAGGACTGGATGGTTAACATCATCCTCATCATCAAAGGCAAGGAGCAGCTTCAACTCAGTGAAAGTGGTTTGGTGAGGCAACTTTGCAAATTGGACCATGAGCTTCATACTGCAAGGTCTGATGGATAACGCCAACCCTTTTGTGAGAGGCAGAGGTTATGCTGCGGATCTGGTCCCTCCCTCCCCCCCCCCCACACACTATTTTTACAGTGGAGCAAGAAACTCAAGAGCTTCTGGGAGACTTCCTATCCCTGGTTGGTGCTCTGCACTTGGCTTTGTGTTTCAGAAACATAAGGGCTAAATCCCCGGAGGAGGCCATGCCAAAAAAGACAGCAAACACCACCCACACACACGTTCCCACAGCTCACTGTAGGGAAATCAGGGCTTGGTTCTCCTTCAACGCTTGGGCAATGGCGTGGATCCCTTCGTCATGGAGCAAGTTGGCCGCCAAGCTGGAAGAAGCCCCCAAAGAAAGGAGAGTTAGCAAGGTGCATGGATGCTGTTGAAGATTTAGCTTCACGGGAGTATTTCAAAATAATATAATATACTCATGGCTTCCTGGTTTCTTGCCCTATGCCTTTAATTGAGACACCAACTTGGGTCTCAAATTAAAACTATCAAAGCAGTAATTAAAATAACCAGCTTCCAAAAGCTTTAATATGGTGCCTATGACAAATGTTTTGCTCTTTGCAGTTAGGCCCACAATAGATCTTTTTGAGAAATACACCCCTAAGTGTCCCAATAAACCAGGGGTGTGAAACTGCCGGCCCGCAGGCTGGATGCATCATGGCGAAACCGCACCCACCCCACTGCCGGCAATGGAAAACATTGCGTGACATTGCAAGTTTGACACCCCTGCAATAAACCAGTGAAACACATCTCAATACAGGTAGCCCTAGACTTACCATGCACAGGATGGGACAAATTGCCACAGCCAACTCACATGGCCAACTCGCTGGAGGACAAGTCACCACAGCCAACTCGCTATACGTGAATATATAATAGCAGTATTCCAGTATCTGAGGGGCTGCCACAAAGATGGGGGGGGTCAAATTATTCTCCAAAGCACGAAAGGGCAGGGCAAGAAACAATGGATGGAAACTGATCAAAGAGAGAAGCAACCTGGAATTTAGGAGAAACTTCCTAACAGCAAGGACAATTAACCAGTGGAACAACTGGCCTCCAGAAATCGTGGACGCTCCATCCACTGGAGGTTTTTAAGACAAGACTGGACAGTCACTTGTCTGAAATGGTATAGAATCTCCTGCTTGAGCAGGGGGCTGGACTAGAAGACCTCCAAGGTCCCTTCCAGCTCTGTTGTGATTCTGATTTGCTGGGGGACCGTTTAACAATTCTATTGAATTATTTAAAATAAATGTTAAAAAATCATTTCAATTTTTTGGGCCATTCACATTTCATTCTGTCCTTCCTTTTGCACCCTTTCTTTAATTATTCTATTCCACCATTTCTTTGATATTAGTGTGATTCTTGTCCCGCAGCGAGTTGTCCCGTGGCGATTCCAATCATTTATCACACACAGACATGTGAAGTTTGAAGTCAAACACAGGAGAGACTCACTCCAGATCCTTCAGGGTACGGTTAACTCGCAGCGCGTGGGCGATGGCTTGTGCTCCCTCTTGGCTTATGGAGTTTTCCCGTAGACTTTTTTAAAAAAAACAAAAATAAAAGGAAGAGAAAAACCGTTATTGGTGTTTTCGTAATACCTTCGTTTGGTACAACGCTCCAGTCTGACTTTAAAACATAGAAGAGGATGGAGATCTGCATCCTTACAAATTCACTTTTGTGATGATTTAATTGCTAATTATTTTGTTTATACGCCCCCAACAAGAGGATGACGAAGTGGGCACAAAGGACGAATGATTCAGATATCCCGAGCAGCTGGTAATCTTTGGGGAGGTATATTATAAGTGTAAGTGTGCCACTACAAGAGAAGATTCGTAGCTCAGGGTTGAACTGTGGGGTCCTTAGTGCTCTCTGAGCTTGTTTTCTTGCAGACGTTTCATTACCAAACTAGGTAACATCATCAGTGCTAGAAGGGAGTGGGATTTGTAGAGAGGAGGAGGGGGAGCAGGAGGGGGGGAAGAGGAAGAGGAGGAGGAGGAGGAGGACTGGTTCCTTTGGTGCTCTCTGAGCTTGGTTGTTTTCTTGCAGACATTTCATTACCCAACTAGGTAACATCATCAGTGCTAGAAGCGAGGAGGAGGAGGAGGAGGAGGAGGAGGAGGAGGAGGAGGAGGAGGAGGAGGAGGAGGAGGAGGAGGAGGAGGAGAGGAGGACTATGGGGTTCTTGGTGCTCTCTGAGCTTGGTTGGTTTCTTGCAGACATTTCATTACCCAGCTAGGTAACATCATCAGTGCTAGAAGGGAGTGGGATTTGTAGAGAGGAGGAGGGGGAGCAGAAGGAGGAGGAGGAGGGGGAAGAGGAGGAGGAGGAGGGGAAGGAGGAGGGGGGGAGGAGGAGGAGGAGGACCATGGGATCCTTGTTGCTCTCTGATCTTGGTTGTTTTCTTGCCAACATTTCATTACCAAACTAGGTAACATCATCAGTGCTAGAAGGGAGTGGGGTTTGTGGAGAGGGGGACCACTATGGAGTCCTTGGTGCTTTCTGAGCTTGGTGTCTTTCTGACAGACATTTCATTACCAAGCTAAGTAACATCATCAGTGCTAGTGCTGAAATGTCTGCCAGAAAACAACGAAGCTCAAAGAGCACCAAGGACCTGACAAACGCAAATGTGTGGGGATCATCACTGTTGACTTTGGCCGATGGGGTAAGCAGTCATAGCCAGCGGTATATTCTAAATATTCCTCCTTTGAGAATTGTAGGTAAAGATCGGAAAACTTCATAGGCGGCAGCACTGGGCACACCGCAGTGTGGACCTACTTGAGGCTGGCGAGACCTTGGTTGCAGCAGAGAGCACGTGTGAGTGCTGTCACTCCGGTGTCGCTGACGGAATTGCTCTGGAGGCTGAAATGCACACACACAAAAAAGGGAAAATGAGCTGGATCTCTTCCTAATCGTACCGTTCCTGTTCTGTACGAAGTTTTTACACTGAACAACTGCGGTGATTAATCAGTGGAAGGGCTTGTCTTCAATAGTTTTGGGTGCTCCATCACTGGAGGTTTTTAAGAAGAGACTAGATAGTCACTTGTCTGAAATAGTATAGGTTCTCCTACTTGAGCAGGGGGCTGGACTAGAAGATCTCCAAGGTCCCTTCCAGCTTTATTCTGATTGATTGCATTGATTAACTTAATAAGCTTGGCAAAAAAAAAAAAAGGCTTAAAATTGAGCGTGACTCACTTAACAACTGCTTGGCTTAGCAATGGAAATTCTGGTCTCAATTATATAGATATTTATTTGTATCTCACCTTGATTTTTTACAAGCAAAGCAACCCGAAGTGGCAAAACATATCTAACACATCTTCCTCCTCCTGTTTTCCCCACAACAACAACAACCCTGTGAGGAGGGTTGCAAGAGAGAGGGACTGGCCCAAAATCATCCAGTTGGCTTTCATGGCTAAGGCGGGACTAGAACTCACCATCTCCTGCTTTCTTAGGCTGGTGCCTTAACCACTAGGTCAGTGGTTCTCAACCTGTGGGTTGGGACCCCATTTGGGGTCGAACGACCATTTCACGGGGGGTCTCCAAACAACGCAGTCCGCCATTTTTCCCCCCTTTTCCTTAGCTGTGCTACTCCCTTTTATTCTATTGGCTTTTGAAAGCCAATAGAATAGACTCTCTTCAATAGAGTCTAATTCTATTGGCTTTCAAAAGCCAACAGGAATTGTCCAGGCTGTCTCTGCCCTGCTGAGCCCGCCAAAAGTCCCATTCTGCAAACGGTGCTGCACCAGTTGAGTAGTCCTCGACTTACGACCGGTTGGGGGGTCGTGGCATTAAAAAGGTTGAGAACCACTGCACTAGGTCAAATTGACCGTGTAGTCTCTTTCCAAGGGCAGAGAAGAAGTCACCCCAACAGACAGAGATCAGCAAGCCACTTACTCCAGGGTTAGAAGGGTGTGATTCAACCTTAGTCCTTCAGCCAAAGCTGCTGCACCCATGTCACCAACACAGTTTCCCGACAAACTATAGGAAGATAAATGTCAATAAGCCACCAGTTGATTTTGACCTGCAGAAGGACCACTCTATCCATGATTATAATTTCAGTTTCCATTCCACCTGATGGACAGAGTTATCCTCTTTCAAAGGGACAGAGATTTCTTTATTTAAGAATGAAATGGCTGCCCAACTAATTCTTAGTGTCTCTGGGCAGCTTATAAAGATAGAAATTCAATATAAAAACAATTAAAAAAGGAACCACCCCATCCCCAACCCAACTCTCTTGACAACAACAGTCAATCAAATAAGCCGCTTGATGGGCTCCATTCCCTTTCTGGGATCCCCAGGCCTGTTGGCAACTAGCATGTGTACTTATATATACCACATGGATACACACACACATATCTATACACCAGCGTGTAAAACCAGGTCTTCAGGCCCTGAGAAAGAGTCTCAAAATGGGGGGCAATCTTTTCTCTGGAGGGATGATGTTCCACAGGGAGGGGAGGGAGCCACCTTGGAGAAGGCCCTTCTTCTTGGTCCTATGAGATGGACCTTCTTGGGAAAAGGGATCCATAGCGTTCCCTGTTTCCCCGCTCTGGTGAGTTGGGTAGATGTGACCCGGAAAAGACAGGAGATGGAGCCCAGCCAAGTGAATTCAAGCGTGGCACATTCTGTTCCTTCTAATGGCTTCGTACGTGGTCCGATTCCTACAATAGGTGTGTGATGTCCTGACGCCCATATGAGGTGACCGAGCTCATGCTACAATATCGTTGTTTTCCCCCCTCTGCAAATCCCCATGGACCGGTCTGCCATCTTATGAATGGCCACCATCTATGGTTAATTACTCCTGCTCCAACCCTGTTGCCAGCCCAGGACTGAGGGGAGGCATTCCGTTTCTCACTCCTCACATGAGGTCCCTCAGGCCCCAGTTCTTCTTCAGGGCTTCGGCCAGCTGCTTTGAACCTTGCGGTCCCACTCCGTTCTTCTGGAGGCTGGGAAAGGAGAAGGAGATCGTTAATGGATCCAGACATGGAGCATTGTCCTTCTAAGTCAGTGTTTCTAAACCTTGACAATTTTAAGGCATGTGGACTTCAACTCCTAGAATTCCACAGCCAGCAATGCTGGCTGTGGAATTCTGGGACTTGAAGTCCACATGCCTTAAAATTGTCGAGGTTGAGAAACACTGTTCTAAGTGGTGACTCTCTTCTTCAGAAGAGAGCAAAATTGAAGGGAGGGCCATGGACGTTTAGGGTCAGGACGGGGTCTTTTCTGATTTGAGGAAGGGCCTGTCCCCAACTCTGCTTCCCTCTCACTCTCGCTCTCTCATCATCTATTTATCATCTAGCTATCATCCATTCATCTATCATCTATCTATCTAATATCTCTCTATCTTTATCTATCTCAAGCTATGGCAAATCTAGACAGCATACTAGAAAGCAGAGACATCACCCTGCCAACAAAAGTATGTATAGTCAAGGCCATGGCTTTCCGCAATGTATGGCTGTGAAAGTTGGACCATAAGAAAGGCTGAGTGCCAAAGAATGGAGGCCTTTGAACTATGGTGCTGGAGAAGACTCCTGCGAGTCCCCTGGACTGCAAGGCGATCCAACCGGTCAGTCCTGGAGGAGATCAACCCCGACTGCTCTTTAGAAGGCCAGATCCTGAAGTTGAAACTCAAGTCCTTTGGCCACCTAATGAGAAGGAAGGACTCACTGGAGAAGAGCCTGATGCTGGGAAAGATGGAGGGCAAGAGAAGAAGGGGACGACAGAGAAGGAGGTGGCTGGATGGAGTCACTGAAGCAGTAGGCGTGAGCTTCAATGGACTCCAAAAGATGGCAGAGGACAGGAAGGCCTGGAGGAACGTTGTCCATGGGGTTGTGATTGGTCGGACATGTTCGCAACTAACAACTACCTATCATTATCTATCTATCTACAGTATCCATCTATCTATATCTATCTATCTATCTATCTATCTATCTATCTATCTATCTATCTATCTATCTATCATTATCTATTTATCTATCTCTACCATTTATTTATATACCATTTTTATTATTTTTCCATTAAGGTGACAAACACACCTAATCCCCTCCTCCTCCTCCTCCTATTTTCCCTACAACAAACCTGTTTGGTGTGTTGGGCAGAGAGGCAGAGGGTGGCCCAAAGTCACCTAACCGCCTTTCATGGTTTCTCGCTTTCTAGCCTGGTGCCTTAACCATTAGATATTTAATATTTAACCATTTCATATGATGTCAAGGAGAAGAGCAGATTAAAGACCCCTCTGCAGAATGGCTGGTTTGGAATAGAGGCAAGCAGTCCAGCAGGCCAACGTCCTTTGCCCAGCACTGCCAGAAAGGGCCGGGACGGATCAGGACCTCCCAGCACTGCTTCAGAGGACAAGTGGACGGTCTCAACCGAAAAGCAGCCGAGGGCCTGCAATGCCAGCTGTTGCTCGGGAAGAGGGGTGGGTGGGAACGATGCAATGTGGCCGCGATGGGACAAACTCACTGCAGAGTCATCAGAGTTTGGTTGCTGACAAGCACCTCCGCCAGGCCAGCTGCCCCTTTGTCCTTGATCAGGTTGCTTTGAAGGCTGGAAGAAGAGAAGGACCACGTTAGGGGCCTTTTGGCCGAGGGTCCAGGTAGTCCTCAACATGCAGCCCTTCAGTGAGGAACCGTGCAAAGTCGTAACTGTGCTGAAGGAAGTGACTGATGACCAGTCTTCCCACTTACAACCGTCAGAGAGCTGGGGAGCCCTGAGGGTGCAGTACTGCAGGCTAACTCACTGCCCGCTGCCAGCAGTTCGATGCTGACCAGCTCAAGGTTGACTCAGCCTTCCATCTTTCCGACATCGATAAAATGAGATCCCAATATGCTGACTCTGTAAACCACTTAGTGAGGGCTGTAAAGTACTGTGAAGCAGTATATAAGTCCAAGTGCTATTGCTATTGCCCTTTCTTCCTTCCTTTCTTCCTTCCTTCCTTCCCTTCCTTCCTTCCTTCCTTCCCTTCCTTCCTCCCTCCCTCCCTCCCTCCTGATCCTAACTGACTCAAGGTTGATTTGACGTTCCATCCTTCCAAGGTTGGTAAAATGAGGACCCAGATTGTTGGGGGCAAGATGATGATTCTGTAAACCGCTTAAAGGGGGCTGTAAAGCATGTGAAGCGGTATATAAGTCTAAGTGCTATTGCTATTGCCCTTCCTTCCTCCCTCCCTCCCTTCCTTCCTTCCTTCCTTCCTTCCTTCCTTCCTTCCTTCCTTCCTTCCTTCTTTCCTTCCTTCCTTCCTTCCGATCCTGACGGGCTCAAAGTGGATTCAGCCTTCCATCTTCCCAAGGTCAGTAAAATGAGGATCCAGATTGTTAGGGGCAATGGTGACTCTGTAAACCGCTTAGAGAGGGGGCTGTAAAGCATTATGAAGCAGTACATAAGTTTAAGTGATACGCTATAGCTATAGCATCCCCACGGCCATCTGATCAAACTTTAGGCACTTGGCAACTGGCATGTATTTACAACGGCTGCAGCATCCTGAGGTTACATGATCGCCATTTGCGACCTTTCCAGCTGACTTCCCACGAGCCAAGCCAGTGGGGGACTGTGGATTCGCTGCCGTAAAAAAGATCATAAAATTGGGGAATGACTCATTTAATATCCGCCTTGCTTAGCCATGGAAATTCTGGTCCCAATTGAGCTTGTAAATCGAGGATCGCCTATGCAAGGCTTGTGGGTTCAAGGCCGAGAAAGTGGAGATCTCCTTACTTTAGCGAAAGCAAGTGCTGGTTGTTTTTCAAGGAGTCAGCAAGCACCTTTGCCCCGTTGGGCCCAATGGCATTACTCCGAAGACTAGCAGAGGTAAAGAAAGGAAAATTAGCTGCACGCCGATAATCTCCAGACTTTGCTATCAGCTTGGAAGCAGGATTTTTAAAAAGGCTTTTAAAAACACGATGAATTTTAAGCAGAGATATTTCTCCTTTGGGGCAGGCTCAGCTCAATGGCAGCCAGTTGCCGACCCCTCTCATAGTGCCACAATGTTTTTAATCACACAAAATACTTACTCCAGAGCTAAAAGGCTCCTGTTGACCATCAGGGATTTAGCGAGAGCTTTCGCTCCTTTCGTACCAATCTGGTTTTCTGCCAAGCTGCCAAAAACAGGTAGTTTAAAACACAGTTAAAGGCATTAAAAAAAAAAAATCTCTCTTCATTAGGCGTGCAAATTCTGTCCGTCAGATATTGCTATCATTTTAATTTAAATATGTTGTTTTCATGTGCAGTATGGCTTTGTTGTGAAATTGATGTTGTCTTATGGGAAAGGGACTGGACCCTCTCCCAAATAATAATAATAATGATGATGATGATGATGATGATAAAGTTGGAAGGTATCTTGGAGGTCATCTAGTCCAACCCCGTTCAGGCAGGAAACCCTATACCATTTTGGACAAATGGCTGTCCAGTTTCTTCTTAAAAACTTCCAGTGTTGAAATTAATTCAGATTAACTAAAATAGAGGGGTTTTTTTGAGGTCCAGCATGAGCAGCAAAGGAAAGCTAAACATGGATTTAATTTTGTGATTAGAAGAGCTGAAAGAGGCTTCAGCCTTGGTGAAAAGTTATGATTTCACCACCAATGAGCAATCGTTACATTAGAATTTGTATAAATCTAGGATACCGCATCTAAAAGAATTTTGTGCTCAACTGAAGCCACTGTATAACCCAATCATTTACAAGTCATTTTTGATCTCCATCGCTCCATCCTATCTATAAGAAATTATTGCAAAAAATATAGTCTTCTACTTCAAATTATGGTGTCAGAGGAGATATTAATGGTCATCAATCATAAGAAACTGCATTATTCAATATTTGTTCTTTACTGTCCTACAAGTAATATAATAAAGCCTTGGCACATCAAGAAAAGTGACAGCCACAAGGAATTTGTCTGTTGTGTCTCAATTTGGCACTGCTAGTAATCAACAGAGATAGGATCTCTGATAGACAGATCAGGGGAGGAGAAGCAGAAAATGAGTCATCCCCCCATTTCTATTACGAGGTGGCAGTCTTATTGTCAGAAGGGAGAAAATGACGATGATTTCATCCCAAAACAAGGAGAATTTCTTCCCCACATAGGGGATAATTCTGCCAGCTGCTAATCATTTCCAAGCATAGAAGCCTACATATAAAATGCCCGTATTCAGTCTGTACAGAGAAGGAGAGAGAGAAGGAGAGAAAGAGAGAGAAAGAGAATGGAAGAAAAAGAATGAGAGAGAAAGAAAAAGAAAAAGCAAGAGAGAGAGACAGACAGACAGACAGAGACAGAGCGAGAGAGAGAGAGAGAGAGAGAGAGAGAGAGAGAGAGAGAGAGAAAGAGAGAGAGAGAGAGAGAATTGTTGTGTTGATGAGAAATACCTGAAAAAGGTGAACTATTTGGGGGTTATATTGACAAATACAAACACAAAGCTATTTCAAAATAACTATGTGCCTTTCTGGAATGGTATTAAAAAAGACTTACTAAAATGGGATAAACTGCATTTATCACTGGTAGAATTTCTGTAATTAAGATGGATGTCTTAACACAAAGGTGTTCTGTTTTAGAGGTTACCAATTCTTGCAATTGATACTCCATTTAAACAATGGCAGGGGGGTATTTTTAAGTTTATATGGCAAGGGGGAAAAAAAACCAAGAATCAGATACAAACTACTGCAAGATGTTAAGAAAAGAGGGAGGTTGGGTTTACCCAATTTGAAACCGTATTTCGACACTTGTTGTTCGGTCTGACTAAAAGAGTGAGTGAACCTCCAGAATAAGAGGCTACTTGATTTAGAAGGTCATGAATTAAGATTTGGATGATACGGTAATTGATGGTATGACAAGGTTAAAGTTTCAACCATCACTGTGTTAGACGTGCTATTCTAAGAGTTTGGAATAAATCTAAAACAAGGTTTTCTACAAAGATGCCTCTTTGGGTATCCCCCCAGGAAGCTTTTTTTTTTTTAAAGAAAAGAAATGGTGGCGAAGCCAAACTGGTGGACTTACGGTAAAATAATATCTTTTAATTTTGGTGATCCTATCCTCAGATCTAAGGAAGAGCTAGAATCAGAAGGACATGTCTGCCACTGGTTTACCTATTTAAGCTGAAAGAAAGATTTAAATTAGACAAGAAGAGCTATGGGTTTGACTTTGTTAAAAAATGAACTGGAAACCCTACTGCGTGGTAGTGATGAATATATCATTGCTAAGATCTATAAAGTGTTATTCAATTTGAATTTGGAAAATTAATATGTAAAGCATTGTACGGTTCAGCAGGCTAGGAACTTTGGATATAATGTAAAGCTTGAACAATGGGAGAATAAGTGGATGAAAGGTTTAAAATTTACATTAAATTACAATTTTAAAAAAAACATTTTTATAAGATGATGTATTGATATTTAACACCAGATAAGTTATCAAGAATGTATAATGGTATTTCAAGTGAATGTTGGAAACGCAAACGTAAAGAAAGGACTTTTTATCATTTATGGTGGACATATGATAAAGCAAAGAAATATTGGAGTAGGGTTCATATTTTAATACAGAAGATTCTTAAAGTGAATCGAAAGGTAAAATCAGAACTTTTTCTCTTGAGTTTAATGGAAAAAGACTTGGAGGGGGGGAAATGGAACTTTGATGTTATATACGTTGAGGGCAGCAAGATTATTTTATGCACAAAAATGGAAGGATGCTTCAATCCCCACAATGGACGAGTGGTTGCAAAAGCTGGTAAGAGTTAGCAGAGATGGCTAAATTGACTGCTTTGATTAAAGAAAAAAACAGAAGTACTTTTGCTTCTACTTGGAAACCGCTTCTGGACGTTGGGCTTGAGATGGGAAAAAATAAAATTTAGAAGTACCTGAGTTTTTGAATCTGGCAGTCTTTTCTGCTCAGAACACTGCCAAGGAGGTCCATGGCACTGTCTTTCAGTTGGTTGCAATCCAACCTTGCGGGGGAGAAAAGGAGAAAACAAAGCATTTTCAATTAATCCCAGGTGGAGAGAGGGAAGAAATGGATGGGTTATTTGAGTGTGGATGGAGAAATGTCGGGGTGCTGCTAGTGGCTGTTAGAGCATTTGGCCAAAGGGGGTTGGATGGGAAGGAAATTGACAGAGGATGAACCCAGGCTATCATCTGTCTTGAACGGTTGATTTGAATAGGAAGGTCAGGACTGGACAGAACAGGGAGGCTTCAAGCTCTAGTTTCCCTCAGCTACAGAGATGTCTGTGGAGATGCTCAATCATCTAGGTCGGGGTAGGCAACCATGGCTCTTTTATGACTCGTGGACTTCAACGTCCAGAATTCCTGAGCCAGCATGGGGGAACTATGGCCCCTTCATGACTTGTGGACTTCAACTTCCAGAATTCCCAAGCCAACATGGGGGAACTATGGCCCCTTCATGACTCGTGGACATCAACTCCCAGAATTCCTGAGCCAGCATGGGGGAACTATGGCCCCTTCATGACTCGTGGACTTCAACTCCCAGAATTCCTGAGCCAGCATGGCTCAGCTTGGAAACCTCTCCCTTTCCCCTCAGGAATTCTGGGAGTTGAAGTCCACAAGTCATAAAAGAGCCAAGGTTGCCTACTCCTGAACTAGATCAAGAGTTCCCAACAGGGGGTGCGAGACGATATTCCAGGGGGTACGAAAACTTGGGTTTAGAAGTTTCAAAATTACAGTGTATATCCATAATTGGTTATTTTGAACTTGTGTAAGGGGTGCGAGAATATATCAGAAGCGTTCTAGGGGTGCGGGGTATAGAAAAGGTTGGGAACCACTGATCCAGGTCATAGGTTGTGCTTTTTTCAAAAGGCAGCTGGACTTTATTGTTGTTGTTTTTTTGTTTGAAAGAGTTGCAGTTCTCATCAAGAAGCTTCTTCAGAACTGAAGCTACTTGGATGAGAAGGGAAATGTCTTCAGGCAAAAAAAAACCAAGAAACTCTAGCTGCCTTTTGGAAAAAGTGCCTTGGGGACGTGGGCCACAGAATTTCTCAGAAACCACCCAAGAAGTGTTATGGGGAAGGAGATAAAAGTACTGAATGAGGAGGGGGAGGTTCCAGGCTCTAATTCACCCCAGCCATGGAAGGTCCAGGGGGATGTTAGGCCAGCTTCTCTCTCTCAACCCAGGAGGTGTGATGGTGTAGTGGTGACGGTACCTGTTGTGGGGGAAAATATGAGGGGACACTTTGTGCACCACCATGAGCTCCTGAATGAAAGTCAGCATATGCATCTAACAACTATCTAAATAATCAAGCTCTGGTGAACCCCATCTCATTTCACATCCTGGGTAAGACTTACTTGAGACTGTGGCAGTAAAGAAGCTGGGAGAGAAGACTTTGCAAGATGTGATAAGTGAGACAGTTAGAGAGATTGGCTTCTTCCACACATGCCTCTGATGTCTGTAGAACATAAGCCAAAGCGGAGCAATTAATTGGGGTCAACATTCCAGCTAAGTTCTCGGTTTTCAAGGCCTCCTCAACGTTGGCAGCCACCTCAGTGTGCTGAAGCTCATGTAAGCACCGCATGAGGTTCACAGTCCTACAGGAGACAATTTGGTCCACTCCCAGAAAATTCTGGAAGAGGCCGACCACATGACTCCGGTAGCCGTGGTGTTCATCCCTCACCAGGAACCAATCGGACAAGACTTTGTTTACCGGTGAGGAAAGGAGACCAACCAGGAAGCGTATAAAGATGTCCAAGTGTCCATCCTCGGATTGTAAGGATCTCTGGATGGCATTTTTTACATGGTTGACAAAGCCCAGCTTGGGCCAAGACATGCCACTTTCAACGAAGAGGTCAAATAGGGCACGCTTTGCCACAGAATAATAATAGGTAGCAGCTAGGTATTCCTGAAATGTTAGGTGAGAGAAATAGTAGATGACAGAAAATGGAGTCTCTTCCTTAAGCAAGATCCTACTGGACAAACTGGAGTGGAGGGAAGAGAGGTCAACTCCGTAGGCTTTCATGTCCTGCTCAAAAAACATGTACTTTCTCTTGATCAGGCCGTAAAATGCCAGCCGGCCCAGCCCGCTCATCATCTTCTTGCAGTTGTTCACCATAGGTTCAATCCGGAGGACTTCCTTCTGTTTCCCTTGCCAATCATTGCACAGCAATATTTTAAAGTAATAGGAATAGATCCCCGACAAAGTCTTGGGAACCGCTGAAGTTTCAGGAGAGAGATCAGCACTCTTTAGTAAATGGCCCATTGAGAATCCACAGATGCAGCAAAATGCCGGCACGGTGCAGAGGGCATACAAGGATCTGTTGGTCTTGAGTTGTTGCATCACGCCCTCTGCTAAGCTTTGGTTTTCAGTGAACATGTGATCTAAATAGTTTTTGATTTCCGTATCTCCAAAACCTTGTACCTCGGTCATCCGATCTACAAGACCGCCTGGGATTTGGCTGGTTGCTGTTGGCCGGGAAGTAATCCAGATGGATGTCTCTTGCAACAGGTTGCCTCGGATGATGTTGGTGATTAGGTTGTCCACTTGGATTTCCTTCTGGAGGTCTGTGCACACCGCTGTGCTGGAAAAATCTAGAAGCGTCTTGAATTCATCCAGTCCATCAAGAATCAGAAGGGTTCTGGCACTGCTCATCACGGGAAGAAGGCTCTGATCCGTTAAATGGGGGACTGCCAGCCTGACCAGCTTCTCAGCCGAGAGCTTTTCATAAGCGTTCAGCTCCCGAAAAGTGAGGGGCAAAACAAACGTAAATTTTTTGCTGATCTCTCCCTTTGCCCAAGCGTGGACAAAGAATTTGACCAAGGTGCTCTTGCCGATTCCCGCCACACCGATCGTCACCGAGATCCTTGGAGGTCTGCTGAACTTGGAGAGAGGCAGGAAGAGCTTCTCCAAAGGGATCTTTTTGGAGACGTCCCTTAAGCCGTTGGTGGTTTCCATCTGTATAAAATCGTGTTGCTTCTGCTGGAGATCGCTCAGCCCTTCCAAAAGGAGGAGATCGGTCAACTTCTCCAAAGGGATGAGTTCTGGGTTAGCACCACACCAGGTCTGAAGACCCTCAATGTGCCTTTGGACCATTGGTTCTGTGAAAAAAAAAGGAAGAGGATGACCTAATGACAAGAGATTGAGGAAGGGTCACATCAGGCATTGGGGTATTTGTCTAATACAATACAGGCTGCAGATGGCTGACAAGACCTTCACTATACTCAGAGAGGATGAGAATTTGTTAAAACAAATAAAAGATCAAAGACAAACCCATATCAAAAGAATTTATGGGGTGTTAGTGGAACTGGATTCAGAAGCAGAACTAGTTAAAGATTGTATGGTTAAATGGGCACAAAATTTTAATGAATCGGTTCCATTAGATACTTGGGAGATTATTTGGGTGAGGAATGTTAAATTTACACAAGCCCAAAACCTACGGGAAAACTTTTATAAAATGTTTTACAGATGGCACCTTGATCCACAAAAAATGTCTCGTATGTATTCAAACTTGCAGCCTAAATGTTGGAGATGTGGTTGCTTGGATGCTACTTATTATCATATTTGGTGGTTATGCAAAAATATAAAAGCTTTTTGGATTAAGATATGGTGGAATATTCAAAGAATTTTTAAAAGAAGGATAAAATTTACTCCACAATTGTTTTTGTTGGGTATTGTTTCCGACTGTGACAGTAAAGAAACTATATTAATGTTAAATCTAATTACAGCAGCTAGGTTGTTAGTAGGGCAATGCTGGAAGAAGGAATCTTTGCCTACTTTGCAAGAATGGTTTCTTAAAGTTTCCTATTTAGCGGAAATGGCAAAGATTTCGGCTTTTTTGAAAGATCAATCGCAAGAGAAATACCTTTTGGTATGGAAAAGATGGATAAATTTTATACAATACAAGTATGATATAAAAAAATATTATTTAGCTTTTGAATAATTTATATTTAAAGTTTAAAATATTTTTTAGATATTTTTTCTCCTCTTTCTAATTTCTTTTTTTCTTTTTTTTTCTTCTTGTTTCTTTTCTTTTTCTCTTTCTGTTTTTCAAATATTGGTGTTAAAGTATTTTATAATTTGTTTAATTATTGTAACCAAATTTGTATATGGTTTATTTGTGTTTAAAATTTCTTCTTTTAAATCTTAATTAAGCCTGTATTCAGCTCTGGGAAGGTTGGGGGAGGGTTGGGGTGGGTTGGGGTGGGTTGGGAGGGTTTGGGGAAGGGAACTTTTTTGTAAAATTTTAAAAAATTTCAATTAAAAAAAAAGACCTTCACTATAGTTCAATGGGGCTGACGGGGAGGGCTCAGTTCCAAATACATGCCGTCTTTTTCATGAATCAAATAGTATGATGCTCAGCACTGAAAGATGCAGAGTAAGTCGCTCCCCTCCAAAACTGTCAGCTGAAGGGACCAAAGACAACTCTCTGTCAGTGTTGGTTTCAATGGGAAATGAAAGTTAAAGTGATATCCTCTTTATATATTTGGAATGTCCCATATGTGGAAGAACCCTAAACCAATATCCATACAAGGGCAGGAGCGGCTGAAGCATCTTGAAAAAGTTGTGGGCCATGAAGTAAAGGTTTTGTTTTGGAGGGTTTTTTTGCTAAAAGTTGTTCTCATCTTGAGGTTAAAGACTAGCAGGACAAACTCTGCAAAACTGTTCAGATGACTGGCATACAAAAGTAGAGGAGGAGGAGGAGGAGGAGGAGGAGGAGGAGGAGGAGGAGGAGGAGGAGGAGGAGGAGGAGGAGGAGGAACAGCAGCTTGGTTTCTTGATTGTTGTCTTGCAGATGTCTCATTACCAAACTAGGTAACATCATCAGTGCTAGAAGGGAGTGGGCTTTGTGGAGTGGAAGAGAAAGGAGGAGGAGGAGGAGGAGGAGGAGGAGGAGGAGGAGGAGGAGGAGGAGGAGGAGGAGGAGGAGGAGGAATGATCACAAGATGTAAGCTTTTCCAAGCTGTTTTTTTGCAATTGACAAAATCCCGTCAGTCAATTGCAAAAGGCAGCTTTATCTGGAACAGCTTACAGCCTGCAAGTTTATCTTTAACACCGTCAAACAACATCTGTTTATCCCAGGTCTTTGGGAAGAACTCAACAGGTGGGCAAAAATGCCAAAGTCAGCCTAAACATCTGGGCTGCCTGTGCAACCAACCATAATAAAGTAGAGCAAGAAGGCATCCCCTAGTAAGACTATCTACTCACCATCCATCAGAGGTCTGCTGGGATCATTAGCTGCAATAGGGCATTGACGGCATGTAGCAGACAATTTCCACCTCGTTCGCCCTTCACAACCCTCTACTTAATGCATGACATGGGACGTCTTATCGGAAAAGCCTTTATCCATGATTCTGAAGGAGGAAAAGAAAAAAGATTATTGCTAAGGCAGGAGATGAAAAAAGGGAAAACAACCAACTCCATCATTTCAGCACATCACCGTGTCTTCTCTCTATTTCTATTGTTGTATGTCCTTCTATTGTCCTAATAGCAGTGCCCAAATTTACCACCTGGCTAGTACCTTACAGGAAAAAGTCAGAACATCAGAAGAACAAAAGGACTTGATCGATCTCAACTCCCCATCTTTATCTAACAAGGTGGCCTCCAGGAACAAAGAGAAGAGTAGGTCAGCCACCTCTGAGATGGAAAAATACTCGGGATTATGGTCTTCATACAAAAACAACTTTGTCTAGAAACCTGGAGCTCAGCAATTGCTGATGCAACATCCTCAGTTGTCCTCAGCTGTCATGCTCAGTTGTGGACACCTACTGTTGATAAATTGAACTTTTTTTATCGTTACACTGTTGGACAATAATTGGTAAAGCGAGCAGACTCAGCTGGAGCAGGGCTTTCATTCCCCACCCCCCAATATCCTTAGTTGCTTTTCTAACCACCTCTCCAATTTCCAGTCTTCACTCCTTCCCTGTCTCCTAAACTCACATTTATCATCTCTAGTAAATGGTACTTTTCAGGCCATTTCCCTTCGCCTAGACTTACGTTTCATAGCTCAGTGATGATGAGAACCCTTATTGGTGAGAAGGATTAGCAAAGAAAACATGGAAAACAAGGTTCTCTTACTCTCTACATTGATGTATCACTGGATATTCCTGGCATCATAGCAAGAGAATTGGGACCTGTGTTGCCTGATGACTAGGGCAAGGCATCTTCTTTTATTGACTATTTGATCAGGAACACTAAGCTGGTTTCATTAACTATGGTTGTAATTTGTTAAGCAGTGCCATCTGACCTTCCTCCTCCTCCTCCTCCTCCTCCTCCTTCTTCTCCTCCTTTTTCTTCTCCTTCTCCTCTCCTTCTCCTCCTCCTCTCCTCCTCCTCCTCCTCCTTTTTCTTCTCCTTCTCCTTCTCCTTCTCTTCCTCTTCTTCTCCTTCTCCTCCTTTTTCTACTTCTTCTTTTTCTTCTTCTCCTCCTTTTTCTTCTCCTCCTCCTCCTCCTTCTTCTCCTCCTTTTTCCTCTCCTTCTCCTTCTCCTCCTCCTCTTCTCCTCCTCCCCCTCCTCCATTTTCTTCTCCTTCTCCTTCTCTTCCTCTTCTTCTTCTCCTCCTTTTTCTACTTCTTCTGCTTCTTCTTCTTCTCCTCCTCCTCCTCCTTTTTCTTCTTCTCCTCCTCCTCCTCCTCCCCTGCCTTCTTCTTCTCCTCCTCCTCCTCCTTTTTCTCCTCCTCCTCCTTCTTCTTCTACTCCTTCTTTTTTCTTCTTCTCCTCCTCCTTTTTCTTCTTCTCCTCCTCCTCCTCCTTCTTCTTCTTCTTCTTTTTCTCCTTCTCCTCCTCCTCCTCCTCCCCCTCCCTCCCTCCCTCCCTTCCTTCCTTCCTTCCTATCTTCCCTTCCCTATTAAAGTTACCCAGGCAGAGTGTAGTCTGTAAGCCCAAGATATGAATGCCTTATTTGAAATAAAACTTAACCCCTTGCAAAATGACTTGGAAGAAACCTTCCTTCAGCTGGATAGAAAAAAAAAATGGCAACAGTGCAATTGTTAAAATGTTTAGTGACTACCATCAACAAGTATTTGCCAAGTTCCCCACCTACTAAGATAGTTGCCAGCAATGGTAAAAAACCTGGAAAAGTGGATTTCTGCTGGCAGTTCAAGAATGGAAGAGCAGCGTTGGAAAATACGCAATGATGGCAAAATGGGTGGTCCATATTCATAACTGAAACTGGACTAAATTAAAGCAGGAATGGCCCCCTTATGTACCGATATAGCACCCAGCAGTCCATTTTGGTTTCTAAGCAGAAGAGTTAGGAGATCAATTTTAAAATATCAAATGAAATCCTGTAAATAAATAGTAGCAACAATCTCCAATATTTCGAGGAAAGCAAAATACTTCAGTCATTAGTGGCTTGGGATAGTGAAAGGGAAAAAAAACACGAGCTATTGAAAATGATGATATTTTAATGCTTTTCTTTTTTCGTTTTGTTTCAGGGTCCGCTCTTTTCTGCATTGGTCCTCTGTGTCCTTTGCTATCATCTTGAAGAATGACTGAATGCGTAGGATAAAATTTCATATTTTTTTTAATTGAAATTTTTATAAAGTTTTTACAATAAAATCCCTCCCCGCCACCCTCCCGCCACCCCCCTCCTTAACCCTCCCCCCCTTCCCAGAGCTGAATACAGAGCTAAAAACAGCAGAAAAAAAACATAAAAATTAAATAAACATCAAACAACTATATATAAATCCTAAAAAAAAAATTAAAAAAACCCTTCATTACACTGAAATCAACATTAAAATCAACAAATCTAACCATAACAACTTTACTCTATAAGTTATTCGAAAGCTAAATAATACTTTCTAATCCCATATTTATATTTATTCTGAACAAAATTTATCCATCTTTTCCATACAGAATTATATCTCTCTTGTGAATGGTCTTTCAGATAAGCCGAAATTTTAGCCATTTCTGATAAATAAGAAACTTTAAAAAACCATTCCTCTAAGGTTTCATATTGAAGAGGAAAAAACCCACATAGCTAGCTCTGCAGAAATCTTGTGGAAGACGAAAGGACTCTTACGAATTCCAGAGGGTTTTAGCAGAGAGATTTATTGCGCAGGTTCAGAAGCAATAGCAACAGCAATTCTGAATCCCAGGGCAGGTTCAGACTTCAGTTTTATACTTTCCTTTTTTTTTTCCAGGAACAAAGGAATACACATTGAAATACTCATTGTAATACATTAGGTTCGTTTCTCATGGGTATACAATGGAGAGTTTGCTACATACATTGTATCCAAGTGCAATGCGCATTAGGTTACTCACATACTACTAACACAGCACCATTCCAGTAATTATGCAGACACATCATTATTCCAGTGATTGTTCATTATTCCACATTAAAAGGGTGTTGATTCAGACAGAACCATCTTTTCAGGAAAAAACAAACAAACCTAAAAACTCCTCGGTTGAAGAGCTCTGCCAGGCAATACACATGGTGGTAGGACAAGACCCAAGTCTCCAAAGACAAAAATGAATTTGAATTTTGTATCATAAATACAAAACTCTCGCTCTCCATTTTGTGAAGCTTGGTTTTTGTGATTCTGGGTCAAAACTACAAATGTTTCTTGCAAACATCTTTAGCCTGCTGTTACTTTAAATTTAAAACTTCACAAAACTATCCCACACTGGTTGCACATCCCCTTGTGGATATCGGCACATCAGTGACCACAAGACGCTATGATGTATACTGCTTTCAGAAGACACACACCCATTTTAAGCCTTGAAGGAGCAGGCCAAATCTTGGCTACAGAGTAGCTTGCCTTCCTTGTGACTTGTGACTACCTTACCGGCAGAGAAATTTAAAATAGTTTTCGCTTCCTCCTGTTTTTTTTAACCCCCCACCCTGCCATCCCCAATATACAGATTACGATCATAAGGGAGCTCAAAATTTCTGTTGTTAAGTGAATTTTGCCCCATTTTACGACCATGCTGTTGTTAAGTGAAGCGCCGCAGTTGTTAAATTAGCAACACGATTGTGAAATGAATCCAGCTTCCCCAACTGACTTTGTCAGGTCGCAAAAGGGGATCGCGTGACCCCCCGGGCCATTGCAACCGTCGTAAATATGAGTCAGTTGCCAAGCATCGGAATTTTGATCACGTGATGACCCCGGGGAGGCTGAAACGGTCGTCAGTGTGAAAACCGGTCACCGGTTGCTTTTTTCAGTGCCGTCGTAACTTTTGAATGGTCACTTAAAGGAACTGTTGTAAGTCGAGGACTACCTGTACAATTGGGAACACAGATTTAATCTCCTACCTTCTCCGTAAATACTTACATTTCTTCAGGTTCCTTCCAGATTTCTTGGAGCTTTCATTTTAAATCCAACTTCCAACTGCAGAGAGCCAAAGGTCTGGATTTTGAGCACTTAAATTTTTGAGTCCGTGTCCTTGTTTAGAAGAACCCAGTTTTGAACCAGGATATCCTGTCTTGATCAAGGGCTGAGAGTTTTTATGATAAAAGCTGGATTCCAGTCTCTTTTTGGATGCCCTCCAGTCCAAGGACAAAGTCAGGATGAGGCTTACTCACGTTGCAAGCAACCGGTTTTTTTCTTCTCACTGAATTGCAGACAAGGTTCCAGCAACGTTGCATTGTCTTTTTTTTAATGTTTTTTTTTTGTTGTTCAGTTTCACTATGTACACCTCTTCCTGTGCTGCGGATCTAATTTCATCTTCCTTCCTGTTCGCTGCGCAGGCTACAAGACAACCTGGTGCAGTGAGGTGACCACCGAGGAGCAACTTGACAGAGAGTGAACCACAGAGTGCCTTGGTCGATGCTAACAGACTGTGGCAGAGAGAGAGAGAGAGAGAGAGAGAGAGAGAGAGAGAGAGAGAGAGAGAGAGAGAGAGAGAGAGAGAGAGAGAGAGAGAGAGAGAGAGAGAGAGATCACCTCCCTTTTGGATATTTGATGGGAAAAATCAACTAGGTGGGACCCCATTCAATCAATTCAGACAGAGTTATGATTCCAACAGAAGAGAATGTTTGTAGCTAAAGGTTGAACGGTGAAATCCTCAGTGTTCTCTGGGATTTGAGGGTTTTTTTGCAGATATTTCATTCCCCAACTACGTAACATCATCAGTGCTAGAGGGAGTGGAGTTTGCACTCTGTTTATATACTAGTGCCAATAGGAAGAGAATATTTGTAACTCAAATCTGAACTCTGGCGTCTTTGATGCTTTCAGAGCTTGGTGATTTTCTTGCAGATGTTTCATTACCGAACTAGGTAACATCATCAGTGCTAGAAGGGAGTGGGCTTTGTGGAGTGGGGGAGGAGGGAGGAGGAGGAGGACTCTGAGCTTGGTTGCTTAGTTGTTTTCTTGCAGATGTTTCATTACCAAGCTAGGGAACATCATCAATGCTAGAAGGGAGTGGATTTGTGACGTGGAAGGAAGGAAGGAAGGAAGGAAGGAAGGAAGGAAGGAAGGAAGGAAGGAAGGAAGGAAGGAAGGAAGGAAGGAAGGAAGGAAGGAAGGAAGGACTGTGGGATCCTTAGTGCTCTCTGAGCTTGGTGGTCTTCTTGCAGATGTTTCATTACCAAACTAGGTAACATCATCAGTGCTAGAAGGGAGTGGTGTTTGTGGAGAGGAGGGGGAGGAGGATCCTTGGTGCTCTATGAGCTTGGTTATTTTCTTACAGTACCAATAGGAGGGAATATTTGTCTGTACTCTGGAGTCCTTGATGCTCTCAGAACTTGGTGGATTTCTTGCAGATGTTTCATTTCCCAATTCGGTAACATCACCAGTGCAGAATATAATGAATTTGCAGGGGTCGTGCTCAAGGTTGTTCTTTTTTTGGCACAGCTCGCAACCACTTCATGCCTGGAAGAACATTTCCAGTGGAATCGAACGTGCAGATCAAAACAGCTTGCTTAAAAGCTTTTTCCCCTTAAAAGAAACCAAGAAGCAGAGGTCTTGTCCCCCAAGGTGCTTTTCCACAAGGCAACTGGACTTTCTTGTTTTCCTTTGAAGACGTTTCACTTCTCATCCAAGAAGCTTCTTCAGCTCTGACTGGATGGTGGGGAATGGAAGGATTTATACTCCTTACAGAAAAACTGGTCATTTGCCTTCTTTTAGAGAGCCGTTGAGGCCATTTGAGACTCTCTAAAAGAAGACAAATGACCAGCTGTCTGCAAGGAGTATAAAGCCTTCCATTCCCCACCATCCAGTCAGAGCTGAAGAAGCTTCTTGGATGAGAAGCGAAACAACTTCAATAGAAAAAACACAGAAAGTCCAGTTGCCTCCTGAAAAAGCTCCTTTGGGACAACCCTGACCTGGATGACTGAGAATCTCCGTAGACATTAAGCAGGTGTCTTCTTTCCATTCGTGGAAGGGCTCTTATAAAGTTGACAAGCAAGCGGTCATCATTATCTGTCTCAGGGCTTTTCAACCTTTTCACCCATTGTACCACTTTTAGGATAGGGCAACATCCGAGGACCACCAGTCGCCTAGCAAGGGGTCAAAAACTTGACAAAGTACAGGTAGTCCTCGACTTACAACAGTTTGCTTAGTGACTGTTCGAAGTTACAATGGCACTGAAAAAAGTGCCCCCCAAGCCACAGCCGAGCAAGGCACCTGCCTGCCCACCTGGCGGTGCTCTTCCTCCTGTCTGAGATTTTCATTGTTGTGAGCATTTCTGTTAAGGATTGGCAGTGGGGGTGGAGTGGGGGGTGTTTGGTTTTTATTCCCCCCGTCTGCTGGGTGGTTGCAGCAGGTTTTGGTCACTTCACATGACCCTGGGACACTGTGACTGTCATAAATACGAATCAGTTGCCAAGCATCTGAATGTAAATCACAAGACCCAGGAGATGCTGCAACATTCCAGCTGTTCGACGCTTCTTCTGGGCTCAGCAGAAGCGTCAGGATCAGTGCTGCTTTCCAGCTGACTGGTGCTTTTTCAGGGCTCAGCAGAAGCACCAGGATCAGTGCCGAGCTCCAGCTGGAGCCTGGTGCTGATACTGGCTCTTCTGCTGAGCTCTGACAGCCCTGCAGCTCCAGCCATCTCTTGCTCAGGCTTGTGCGGTGCTGCCATCGGTTCAGCTCATTCCCCTCCCCAGCTACCACTTTGCTAGGATGGTCGCATACCACCTGCCAGGTGCCAATGTACCACAGGTGGTACCCGTATCACTGGTTGAAAAGCCCTGATCTATCGGATAGGTTGGAAAGACTATTTTTCCCCGAATAATTCATGCAAATGTTTTTCTTTTAAATTTAAATCAAGAGTTTTCATTTTCCTTTGTTTTTAATTTTATTCAGAGTTTCGTTTTTTCATTTCACATTCAGGGAGTTAGTATGGTGAAACTAGACCAGGCTGGTCTTCTTTTGGAGCCAGGAAAAATCAATCTTCATGGGTTGAAAACTATTTGATTCCGTTCTGTTTCACGTAATTGACGGTTAGCTGGTTATTTTTTAAATTCACAACTTTTTAGGAATCCATGTCCCTAGATTCTGACACAGGTCAAGCAGTTTGCTGATGATGCATAATTGGGGTGGATCCAGATGTTATCAAAAAGATATTATCTTAAACGAATTACAAAATAATTAACAACAATATATATATATATATATATATATATATATATATATATATATATATATATATATATAAACAAAATGTAAAGTAATGTATCTAGATTTATTTTTATTTACATTTTATATTTTTCTTAAGATTTTTTGAAGAAACCCTAATTAAGCCTATATCCAGCTCTGGGATAGTCGGGGGAGGGAAGGGGAGGGTTGGGGAGGGATGGGGAAAATTGTTTTGTTTTTGTATTGTAAAATCTTAAAAATTTTCAATTAAAAAAAAAAGATATTATCTGTCAAAGTTCAGCTATATCATTGTCTACCCCAACTTGACTACTCTTTTCCTGTTCTTTGGGCATCATCAACTGTACTTCTGAGAATGGGTAGTAGACGCTGAGTATTAGATCAGCTCCCTCTTGGCATTCTTCAGGTGTGCTACTGCTTCAAGGCCCCGTGGCTGGAATGCTAGAAATTTTATTTATTTATTCTGCAACTGTATACGGCCACCATTTTAAGCAAATAATTCTGGACTGAACCAGGGTGCCAGCCTTTGGTCAGCAACTGTTGAAGGCCACAGAGTAGATGAAGAAGCCACATCTGCCAAGTGGGTGAAGTAGTTTGATTTTTTTTTTTAATTATTGTGGTAAGTTTATTTTAGACCTTACGCTACGGTTTCCATCGCCTTCCTGTTTTAAAATGACAAGAAATGGCTCCTTCAGTTTTCTACAGTCAAGAGTGCATTCATAATTTCCAAAAAGGGAGTGTTAGAGGTTTGCAGCTTGCCCAGTCCTTACGTGAACTGAGAACTTCACTCAATTCAAGGCTGACATTGACCTTTAAAAAGCAATGTGTTTGAAGCCAAACTGTGTTGAATATTGTGTGCTCTGAAAATATTTGCTCATTCATCCTAGGTCCCTCCCGCCCTCCCTCCCTCCCCTTTCCTTTGTCTTTCTTCTTTCTTTCTCTTATATACACACACACCCTCCCCTCCATCTGTATATCCATCTATCCGTCCATCTGTCCATCCATCCATCCATCCATCCATCCATCCATCCATCCATCCATGCAGCCTAGGTCAACTATCTCGTCTCCTTGTCACTTTGCTCAGATGGCTACAGACTTGTGGCATGCGAGTTCTCGTATCAATTCAGCTTGTAGACAGGAAGCAGAAAACCACATTTAAAGAAGAGAAGGCAGGGATCTTTTATGACATGTCACTTCTATAACAAAGCAAGGGGGGGGGGGAAGCCCTGAATACTTCCAAATCAGACGCCCAATTTGATTATTCTGAGTTTAGGAGAGACCAGAAACGAAGTGTCATTGACAAGGCCTACAATCAGGTAACTGATCGCTGCCAGTCAGAAAACCTTATTAACCATGTTCAGGTGTGTTATCTGCAAACACCATAGGTCTGTTGTGAATGTGGGGGAAATCCAAGAAACTTAAGATATTAGAAGGGCAAAAGCAGATTTAACTGGTCCATGTGCGGACGCTGGGGGCCTGGGAAAACACTATTGAATAAATCAGAGGGGCAGATTATAAGAGAAAGCAGGTATCAGAAAATCAGCTCTATGGGAAGACTATTTTTGTTGACTTGGTTGTATGAACAGAATCTTGCCATTTTGTTTGTGAGGACCTTCCCCCCCTCCCCTTATACTCCAGTGAATTGGGGGGGGGGGTTCTGAGCTGCTTTTAAATATTGTTACCATGATAGCCCACTTTCTGATTAGATTTTTGCATCTTTTCATTAAGTTCATCATGTTGACTCTCCACAATGGTGGATATACAGGACTGGATCCAGCATCTTTGAAAGAAATCAATAGCTGTATAGATTGGATTTTGAGGACTGAGTTCTGGAGCACAAACTTACTGTATTCAGTGGGTGGGTGTTTACATGAGGTTGAAGAAATTAATTCCTGTGCTGGTCTCTTAAGAGCAATCTCTACAGAAAGCAGATGTTCATTTCTTTCTTTTTCTTCAAATAAAAGAGAAAATAAAATTTTCACCCATAATGCCACAAGCAGCACAGGAGGGGTTGTCTTCAAGTGACAAAATGTCAAGTTATTTAAGAGTTTTAAACCGAGGGCAAACTTTTAATTTTAACACAGCCACAAATCTGTGGATTCCTGTTTTGAATCTGTAGAACTACCTTCCATTTGCTCCACACAAAGTTCCCAGCAGAATAGGTGCTCAAATGGCTTTTGAGGATTCCTGTGCCATTTTTCCACGAGAGGCCATTTACGAACTGATGGGACACGTGTGAATCCTGCATGCTTGTTTTAAAGCAGTTTTCAGAGACGCGCCAGATAGCAGCTTAAATCCTCCCCACCCAAATCTCTTTAGGACTACTGGCTCGTTTTACAAATAAATGTGGCCCCATTTAAAACAATTCTGAAGTCTGTAATCGTGGCTTATCTCTCATTCGTTTTTTACTTGGGTCATCTGCTGTTTCATAAACCACCCTGAAGATTTATTTGTACTGAAAAGCGGAGATTATATCCGCATTAATTCTATAAATAACATCTATCCAAGTTAAGAATTGCTCAAGTAGCTTCTCCCCCAAACTTTTCTTCTGAAGAAATGGAGATTCTTATTTAGTCAATTAAGACCACATATATACCACTCTATTTTTTTTTTTCCTGCTGGTTGGTCCCTTCTTGACTTCTGGTGAGTGTACGGACAAGGCCACACATAAACTAAGTTCTACAAATTTTAGCTGCTTGCTGTAAATATAACTGGCCGTTTGATACTCATCGCAATTAGTTACAATGTGCTTTGTCTTAGCTTGTCAGGTTGACTCCAGCCAACCATGGTCTATCCAAGGAACTATTGAGAAGCCAAGTAGGGTGAAGGTAACGTTACCGGTGTCTGTATCTGGGCTGATCAAAACAATCTTACATTAATACCTTTTCTAATATATTATGCAATAAGACAGAAGGCCATATAGGGTTATGATAAAGCATATTAAGACTGAGATGTCACTTTGCACTTGATAGACGTTATAAGAGGCTTGAATGCCACCTGCTGGAACACCAGAGACCAATTTTTGTTGCTGCAAATCATACTGGTGGATCTCCAGCTGCGTTGAGCTATTCTGGTCATCCCTAGTCAACATTTGTGTATCATCTCTGTAAAGAGTGGGGTGCAAACTAATAATGAGTTACTTCCAAACCAAGGATTGGATCCCCTTCTCTGAAAAGAACAGAAAAAAAGGAAGGAAGGAAATAAATCCTGCCACGAATGTTGAATAGATTCTTGCACCAAACAAGAGGATTATAGTTGATGATATAAATCCTGTGAACTTTAGAGATTCTTATTGTTAAGTACATGTACGCCAATTTTTATTATAATATCTCAGTGTTTAAAGGCAATGTTACACTATGCCGTTTCTGAAACTTCATAATAACAGTGAAATATTCAGTGGTTTAAAACAGAAAATAAAAGCCAGCAAGTATTCAGTTTTACTTCCATATGGACTTATTTGGTAATGTTAGGAGACTGGTGCCCTTAACCATCAGTCAAATACGTAGTTAATAGCAGCTAATGAAGTCCAGACAAAAATTTGAGCTCATTGGAAAAATCAGTCGGATTCCATCATGTGAAACGATTTTTAAAATTGTTTTATTTGGATAGCCAAATCAGCCCCAATCTCCTCTGGACAAAACAACGTGTCACCAAAATCAAGATGAACCAATAGGCTCACCCTCAATTCAGAGCACTGGTTATTTTTAGGAGCCTCAGAGTAAATACCTAGTATGGCCCAATGAGAAGACCTGGGGGGCAAAATATCAAGAGCTGCTAGCACGAAGTAGCAGACCTGGGCGATGCCCATGATGTGCAACAACACAAACAAAAGGATTCCTCTTCAAACAGAATTTAATGGAAACTAACATGCCAGGATGCTTCCCAATCTAATTGAAGTGGAGTGGCTAATTCATCCTCCAAACAAACAAAAAGCATATAAAGCTTGTGTTACGTGTGTTTTTAGGCGGGAACCAGAAAACTGGAATTTTTACGTTTTTCAGCTGAAGTTGTAGCTTCCTCCTTCCAACCTACTTCCAACTCTTAAAACTCAGGGGTGTCCAACCGTGGCGACTTTAAAACCCGCGGACTTCAATTCCCAGAATTCCCCAGCCAACTGGCTGGCTGGGGAATTCTGGGAGTTGAAGTCCACAGGTCTTAAAGTGGCCAAGGTTGGACACCCCTGATACAGATGTTAGCTGAAGCTGTTCTATACGGTACTGCAGACCGACAGCCCGTTTTTTATGGCTGGTCCTTGTTATAATATAACAGAAATACTCAGCACTCTACCAAGGGTTTACAATTCAGGAATGTGTAAATACAAAGAGAGCATCTTATGGGGTAGAGATACTCATCGCATTGCCCCAGAGCAAGCTTCAGTAGATTTCTCTTTCTCTGTGCTGATGTAGCTAGGACCTTGTTTTTCAAGACATTTTAAACAGTGATAGGACCCTCAAATAGATCATTGAGCACGCCAAGTCACAAAGATAAGCTTTTAATGTGAATCAGACTGGCAGGACAACAGCACTTGACTTACATCTTGTTACTTAGACCAAAACTCCTCAAAAGACATGGGAGGAAGGGGAGAACATGAGGGGTGGGGAAGGGAGGAAGTGCTGTCACAGATCAAACGGCTCAGCTGCAAATACTGAACATAAAAATCCTCACGGAAGGGATGGGTTCCTAATGCTTTGTACATTTCACGTGATTTGCCTTGCCAGTTTTCTTCTCCTGGACCCATCAACCTTTTAAGGTGTGTGGTGAGATTTAAAATTCCTGGGAATGGGCTGTTTTAGATTTAAAATTCCTGGGAATGAGCTGCTTTAGATTTAAAATTCCTGGGAATGAGCTGTTGTAGATTTAAAATTCCTGGGAATGAGCTGTTCCAATGGGATCTCTCTGTGACTTTGAATCTGGGGCGGGGGCACCTTCTCACAGCAAATGTCTCTGCTTCTATCCATGCAATCCTATGCATGAAGATCCGTGCCCACGTTGCTCTATCAGAAAAAGTAGCAGTGATAGCAAAAGAGGAAAGAAACTCAAAACTCGGCATTAGGATTAGGACAATTCTGTTAATCTCTCCAATTTGGGGGATGAAGCCAAAAAAGGGGCAAAAGGGAGGAGATATAGAAGCGGAACAAACGTTTTCCCCAGTTTACTAGACTTGGGGTGCCTGCTATTAACTTTGATCCGCTTTCAGTGGTCATTTATTAAAATTCAAGCTGTTGTAACTTTTAAGCAGATCATAGCAACAGCAGATTATGGTCCGTTATCTCACTGATTTCTTACCAACCTATAATGTTTAGTTTATCACGGAAAGTGCAGCACTATCCGAGTTTTTGACCAAATAGATTTCTGGGGATCATCCGCCCCGGGAGGACACCTCTCAACAGGGTCTTTGATGAGGTTCCTTGTTAAGTGACAAACTAGGACACGTGAACCAAATTCAGGAACCCAAATCCTTTCCAAAGGTAAGATTTGGTAATAAATGAATAGGCTGAAGAATAGGCAAGGTGTAAGAAACTACACCGAAGAGCAGAGCGCTGAGCAAAATAATCCAATCATCATTTAAATTAGAACGCCGTGTTAACTTCACCAGACTACAGATACAATGACCCTAAAAACGAAAAACCCTATCCAGTTGAAGCAACTTGTCCCCAAATTTCAACAAGGGTGCATGTCAATTAAACTGCTGACTTGTTTACACAGAGTTGAATGTTTGAAAAATACGGAATAGGAAACCCCTAAAGCAGTGGTTCTCAACCTGTGGGTCGGGACCCCATTTGGGGTCGAACGACCATTTCACGGGGGTCGCCAAACAAGGCTGTCCGCCATTTTTTTCCCCTTTTCTTTGGCCATGCCCCTGGCACCCGGTGATGTATAAGTGTCACCACAACATGGGGAACTATATTATGGGGTCGCGGCATTAGAAAGGTTGAGAACCACTGCCCTAAATGAAGAGGTTTACAGGAGAGGCCAAAGGCATCCCCATCTCTTGAAGTTCTTTCAGTTAGGGTACAAACTTAACTTGGCTACAGAAATGCAAGTGATGCTTTAAAGTGAGCAGGTGAGGATACTGTGTGTGTGTGTGTGTGTGTGTGTGTGTGTGTGTTTTTAAAGCAGATGGCAATCCCTTCTCGTAGGATTGCTTTCCAGCAGCTGCGTTCTGCTTCTAAGGTATTAATCTGGGTGGATCCCTGGCTGCTGGATCTCTTTAGGCTTAATAAAATCAAAGTTTGGGTCAATGGGCAGGGAACTGTCATTGCTAGCTGCAGAAACGATAAGAAATTCAGAACTACAAAAGGATGTGCTGTCTTCCGTTAATATAAATGAGAGATTTGGGCCGTGTAGAATGCTTCTCAAGACTATTTACAGTACAAGAAGGGTCTCGTGGCGGGAGCTCAGATCTCGCCAGCTTCCCTCTCCTCCGACCTCTTGGAGCGAGATTTGCCATTGGTGCTCTCGTGCCGCCGTTCAGACGAACTCTTCTCTTTCTTCTCCCGGTCCCGAGATTTCTCTCTTGAAGATCGATCCCTAGAGGATCTGAAGTACAAAGCGAGCAATGTTATAATAAAGGAGCCACTACAAAGGCACCGTAGTTCAAGCTACATATATATACACAAGGAAGGTGGCCAGGAGAAGGAACTGTAATTTTTTTTTTTCTCTTGTCCAATTTTCCTTCCTGGAGCTGGCTAGCTGGTGGGAAAGAAAAATCACTTTTCTGGATAGGCAGGAAGGGGTGATGAATCCTCATTCAGCACAAGCTATCTAAACTGGTCTCAAAGATAAGAATTCAAAGGATTTTTTTTTTTGAAATGCAGTACATCACCCCCAAAGAAATGGCACAAAAGAATAAGTGAATCACAGAAGGACTCTCCAAATAGAATTCAGGTTCCCCACATAGAGCTGTTTTTTTTTTAAAATTCATTAACAGAATGCTTCAAAATCCAGATTTAAAAGGACGCCAATTCTTAAACTATGAAATTCTCCTAGACAAGAACGCCATTCAGAGGGCACTGGCCTTGAATCACTCTAATATAAATTAATCCCACTCCTCCAACTTTGTAGCAATGGATGGAGTCAAAAGCAAATTCTTTATCTCGGGAGTCAAAAGCAAATTCCTTCAAACGGTCACTGAAAAGTAGTGATAGCAATAAAAATCTTTATTGCTTCTATCAAGGAGCCATACATGTTCAGGAAATAAAAAGCTGGCAATAAAGAGACACATGAAAAAAGCCTTAGCACCTGAACAGAAGGGAGCATCATAATCCTTCCCAAAGTGAGGTTTGGTAATTAATAAATTTGCTCCTGTGACTGCTGGGACCACCAGCCAGCCTTGCAGAAGAACTAAACATAATTCAGTCTTGTTTTAATTCATTCACATCCTAAGAGTCAACGGTGACATCAGCATCAGGGTTTTTCCTACTCTGCGTCACAGCAAACACAAAGGAATTTTATGATAGTCTATACATTATCGCCCATTTTTCAATTTCTTCAACCCAACTATACTATTATTCGTTCTCTGCTACACATTTTAAATTCCATTTCCAATCTGTACCGGACAGTCTCAAAGATGCCTTTTTTTTTTTTTTTTTGGCTTCAAAATGCAACTGGACTGTTTTTTGAGGAAAAAAAGAAGTTTCGCTTCTCATCCAAGAAGCTTCATCAGTTCAACTGATGCAGCTTCTTCTTCTTCCTCCAAAAAAAAAAAAAAAAAAAAAAGGTCCGGGTGCCTTTAAAGCAGGCATGTCAAACTCGCGACGTCACATGACGTCGTGCAACGTATCGGGCCAGTTTTGCCATTGCCGGCAATGGAGTGGGCGCGGCTTCCATGTGATGCATCCGGCCCACGGGCCGGCAGTTTGACACCCCTGCTTTAAAGGCACCTTTGAGACAACTATGACCTGGATGACTGAGAATCCCCATAGACAGGTAGCAGACACTGTTCCCCTTCAACGGCTCTCCACGGGAACCAGGGCTACGCTATAGTATTAGAAGTTTCCCCTCTGATCCTAAACCCCAGCTTACCAAAAGAGTTCTCCAAGGATGGCTTGGTCAAGGAATCGTTAGGCAAGACAGTTTTATGAATGGCCCAACCTCTCTCCCCTTAACGATAATAAATTCACTTGCCCTCTCCTTCTGAGTCCAATCCATACTGCCACCCAGAGAAAAGCACAAACCATGATGTTAGTGCTCAAACAGAGGAGGGAAAAAAAACAGGGAGAAAAAAATAAGAGTCAGGAATTCCGAAGGTGGTTAAGAGTCCTTCTTCAGCATCTGTGACTTGCTAACTCAAGTTAGCACTAGCCAACTTGTACACCAGCCTGACTGCTAGTTTCAGTCTATAAAATGGGAAGCAGGTGATAAGCCTGGATAATTCCATTAATCTGGGGTCCTCACCCAAGTGAACAATCTCTCCATTTTCTCTCAAGCCTGGTTTACCACGTGGAGATGGAATATGCCATCTTTCAACTGCTAAAAGGTGGGGAGGACACAAGGTATGAAAGCAGTCCTCGATTTACGACACCTGCAACCAGAATTTTCACTGCTAGGCAAGGCAGTGAGTCATGCCCAATTTTACAACCTTTTCCACCACTTTTAAACAAACCACTGGCGTTGTTAAGTGAATCAGGGGGTTGTTGAGCAAATCTGGTTTCCCTTTGCTGGAAACAAGCTGGGGAGATCTCAAAATGGTGACCACAGGACCCCAGAACGCTGCAACTGTCGTAAACGCAATGCTGGTTGCCAAGCGCCCGAATTGTGACTGTGGAGATGCTGTGACAGTCGTTAAGTCCGAAGATTCGGTTGCGAGTCACTTTGGCCAGCCCAGTTGTAATTTCAAATAGTCACTAAACAAAGTAGTCGTTGAGGACTACTTGTGACCGAGATTGTACTTTTGCAACTACAGGACCATGGTCTGAATTCAATTTCACCAAACAGTCTCTTCTCCAGCAGGATGGGCCTCCAAATGAATTAGGATGAATTAGGATAAATCCCATCCTCTCTAGCTAGCCTATGAAGGGTATCTAAAGAAGACGACTTTACGGGATACAGAATGATCACTTGTTTTTAATTATTTCACTGGCTCAGTACACTGAAGCCGCTGTGGACCTACGCTCAAAACAAAGGTATTTTCTGTTCCCAAAATTGTATCCCAAAAGCTTTACCTGAGAAGGAGACCTTTAGACTCAGGTGTAACCTTGCTCCATGAAATTAAAACAAGGGCCCTCCTCCCGCCAACAACCCCAGTCGTTGACTAACGCTTTCGGACTTACATCTCTATTGCAAACGAAACAAAAAGAGAGGAACCGTCCCACGTCCATAAATGTCACGATTCCTTTATCCAGGATCACCTCTCGTATCTATTTTTGCACTTGCCAGATACTGTCTCTTTCGAAGACGCCGAGTTTTTAAGAAATTGCAGCAGGGGATTGTTTAAAAGAAATAGGAAGTTTTACAATCTTTTATGTCCTCTCCCGGTTTCTGGCATTTCCCGTTTTTCCAGAAAATATTCTCCATGCAATTCTTCCCCCTGGGTGGGGAGGGGGCACTTTATGAGCTAGAGCACATTCGAGTTTTCTGAAGTCTTCCCTTACCTGCTCTTTAGAGTAATAGTAATTACAGGGTCTTCCTCATTTCCTAATTGTCCAAACTTCTTTTCTTTAATGTTCATGTTTAAGACAGATTTAAAAAATGAATTTAGTATCTCAACCGTGAGTTAATAGTTTCCACACATTTTTATAATATCTCTCGCTTTCAATCCTTGCTGTGCAGAGAAAAAGAGATAAATACTCTCTATTTTCACTCACTCTTCCAACGGGTGAGGTTATAAATCCGCTTTATCATTAGATAAATGAGATTTTTCAAAGGCGTGTGGTCAACTTGTAAGCGGGGAATAAATTACTTCTCTTAAACTTTTCCTTCTGTAAGGGCTAGAAGGGTAAGTATTAAGTGGAATTACTAGGTGCAGACTAAAAACTAAATCCATCCCAACATCATCTCTAAAAACAATATGAGAATCTTTTGTTGTTGTTGTTGTTCCTAAACAGGATTAAACTGTGGTATCCTATACCATTAGTTAATTTCTGTGTAAAGGACCACCAGTTTGGGCCAGTTTTGTGCATCCATGTACAGCCCTATCTCAATATTTTTAGAAAGGCTAACACCTTCCTGATAGCAACACGTCATTTACTCACTAAGTGAACGGCATGCCTTCGGCAGAAACGAAAAATGTTCGAAGAAGCAGGGAAGTCGTCTCTTACACTGGGGAAAACGGGATTTGCAGGCCTGGCAAAAGAGTTCAAAATGGCTGCTGGAGCTTCTGGTCTTTTTCACATGGATGAAATCTCTGCATATTCTAGTCTATTCACAAAGGAGAAAACAAGAGCTCGGCCTTCCCTGCTTCTTTGCATCTTGACAATCACACTTTTTAATCCAACATGTTCCCTGCAGGGGGGGCTTGGAAAACTGGCATCGTTATTTCTAAATGTATCCTGGTTTCCTTTCAGCTTTTAACATGTTTCCTCTGGCTAAACTCCACGCAAAACAAGCCTTCCCCTCCAAGCGGCAGTGAGAATAGGCTGGCCATACTTATGCTTGGAACTCCGGTCTCTGGATCCACGTCGGTGACCCCGACTATGGCTCCCGGAACGGCTGCGGTGGCGTCGGTGCCTCTCTCGTTCCCGAGACTTGGAACGGGATTTCCGCTTCTCGCGGGAAAGGGAGCGGGAACGTCGGCGCCTCCGCTCTCGGGATCGCGATCTGCAGCGGGAAGGTGGAAAACAATTCAGTTCAGCCGTATCAAAGAGTCTTCCATTAAGAGTAACTCCGTTACCTCAGTTTCTTTTCAGATAAATACACACACACACACAATTTATGCCCGACTTTTCCTCTAGGAGGAGATAACAAGTGCTTGCCTGTATTTTATCACACAAACTAAGCCAATGTTGTACCTTGAGTACCAAGATACCAAGTACAGCGGTCCCTTGGTACTCAACTGCTTTGAAATTCATTGAATTTGGTACTCAATGCATTCTGACATGACAATTTTATCCCGGTACTGTTTGTTTGGTACTCAACACAAAAGCTAGAACTTGACAGTGTCGGCTGCCTTGTGACTCACTAAATTATTCCTTATGAGAAAAAATTGTTTGGTATTCATTGTTTTTGGTACCCATCGCACCTCCCGGTACCAATAAATGATGAGTACCGAGGTACCACTGTATTAAGAATGCTTTGTTATGGATGAAAAGGGCATCCTTAAAGATCAATACCTTAAGTTCACGGAAAACCAGATTCTATTCTTTCCCCTTTATTCTCTTACGGCATTCAGCAATATACAAATTAAATAATTAATACAGTTGGCCTTTATTAAGAAATGATTCAAATGATTTTCAGATTAGAGTCCATATAAATTAATGACAGAACAGAGGGGCTTAGCTTTTAACTTCATGCCCTTTTAGCTCTGCCTTATAGTATTTCTGGATGACTCTATGCGTGTGAACCACAATTATACAAAGACTTCCACAAGAAAATCATTGGAATGTACATATGAGACATTACGTCCAAAGAGGTTACAACTAAAACTTTGCAAAATGGTATTCCAATTCCTTATTGATATCCCTCCAGATATTTTACAAGTCTGCAGAATTTGAAGCCAATGCTTTTGTAGCTTCTGCTGCATCATACAAGAACTGCATTCTTTCTTATGCACTGTCTCCACATAAAAAACCTATAAATTCAAATTTAAGAAAGATTAAACAATTGTATTTTAGAGATTCTCTGTGGAGTTTTCTCCAAAGTGCCAGCAAAAAAATGATTTTTGCTCTTCCTCTCTGCTAAAAGGGGATTTTTTTATGCTAACATGACAGCATTTGCAATGGATCTGTGCAGCATTCTAAATAACGGAGTGCGCTGAGTTTTGGAATTGAAAATCCCTTTCAAGTGAGGCTACCTAGCCTTTGTGGGTAACTGTACTAAAGGCCTCATGTGCCCTTTCAATTGCCTGTGGGCAGGTTAGACCAGGAAAAAAAAACAATAATTCAAATTAGTTGAGAACTACTGCTATGCTAAAATCCATGTAGTTACATTGCTGGTTACATAAAGCAAAACATTTCAACATAAACATAAGATAGTTTTAACATTGTAGACAATTTCTGTTCTAAAGACTGCTGAAGGAGATCACCAAGCTATTGAGCAACTCAACGTTACTTCTATATATCAAAAAGCCATCGTAATTTATAAAAAGCGAACAGCAAGGGTGCCAACCCAATGTAGCTCAATTCAATGACAATTTAACAGGGAGAAATAGTAACAGACTAGGAAGGATTGGGGGACTTGTCTGCTTTTGGGTCTGGAGAAAAGCAGCAAATGGAGAGCTGCCAAAAGCTATCACAGTGGTTCTCAACCTGTGGATCGGGACCCCATTTGGGGTCGAACGACCATTTCACGGGGGTTGCCAAACAACGCAGTCCGCCATTTTTTCCCCCCTTTTCCTTAGCTGTGCTACTCCCTTTTATTCTATTGGCTTTTGAAAGCCAATAGAATAGACTCTCTTGAATAGAGTCTAATTCTATTGGCTTTCAAAAGCCAATAGGAATAGTCCAGGCTGTCTCTGCCCTGCTGAGCCCACCAAAAGCCCCATTCTGCAAACGGTGCTGCACCAGTTGAGTAGTCCTCGACTTACGACCGTTGGGGGGGGTCGCGGCATTAAAAAGGTTGAGAACCACTGAGCTATCAAGAAGCTCATTTGAGGACCATCACCTCAATGTATATGTACCCTTCACTCATACACACACAAGCTCTCTTACCTTCTGCGATCTCGATTTCTTGATCCAGATCTAGAAAAAAGGAACAGCACTGATTTAAAAGGAGGCGCTGGAGACAGTATGCAAGCACAGTTAGGAGCGTGTTCTGATGAAGCAGGATTCCTTGCTCTAAAAAGTGCCGTACACTTTTAAGACCCCAGAAGGTAAAACGCTGAAAGGGCCAAGAATGAATTTGGCAAAGGATTCCAAATTCTAAACAGTAAAGAAACAGATGTCTACTCAATACTTTTCATCTTCTATCAAGCAGCCCTGCTATTCTACTGTTGGCACTCTTACGTTCTTCTTTCTGCTTCCAAATTCTACTGATTTCAGAGGGCCAAAAAGGCACCAACATAGGTTTGCCCTGCGCCTGGGGACCAAACACAACCCAGTTTCTACTGTGCTGCTTCTTTGAGATCTTAGCGCACCAGAAGACCTCCTATGCCACTGAGTCAGGAAGCCGCACGCTTCTCCTCTGCAATCCGAGGTGGCGCAGCAGTTAGGCCACTTTAGCTGACTGTGTTCAGCAGGTCAGCGGTTCAAATCTCACCGGCTCAAGGTTGACTCAGCCTTCCATCCTTCCAGGGTAGGTAAAATGAGGACCCAGCTTGTTGGGGGCAATGTAAATATATATATACACACACATTGCTTACTGGTGTACACCGCTTAGAGAGTGCTTGCACTTAAAGCGGTATATAAGTCTCATAAATAAATAAATAAATAAATAATCCCTCACCGTTGTCCCACACGTTCTTCCCGCTCTCTTTCTTCTCTCCTTCTCAACCGGTCTTGATTTCTCTTCTCCTGTTTTTCAGCTACGGTTTTCTAGAGTGAGACAAGAAATGTTGTCAAATGTAATTGGGTCATTCAAAGACAGTTGGTGGCAACATCTTCTCCTACTAGGATGTTCCTATTTAAGTGACACGTTTAGCTTAAGCAACTAAAAGATTAGAAAAAATACAGCTACTTAAAAGCAACACCAAGTAGTGGATGTGTAAAAACCACTTAAGACTGTTATCTGACTACATATCAGTATGTCCTGATGTATTTCTGATGTATTGGGTCCACAAATCTCAATAAGCATGATCAATGTTCCCACCAACAGCTTCCAAATTAAAACCTTTACCGAACAACCGATAAGCAAATTATGAGGAAGTTGCAGAGATTTAACGTGAAACAGGCAACATATTAATACCAAGGCACAAGCTGAAGAAAAAAGCACCCCTGTGAGAATAATTTGCCAAAATATAAAATACTCAAGCATGAAGAAAGTGATCCTTTGAGAAACTCCTCAGTTTTTGAGGACCCCAAAAAACTCAGAATACTACAAAATCAAAATCTAGAGACTAGCATTCTGATACCAACATTAATGTAACCCTGATTAGTCTTTAATTTCTTTACTAGGAATGAACATGATGCCTCTCACACTCAGACTGCAGAGAGTCCAAAACTGGAGGCAAGGCAGGGACAGAAACATCAGCCATGTACTAATTTTACAAGTTTATGGGCTGACAAAGTGTTGGTTTTATATACAGCATCTTAAGTTACCCCTTAAAATGAGAAGTATAGGAAGTGTTTATTTAGAACAGTGGTTCTCAACCTTTCTAATGCCGCGACCCCATAATACAGTTCCCCATGTTGTGGTGACCCCCAACCACTTATACATCACCGGGTGCCAGGGGCATGGCCAAAGAAAAGGGGGAAAAATGGCGGACAGCCTTGTTTGGCGACCCCCATGAAATGGTCGTTCGACCCCAAATGGGGTCCCGACCCACAAGTTGAGAACCACTGCCCTAAGTGGAATTTTCCTCCAATGGGGTTTTCCCATGTATTTTACCAGGAAACATAGATAGGGCAGCCTAGAAAGGTCAGTGCCCTCCTAACCATATCCAAGCACTGCCAATTTGTTGGCGAGGTCCATTTTGCTCTATGTGTTCATGGTGACCTAACCCTAAGTGGAATTTTCCTCCAATGGGGTTTTCCCATGTATTTTACCAGGAAACATAGGGCAGCCTAGAAAGGTCAGTGCCCTCCTAACCATACCCAAGCACTCCCAATTTGTTGGCAATGTCCATTTTCCTCTCTGAGTTCATGGTGACCTAACCCTAACCCTAAGTGGAATTTTCCTCCAATGGGATTTTCCCATGTATTTTACCAGGAAACATAAATAGGGCAGCCTAGAAAGGTCAGTGCCCTCCTAACCATACCCAAGCACTCCCAATTTGTTGGCAATGTCCATTTTCCTCTCTAAGTTCATGGTGACCTAACCCTAACCCTAAGTGGAATTTTCCTCCAATGGGATTTTCCCATGTATTTTACCAGGAAACATAGATAGGGCAGCCTAGAAAAGTCAGTGCCTTCCTAACCATATCCAAGCACTCCCAATTTGTTGGCGAGGTCCATTTTGCTCTATGTGTTCATGGTGACCTAACCCTAACCCTAAGTGGAATTTTCCTCCAATGGGGTTTTCCCATGTATTTTACCAGGAAACATAGATAGGTCAGCCTCGAAAAGTCAGTGCCCTCCTAACCATATCCAAGCACTCCCAATTTGTTGGCGAGGTCCATTTTGCTCTATGTGTTCATGGTGACCTAACCCTAACCCTAAGTGGAATTTTCCTCCAATGGGGTTTTCCCATGTATTTTACCAGGAAACATAGATAGGTCAGCCTAGAAAAGTCAGTGCCCTCCTAACCATATCCAAGCACTCCCAATTTGTTTGCGAGGTCCATTTTGCTCTATGTGTTCATGGTGACCTAACCCTAACCCTAAGTGGAATTTTCCTCCAATGGGGTTTTCCCATGTATTTTACCAGGAAACATAGATAGGTCAGCCTAGAAAAATCAGTGCCCTCCTAACCATATCCAAGCACTCCCAATTTGTTGGCGAGGTCCATTTTGCTCTATGTGTTCATGGTGACCTAACCCTAAGTGGAATTTTCCTCCAATGGGGTTTTCCCATGTATTTTACCAGGAAACATAGGGCAGCCTAGAAAGGTCAGTGCCCTCCTAACCATACCCAAGCACTCCCATTTGTTGGCAATGTCCATTTTCCTCTTGAGTTCATGGTGACCTAACCCTAACCCTAAGTGGAATTTTCCTCCAATGGGATTTTCCCATGTATTTTACCAGGAAACATAAATAGGGCAGCCTAGAAAAGTCAGTGCCTAACCAATCCAAGCACTCCCAATTTGTTGGCGAGGTCCATTTTGCTCTATGTGTTCATGGTGACCTAACCTAAGTGGAATTTTCCTCCAATGGGTTTTCCCATGTATTTTACCAGGAAACATAGATAGGTCAGCCTAGAAAAGTCAGTGCCCTCCTAACCATATCCAAGCACTCCCAATTTGTTGGCGAGGTCCATTTTGCTCTATGTGTTCATGGTGACCTAACCCTAACCCTAAGTGGAATTTTCCTCCAATGGCGTTTTCCCATGTATTTTACCAGGAAACATAGATAGGTCAGCCTAGAAAAGTCAGTGCCCTCCTAACCATATCCAAGCACTCCCAATTTGTTGACGAGGTCCATTTTGCTCTATGTGTTCATGGTGACCTAACCCTAACCCTAAGTGGAATTTTCCTCCAATGGCGTTTTCCCATGTATTTTACCAGGAAACATAGATAGGTCAGCCTAGAAAAGTCAGTGCCCTCCTAACCATATCCAAGCACTCCCAATTTGTTGGCGAGGTCCATTTTGCTCTATGTGTTCATGGTGACCTAACCCTAAGTGGAATTTTCCTCCAATGGGGTTTTCCCATGTATTTTACCAGGAAAAATAGGGCAGCCTAGAAAGGTCAGTGCCCTCCTAACCATACCCAAGCACTCCCAATTTGTTGGCAATGTCCATTTTCCTTTTTGAGTTCATGGTGACCTAACCCTAACCCTAAGTGGAATTTTCCTCCAATGGCGTTTTCCCATGTATTTTACCAGGAAACATAGATAGGTCAGCCTAGAAAAGTCAGTGCCCTCCTAACCATATCCAAGCACTCCCAATTTGTTGACGAGGTCCATTTTGCTCTATGTGTTCATGGTGACCTAACCCTAACCCTAAGTGGAATTTTCCTCCAATGGGTTTTCCCATGTATTTTACCAGGAAACATAGATAGGTCAGCCTAGAAAAGTCAGTGCCCTCCTAACCATATCCAAGCACTCCCAATTTGTTGGCGAGGTCCATTTTGCTCTATGTGTTCATGGTGACCTAACCCTAAGTGGAATTTTCCTCCAATGGCGTTTTCCCATGTATTTTACCAGGAAACATAATAGGTCAGCCTAGAAAAGTCAGTGCCCTCCTAACCATATCCAAGCACTCCCAATTTGTTGGTGAGGTCCATTTTGCTCTATGTGTTCATGGTGACCTAACCCCTAACCCTAAGGCAGTGGTTCTCAACCTTTCTAATGCCGCGACCCCATAATACAGTTCCCCATGTTGTGGTGACCCCCAACCACTTATACATCACCGGGTGTCAGGGGCATGGCCAAAGAAAAGGGGGAAAAAAATGGCGGACAGCCTTGTTTGGCGACCCCCATGAAATGGTCGTTCGACCCCAAATGGGGTCCCGACCTACAGGTTGAGAACCACTGATTTAGAAGAATAATAGACTTCCCTGTTGATAACGACAAGTTTCTGATTTCAACCTACAGATTTATCCCATGGACAAAGGCAACAATTAAATGGGAGGGTCAAATTTGTTAATCCTAATAAACAAATCTGACTCACACAAGCCTGTTTACTTAATGACAACCATGCAGCTACATAAAACATCTCACATCAATGAGGCCATTTCACACATACATTACAGGATTAAGAATTTTACTTAGCAGAGAAAAGGAGAGAAAAATCAAGTTACACACATGCATGAACTTAATTGTGTGAACGTGAAACTATCCTTACTCTGTAGGATTGTCTGACATTGGCTATTCACCCATTCTAAGTTTTAAAGAACAAGAGACAGTTCAAACACTGATTTACCTAGACCAGGGGTAGGCAACCTTGGCTCTTTTATGACTCGTGGACTTCAACTCCCAGAATTCCTGAGCCAGCCATGCTGAGGGGAAAGGGAGAGGTTTCCAAGCTGAGCCATGTTGGCTCAGGAATTCTGGGAGTTGAAGTCCACCAGTCATGAAAGAGCCAAAGTTGCCTACCCGACTTAGACCAATATTGTGTCTACCCAATTGTTAAAATTAAAACTGTCTCTTTTCATACAAGAGTACTTTACCCCTGAGTAACTACAGCCCTTACCCGCAACTGGTCCAATTTCTCACGGATCTGAATGAAGCCCAAATGCAATTTGCCCCCAAAATGATCAGCCAGACGACGATCGTTGTCATGGAGACCGAGGTATGCAGAACAAACCTCGCAAACACGCAGCTTCTGTTGCTGGAAACTGGATGCAGGCATAGAATTGCGGTATTCCTCCTAGATCAGAAACAGGTCAAAATGAAAACTCCCATCGCTCACCTTTCTGACTTCCTTCTCCCCACCTTTGCCAACGACTCATTATTACCTTGCCTAATTGCAACACGTCACAAGTAACACTAGTGACACCCATCTAATATAGTAATGCAGCATTAGTCAAAAAGGAAGATCAACGTTACAATCTCCTTCTCCGTTTTTCGATAGAGGTAAACCCGTTTCGCTTGGTTAGTTACATCCTAGGCCAGTAGTGGCGAAGCTATGGCACGGGTGCCAGAGGCGGCACTCAGAGCCCTCTCTGTGGGCGTGCACGCCATCGCCCCAGTCCTAGGCCTTCAGCTGGGTTTTATAAAACCTTTTCGCTTTAGGCCTCCGTAAAAAAAAAGGTTCAATCAGTCAATTTCAACTTCTCGCGGGGAAAAAAAAAGATCTTGCAAAGTTGCAATTGATTGATTGAACTTTTTAGTCTCACCCAGTCTGCCGTTACCACTGCAGCCACTCCCACCCAGTGGGCCACGCCCACCCAACTGGCCACACCCACACGGCACTCGACGATGCATAAGTGGGTTTTGGGTTGCAGCTTGGGCACTCATCTCTAAAAGGTTCGCCATCACTGTCCTAGGCTTAAAAAGCGGTAAATCTGCATATTCAGTTCAGAAAGAACAAACCTCTGCATCTTTCTTCTTTGCACGGACTTTGTCCACTTCCATCAGGATCTTCTGGGATTCATCCACATTCCCTTCAGCTCCTAGCTGCTCAGCTTTAGCCAGGAGCTTCCCAATGTCTTCGTTGAGTTCGTGCACTTTCTCTGCCTAAAGAATGGACATGGGTTTGGGGTCATTTGTTTGACTGAAGAAAATTTATATGACTCACTCTCAGTGACTCCAGTCAGCTTACAAAGATAAGAACCCAATATAAAAACAATTAAAGCAATAATTCCCCCCCCCCAATAACCCCACAGTGACAACAATCAAACCCACAAATGGATGTTGGTCATACTTCCAAGCAAGTGGATTTTTTTTAATCATCCAAGGAAGAATATATATCCCCTCTTTAAGGCTCAGTGCCATCCCTAAACCTGGAATGCCGTGTCAGGGGATCCATATCAAAATAACAGCTAGGTCAAGGGCTTAAAATCAAATCAAACCAATTTTAGTGTTAAGTTAAACAAAAATCCAACTCGTCTATCTTAAATGTGATTCATAGGATCACACCCTAATAATTTTCTGTCACATTAAACCGACTGTTTGAACCGAGTGCAACTTTGAAAGGGCTCAGGGTAGCATCATACATCCCATGTGGGAGGTATTTTATGTTTAGAAGTTCTGGCACGAAACAGGCTTAAGAGAAACCACGTTCATTTTTAATCTCCTGCTTCAACCACTGCGTCTCTGGTTTTGTAATGAATTTTAGCACTGGCAGAAAGCCATGAGACAAAAGTTAACTGGTAAGTAAAGCCATTGTTCTATAATGTAAAAGCACACGTGCTTGGTTTATTTATTTAGCATGGGAAGCATGAATAGAACAGATATGCAATTCTCCACACAATCTCATGGATAAACTAATGTTATCCCTAATGTAAATACTAAAGAGCAGCTATGCTCTTTATTTGACCTTTAAATCTAAATTCTATCTAAAGGAATTTCAAAGTGGCTTGAAGAGCGATTTCATGCTTACAACAGCTACGGTATTTCCGGTTCTTAGCTATCTCAGATGTCTTCACGCAGATGTTAAGCCTAGATTGCCACTAAAGCAACGTATGAACCTACAGGATCCCTAAGATCACCTAGATGAGTTTTGCCCAATCAATTGTATAAATCAGAGGTCCCCAACCTTGGGGGCACCGGGGACCAGTTCCATGGAGAAAGGTTTTCCCACAGACCAGAGGGTGCGTGGTTTTGTGTGCTACTCGCATCCCACAGATGGGGCTTTGCTTGTTTGGGCGGACCGGTTGCTGGCATGCTGCAGTCCAGTACCGGTCCACAGACTGGGGGTTGGGGACCCCTGGTATAACCACCAGAAGCCTTGCACAACAGCCAGTTAATTTGTGAATTTCAAGAGTCTCGGCATTTTACCAAGAACACAATTGCACAACAGAAATACCTTTGCAGCCACTTCAGCGCTGATCTCCTCCTGGGTTTCTGCAAGTCGTTTTTTAGCCAGTTCTGTTCTTCTATCACACTCAGCAATGAAAGATTCCAAGTGATCCATCGCCTGTTTGTATAGAAACAAGACAGTGCTAATGTTAGAAAGCCAGTCCTTACACATCCTTATTTCAGTGATAAAAATCAAGGGATGAAGGCGGCATGAAAGGCCCAATTTGAAAATGCTTCTCTTCAATGCAGAGCCTTATTTCTCTTTACTTGTTTTAAAATATATATATTTTTGGTTGTTTTACAATAACAAGCTCCAGTGCCTGGTGTACAACGTCTTAGTTTATATATTTGGGGGGAAAACCCACAATAATAGTTAATTAACAGTCAATAATGATTCTTCAGGCAGAAGAAGAACATCATGGCTTCAAAATCTAAGGGACTGGTTTGAACAAAACTCAGCAGCACTTTTTCGTGCGGCTGCTGATAAAAACAGGATCGCCAATGTCCGATAACGGATATGGCCCAAGAAGAAGGATTGATATTGATAATTCCATAATTGGTATATTAGTTAATATTATACTTCTTTGATCTTCCCTTCTCCCAATTGTATTCTCCTTCTTCCACCTTAAACAAATATAATTCTTAATATTTTCAATGTACAAATGATTAAATATAGACATTTTTTCATATTTGTACAGATAACGATAACATCTATGTATAACTTTTTTTTAATCGGCTTGTATTATTCTTATAAAAATCATCTCATGAGATGAATTTCTCTTTACTTCTTATTGTCATGTCAACAAGCCACTTCAAAAAAGGTAATTAAAGAGACGGAAACGAGAGATTTTCTTCTGAAGAACTGGAGATGTGGCTTATGAAACTTTCCCTCACACCTAAAATAACAACCTAACAATGTTGCAGCCCCATTATTACAACTTTATAATATCGGTTTAGGGTTAGCAACAATAGAAAGGAAAAGGGAACACACTTAGGTGAAAGTTTAGCTTTTAAAGGATTCAGACTCTCTCCAAAGTTGACACGGATAACCAACTTTTAAATCATACTATTTAGAATTTGAAGAGGCTAAACGTAGGAGCAGGATGAACTACCGGATCAATACAGGCAGTCCTCGGCTTGCAACTGCTCATTTAATGACTGTTCAAAGTTGTAACAGCACTGGAAAAAGTTACTTATGACCGTTTTTCACAATTACGACCGCAGCAGCATCCCCATGGTCACGTGATCAACATTCAGACGCTTGGCAATTGGTTCATATTTATGACCATTGCTGTGTTCTTGGGGAGGGGGTATATGTGTGTGTCATACGATCATCTTTTGTGATCTCCTGACAAGCAAAGCCAATGGGGAAGCCCAATTCGTTAACAGCCGTGTTAATAACAACTGCAGTGAGACTCAAGAAAAGTCATAAAATGGGGCAAGAAAAGTCGTAAAATGGGGCAAAAAACTCATTGAACAAATGTTTCGCTTAGCAACAAAAATCTGGGGCTCAATTGTGGTTGTAAATTGATGACTTCCTGAAGACCCCACTCTTCTGTGGAGCAGGGGTTGATCTGCAACCGATCCGTACAGAACCAAAGCATTTGGGGTTATCAACACTTACCAGGACATACGCTAGAAGTTAACCCGTTAAGAGCTCTGCCACATTGAAAAAACTGCAGCCTGTGACAAGCACAGAATAATCTGCACTGTCTTCAGTCTGCAGAAAAGCCCTTGATGCTTCCTAGCGTAAATGACTACCTTTTTTATTCATCTCGTTACAATAAAGTGTGTAACATTAAGTAACAGCCACAGAGGAGCACAGCCACGAACCTGCTCAATGTTTTGCCCAGGTGACACAGCGCTTATGCCTACTGCAATAACGGTACACAACAGAGATATCAAACAGCTGCTTGAATCCGTTTATTATTATCAAAATGTGGAGCACTTACATCCAGCTCAAAGAAAAGGTCTCTCTCTTTGCTTGCAATCTCGTAATCTGCTCTCAGCGCCAAATCATGAATCTTGGTACACTCTCCAAGGTCCATACGCTATTGAAGAAAAAAAAAAGGATAGGAGACAATATCATCAAACAATCCAGCATATTACCATAAGCAAAACATAAAACAACTAGTGATTAGCAAATGAATCAATTATAATGATATGTCAGCTGCTCAGCTGGTTTCCTATTCCAAAGATCATCATACAGATTGGATATTCCATCGCAAAACAGCCATAAACATACCGGGAAGCCTCAATATTTATAAAATGCAAGATCATACAGCACAATGTTAGAGTTCCTTTGGGATGCATACGTCTCATTTCAGATCATCTAATTAGAGCACTAGTTAATATAGAGAATCACTTTTGAAAATGATCCCAAAGCTTCATGTGATCCAAATGACATCGTATTACAAAGGGCTGCATTATCTGCTTCTGGCACTGAAAAAAGTTATGACTAGTTTTCTTTCTTATGACCAGTGCACCATCCTCATGGTCACGTGATCAAAATTCATGAGCTTGGCAACTGGATCCTATTTTTATCATGGCTGCAGTGTCTGTCCCAGGGTCACGTGATCCCAATGGGGAAACCATATTTACTTCACTGTGGCAAGAAAAGCCATAAAATGGGGGGGGGGGTAGAAACTCACTTAATTGTCTCGCTTAAGCAACAGAAATTTTGGGCTCAGTTGCGGTCGTATGTTGAGGATGTGCCTGTGCCTCTACTGCAGTGGTTCTCAACCTTTTTAATGCTGCGACCCCCAACCGGTCGTAAGTCGAGGACTACTCAACCGGTCGTCAGTCGAGGACTACTCAACTGGTGCAGCACCGTTTGCAGAATGGGACTTTTGGCGGGCTCAGCAGGGCAGAGACAGCCTGGACAATTCCTATTGGCTTTTGAAAGCCAATAGAATTAGACTCTATTCAAGAGAGTCTATTCTATTGGCTTTCAAAAGCCAATAGAATAAAAGGGAGTAGCACAGCTAAGGAAAAGGGGGAAAAATGGCGGACTGCGTTGTTTGGCAACCCCCGTGAAATGGTCGTTCGACCCCAAATGGGGTCCCGACCCACAGGTGGAGAACCACTGCTCTACTGGGAAATCTGGGGAGTGGCAATTAAATATACTGAAGGGAGCAGGCTGAGGAATCAACGCTGAAATGAAAGAGGGACCCCAAGATGAGTGGGGTGAGGAAGGGGACTTACCGTCCCTGCCAAGATATCGTGAGGACAACAGTCCAGAAGATGGCTCTTGCAGACCCGTTCATCTGTAAACTTCACCCTTTGTCTGGTTTCATCTCCTGAAATTCATTTTTGGTTACAAATATGAAATATTGTTACATGTTGATGAAGCATGGCAAATTACGGTACGTTTAATTTTGCCTCATTACGCAGATAAAAATCATTCACGAACCCCAGAACTGATCAGAAAATTATAAAAGCGCAAGTTAGATTTTATTTTTTTCTTTCACAGCTGAGAATCAAACTATGCACAGCATTTCATATCATGTGCACCACTTACTAAGTATGGTGTTGACCATAATTACATCCGTAGTCAGATAGTTACATAAAAATACATAATCTGGGTCCAGACCCACAAAAGATCTTTTCTACAAAGAAAGCAAAGGTTCAGAAAACCAAAACCCATTTTAGCTGAAGGCCGTGAATCACACTCCGAAATTTTACTAGGTAGCCATTTATGAATCAAGTATCTTTTCCTTAAATACTGCTGATTCATACATATTAACACACATTGAATGTCTAAAGGCCACCGGAATATTCTCTAAAAAGTGGTGATTATCTTCTGCCTCCCCTTTCCCACCCTCATTTGGGAGCCATTTAAAACAAGCAAAAAAAAAAAAAAGAAAAGTTAGTTCATACACACTGCGAGCTCCAACACATACTATACCCATCTGCATTCTTCAAGACCTCAGCTGCAGAAATTTATGCCCGCTGTTGAAAAGTTTTAAAGGAAAAGCTTTCTTGCCCAAACCTGCAGTAAGGAAGTCAGGGGAATGATACATAAAAGGTAAAGGCAAAGTGGTAATGGTATGTGACAATTGTTCTTAAAAAAGCTAGTCTGTGTATGACTATAGATCAGGATTTGCAAGCATCCGGTTGTGTCTACTGAAAATGTTTTTATTTTCCTCTTTCCTTCTTTTCTAAACTATACTTTTAAAGTTACTTGTGAAAAAAAGCAGCAAACACTTTTTTTTTTTTGTTATAACAGCTTTAAAAATTGGTTGTGACTCACGGCTCGATGAACATGAGGCTTTTCTGCAACTCCCTTGCAGATTGATGTAGGCAGGCAAAGATACACTGAACCTTTATAAATAAAATAGAGGGGCCACAATTGTTCAGTTTGTATGAAATAAAAATATGGGAAGCAATTAAAAAAAACAACTCAAATACACAAAGAAAGAACGAGCACTTTTATTCATTTACGAAACCAAGTGCAAAAAGTTATCAGTAGAGTTTTTGCAAATGTGCCAGACTTTCAGTAGGGAAGCAGATACAAACCTTGTCAGGAATGCACAGCTTTTCAGGGGAAATATATATATTTTTCTTTCCGGGGAACATACTTAAAGTCCTGTTTCCGTGCAGAACAGGCCTACCTTCGTGTTTTTACACACGAAGCATTATGTCTACAGGCGAGTCTACAAAAGAAAAGCCTCACCATATAAAACCAGAAAAGTCGGGCTTTCAACTCACGAGGCAGAGTTCTAGCCGACGTATCTGGGGTGCAAAGCCTTATGTTTTATAGGGCAGCTCCAATTGTCCAAGTTATAAAAAATTAGTGTAATATGTATTTCCCTGACAATGCTTTTCAGAAAGCTCTATAAATGTACAGCATAGACCAAAACTTATGTTACTTCCAAAGCTCGATTGTCCCCCCCCGTACCATCTGTACCCGCATTTTATATCACTGAACAGATGTTTCCAGGCATCAGATGTTACATCAAGAACCCTACCACCTGCTTGAGCAGGTAGCTGGACTCGGCTAGCAAGAAGATGCGATGACGCAGGTGTCAGGGACTTGTCTATCCTGCTTGAGCACCTGTCACCAGAAGCTACTCTGAAGACCATTGTGTCACCCATGTTACCAGGACCAGGCTGCTGCACTGCCAAACCGGCCTGACTGGTTTGCCTTTTGGCTGGCTTTGTTTTGCTATGGTGATTAGTTTCCTTTTGCTAAAGATGGCCTGAATAACTAAACAAGAACTTTGCCAAAGGCTAAAGTCCATTTCTGGGTATTCTGTGGCCACCGTGCCTGCTGGAAAGGGCATCAGAAGGGGCAGTGAGACAGCAGCTCTCCCTGATCTTTCCTCCCCCATTTCACCATACAGGTAGTCCTCAACTTACAACCCTTCCTTGAGTGAGACCGGTTGAAGTCATAATGGCACTGAGGACTTACAACCCTTTTTTTCACACTTACAACTGTAGCAGCATCCCCAGGGTTAGGTGACCAAAATTCAGCTATTTTGGCAACTGGCTCATATTTATCACTGTTTGCCGGATCACGTGATCTCCTTTTGCGACCTTCTGACAAGCAAAGACACTGGGGAAGACAGATCCACTTAACAAAGCCGTGTTACTAATTGAATAGCGGCAGTGATTCACTTAACAAGTGTGGCAAAGAAAGGTCGTAAAATGGGGCAACTTTTATGAACCGCTGTCTTGCTTAGCAATGGAAATTCTGGCCTCAATTGTGGTCGTAAGTCGAGGACTACCCGTATACACTGCCTCTGGATTTGGAAGCTCTGCTTAGCTGGCACATTTAACGCCAAGTCAAGCAGCAGAGGAACCCTTCCTCTTTTCAAGTTACATTCCCCTACCGCAAGCAGGAGCCTTGACTGATGGACGGACGGGTTACATTTTTTACCACATCCATCTCCCTGATAAGCTGACTTTTCCTCTTTGCCCCCCCCCCCCTCCCGGAGGAAGACAAATTTTATTTCTTCTATTCATTTCTTCCATTTAGTTAGCTGGGGATGCAGATCAAAACCCCAGGCTGGCATTTTAGGCTGAGCAGGGTTTCCCCCCTTCCCCCCAGTTAGAACCAATGGCAGGGCTCAAGCCAGCTAACCTGTGAAATAACAAAGCCCCAAATAATAAGGTAAAAATAAATGTCTTTTTTTTTCTTTTCTCTTTTTCCAATTCTTAAAAAAAAGGAAGGGCTCTGCAGCTGATCCTCCCTCCACACAGCCTTCCCCAGCCCCAAAAGCCCTCAGGAATTAATCCTTGGGGGGGGGACCCCAGATTTAACAGCGCTGCTTACCTGTGTGGTATTATTATTTTGGGGAGGGGGATATATATATATATATATATATATATATATATATATATATATATATATATATACATACATACACACACATACACACACACATATATATATATACACACACACACACACATAGACATACATACAGATATATATAGACATATAGATATACAGATATATAGAGACACATATAGATATATGTATATATGTATATGTATGTGTGTATATATATATCCCCCTCCCCAAAATAATAATAATATATATATATGGGGGGGTCGCACAGAGAAGCGACAGCTGCCTGTCCCTGTCGTCGTACCAAGCAGGGGTGCCAAAGGGGGTCGTGGGGGGGGAGGGGAGGGGGCGACGCGAAGCGAAGGGCGACGAAAAGAGGGGAGGCGGCGGGTCGCCTCGTCCAGGCCTCGCTTCGAAACCGTCCACGCCGGGCCCGAGGCGCGCGGCCTTCCTTCCTTCCTTCCTTCCTGCAGGCCCCCGCCTCGCCCGCCACAACTCACCGTCCCGGGCCGTGCCCATCAGCTGGTCGAGCAGCGCTCGCATCTGGGCCTGGGCCGACATGGCGGCGAGGCGGCGGCGGGGACTCTCGCGTCTCCTTGGAAACGGCGGGGAGGGGGGGGAAAGAGAGAGGGAGAGAGGCCCGGCGCGAGCCTGCCTCCGGCGCGAGCGGCTCTTAACGGCCTGCTGGCGTCGCCTGCCGCCGCAAGGCACGATGGGAGGAGGAAGGAAGAGGGCGGAGCGGCAGAGAGAGAGAGAGAGAGAGAGAAAGGAGCAGGAAAGACGGAGACGACGGCGAAGGGTGACGTCACCGCGCTCGGCCGCTTCCACGCCCGGCGAGCGAGGCACGCTGGGAGCGGAGGTCGACGCCTAGAGGCAAGATGGCCGCCTTCCTTGGCAGAGGCTTTCGGGAGTTGTAGTTCCGCCTCTTTCCTTTCCCCCCCCCAGTGCCTTCTGGCTGGGAAATGGCGGCGTTGAACTTCACACGTCTTAAAATTTGCTAAATGGGAGACTGCGAATTTGTTAATGAAGGCAGCCGGGGGTGCCTTGGTTTAATAAATCGTAGTAAATACAGCTGTGAGGGCTGTATGCAACGAAATCTCATTTTAACATATGCTAACATATGCCGATGAGTGTACATTCCAAAGTGACGATAAAGTTATCAATTCTATTCTGTTCTGTTCGGTTGACTTGGCCAGGATTATGCAGTAGGAACCCAACCAAGAATCAGCTTCTTGGTTAATTTCATACAACACATTTAAAAAAATGTTGAAAGAAGGAGAGAGAGATAGCTTTTTATTCTATTTTTTTTTTATTCTTATTTTTATTTTTTTCTCATCAACGTATGTTAATTTTTCCAATCAACAAGTTGTCTGGAGTTTGCTAAGCTAATACATGTTCAATTCCTAATCCTTCATTCTTTTCTCCAACCAAGAATAAAATAAATTCCAAATTTGATAGTAGTCTGTATCTTCTTTGTCTTTCAACCTCATAGTTGATCTGTCCATCTCTGCACATTCCAGTATTTTCCTGATCATTTCTTCCTCTGATGGCAATTCTTCATTCTTCCAGTATTGTGCAAAAATTATTCTCGCTGCTGTGGTGATGTGTAAAAATAAATATAATTTCTGCTTATTAGTCTTTTCAGGCATAATGCCTAGTAGAAAAAGTTCAGGTTTAAAATCCACTTGTTCGCCCAATATTTTTTCTAACCACATATGTATATTTTTCCAATAAGCCTTTGCCTTCCCACATGTCCACCAAATATGATAATACGTGCCTATGTGATGTTTACATTTCCAACATCTATCTGACGTATTTTTAAACATTTTTGCTAGTCTTGCTGGTGGAAGCTTTTTATTCTATTTCAGTGGTTCCCAACCTTTTCTATACCCCACATCCCTAGAACGCTTCTGATATATTCTCGCACCCCTTACAAAAGTTCAAAATAACAGCAACGAATTATGCATATACACTATAATTTTGAAAACCCAAGTTTTCCCACCCCCTGGAATATCATCTCGCACCCCTGGTTGGGAACCCCTGTTCTATTTGATAGCAAAGGAAAGGGCAGCCCAGCCAAAACGGTGGGGCTACTCAAGTTGAGCTAATACAAGTAGTCCTCAACTTACAATACTTCATTTAGTGACCAAAGTTACAACAGCACTGAAAAAAGGGACTTAGGACCCTTTTTCACACGACCATTGCAGCATTTCCCCATGATCACATGATCAAAATTCAGATGCTTGGCAACTGATTCACATTTATGACGGTTGCAGTCCTGGGGGTCACGTGATCCCCTTTGGCGACCTTCCGACAAGCAAAGTCATTTAGCAACCATATTACTCACTTAACAAACTGCCATGATTCACTTAACAACTCTGGCAAGAAATGTCGTAAAAGAGGGCAAAACTCACTTAACAAATGTCTCACTTAGCAAATAAAATTTAGGGTTCCGTTGTGGTCGTACATTGAGGACTGCCTGTAAATTTCTGCTTGCTGGACGAGTGGTAGAGTCTCATAAACCCGTATCTTACAATGTGTAACTCTGATTTTAGACAGCAGAGGTCACTAAGCATTTACATGTCTCCAAGCATCATTCAGTGAGGACAAATTACTCTTATTACCGCATAAACTTTCTGCAAACTGTCAAAAGGTCCCTGCTGGAGGTTGTGGAAAATCATTCTCAGTTTACAAAAATCTAAGATAGCCGTCGCTAACATAGAGTTTCCCAGATCAGCATCTCTCATCTAAGATGAACCGGGAAGTATGGGCCCAACTGGCTGGGGATGATGGAGATTGTAATCTAATTGATGGTCAACAGGCTCAAATTATGAAATCTTGAAATGGGAGAGGGTATCTCAGATTCTAGCCCAGATTTTTGAATGAACTCACTTCACTTCAGCCACAGGTTTAGATCCAGCAATACTTTTAACGAACTGTATTTGTATATTTTTTTGTCTCAGTCATGGAGACTTAAGCGATTAAGCATGTAATTGTGCTAGAAAGTAATTATGATTCTGGAGTGGCTTGAATGACTTCTCTGATTCAGCTTGGTAAACCATTGGACAGTGGAACAGGAAGAAGCGAGTAGCTTCTGGGTCAGAAAACTCATCTACCCAAAGAGGAACTAAACTTTATCCTTACTTGAGACAAGCTTCAATTAAATAAAAGAAGCACCTTCCAGTTCTAGATAGACTACATCTACCATTGAGAGGGACCACTGGGTCTTAGGATATAGCCTTTCCAAGCTAGCTGCCCTCTGAATGTATGGGCTTCAACTGTAGAATTTCTCCACCAGCTTAGCTCTTGTGGAGATTTGTGGTGAAATCCACATATCTAGAAAGCCTGGAGGCAGATAGACAAGTTGGAAGGAATTGATGTTGCTCTCAAGTCACATCTGAGCCTAACTTGAGCAAAATTGGAATGTAGCTGTGTTCATGCATCCTGCCAACCATAGGGTGTTCAATTATGAACCTACTACTGCTTTCTCACAGTCTGCTCTATCATGAGAGGATTGTTTGTTTGTTTAGTATTTCAGTGTCGAGGTTGGCAACTCTGGAGAACTTACAGATAAAAGTTACTTCCTGGTTAAGCATGTTGTGTGAACACTGCAGTGAGGTTTTTGGACCTAGTCCCTGTCCAGAGAGCTCTCTTTCTCCTTTGATTTTTCTCATTGTCCATCTTTTGAGCCATTCTTTTGCTTTGTCATCTCAGGGGCCCCCAAAATAGCAACCCGGAGTGAGGTGAGGGACTTCTACTGCACCCTAAATGTGGACTGCACTTCTTCTTCTTGGCCTCCATGCCAGAAAAAAATCAATAGCTCCAATATGTTAGCACTCCAAACGAGCTCCAATGTTACACGGCCATTAGCCCAACGAGCACTTAAGTTATCTTCTGCCCATTAGGCGGAACACCAGGTTGTACCTTTCCACATGCTTGTATTCACCAGCATAACAAGGACATAACAAGTGCACGGACCTCTGAGAGGAGTTACGGAGGATTGAGCATAAATTGCCCGTTGTTTTTATTGGTACCTTTGAGTTTGCCATATTGGATCACAAGGAAGGCTGAGCCGCGAAGAATGGATGCTTTCAAATGATGGTGTTGGAGTCCCTTGGACTGCAAGCTGAGAGGACAGACACCAAAGTGGACGCTCCACTACTTTGACCGCCTAATCTGAAGAGAGGATTTATTGGAGAAGACTCTGATGTTGGGAAAGATGGAAGACAAAAGGAGAAGACGGCAGAAGGACAGGAACTGGAACCCTAAACCTTTTGGATAGCAACATTCATCAACGCTTGCCAAACAAGAGCAACAGCAAGGGATTGTGGGAGATACTGGACCGGAATCCAGCTCTTCTAGGCTAATTTCTGTGCCCCTGAGGCTTCTCAATGCTTTATTTCCAACTTTTGGAAATGCTAAAGGCTTTGATGTGGGCAGCCCCAACTGCCTCCTCTACATAGAAGGTTGATTCTCCGTAGGATTGGCAAAAGTAGCCGGCTTGTCAAATCCACTGCTTTGCACAAAGGGACAGAAGGTCTGGTTCCCCCGACTCTCAGGGTGTGTCTTTCGCCGGTGCCCTTTGCACAAATGACGTGCAAAACCCAGCCCCGTATGGGAGTACTTTGTCTTCTCCAAACATTGCCTCTGGCAGCCCTCCTGCCTCCCAGGCAGCTATCTAACCCATTTGCAGGCTTGACAAACAGATCCGAGCAGTAGCTGATAAGGCAGTCATTGCTCCTCCAATATGCTCCCGTTCATCACGTCACCGAGGCTGCTCCTGGCTCCCCCAAACCAGCAAGACCGATCTTTCAAGACACGAGGTAGATCCATTCTTAGGATCCCTTCTGCGCCACCCTAGAGGAGTAGATTGTCTAATTCTTTTTTTTTTTTTTTTTTTAAATACAGGCAATCCTAAGACTTACAACTGCGAGGGAGCCCAAAATTTCTCTTGCTAAGCGAGACAGTTGTGGAGTGAATTTTGCCCCATTTTACGACCTTTCTTGCCACACTTGTTAAATGAATCACTGCGGTGGTTAAGTTAGTAACACAATTGTCAAGAGACTCTGACTTCCCCATTGACTTTGCTTGTCAGATGGTCACAAAAGGAGGATCACGTGACTCCGGGACACTGCAACCGACATAAATACATGCCAGTTGCCAAGCCTCTGAATTCTGATCACATGACCATGGGGATGCTACATCGGTTGTAAGGATGAATTGTTATAAGTTGAGGACTACCTGTAACTTCAGAGGGTCACTAAATGAACTGTTATAAGTCCCTGTGGCGACAACGGTTGTCTTACAACCATTGTTCAAAGTAATGACACTGAAAACAGTAACGTATGACTGTTTTCCACAATCATTGCAGCATCCTCACGGGCACGTGATCAAAATGGGCCCAAACTCACTTAACAACGGTGTTACTTTGCAACAGAAATTTTGGGCTCGGTTGTGCTTGTAAAGCAAGGACTACTTGTAGTGATCTTTCTCCTTCTCTCACCTTTTCGTTTCCCTGGCGGAAGCGCGGGAGAAGAATAGAGCTTCCAAACCTGGCCTGCAAAAACCTGGACAAGCGCTAGGGGCAGCAGATACTGTCTGTTTGCTGTCCTGTAGTGGCTCTCTGCATATTGGTAGTCCCAAATCTGATAGCCCTGGAGGGGGAACGTTTACTATCCAGCCTGAGAAAGGAACAGAGATTCCTTCAAAAATCTTGCTTCCTCATTATGAGACTCTCTTGACTTCAGTTCTTCTCCAAAAGGATGGGGGGCAACCTACTGAGAATAGGATAGTCCTTGTTTATAACTGATTATTACTCCTTAGATCAGAGGTCCTCAACCTTTTGGGCTCCAGGGACCGGTTCCGTGGAGAGAGGTTTTTCCATGGACCGGAGGGTGCGTGGTTTTGTATGCTGCCTGCGTCTCATGGATGGGGCTTTGCTTGTCTTGTGCGGACCGGTTGTTGGCATGCCACGGCCCAGTACCGGTCCACAGACCGGGGGTTGGGGACCTCTGCCTTAGATGCTATCAGGTTTTCCCCTGTCCAGTTCTGTCTGACTCTAGGGGCCGGTGCTCATCTCTGTTTCCCAGTTGATGGAGCCAGCATTGTTCGAAGGCATTTCTGTGGTGAGGTGGCCAGCATGACTATATTACGAGATGCATGGAACCCCACCAAAGTGGTACCTATTGATCTACTCGCCTTTGCATGCTTTCGAACTGGGAGGTGGGCAGGAGCTGGAGCGAGGAACAGGAGCTCACCCGTTGCATGGAATACGGGTCTTGAACAGGGCTATCAGCTTTCTTTACCCTCTGAGCCATCACGCCCCGATTGTTGTCAGTGTCCACTCTAAGTGACCACCCAGATCTTTCCAGGATGATCTGTCCTCTAGTGTTGTGTTGGATGTGTTCCCAGCCTTGAGTTATTTGCAAAAATAATAAAATTGGGAAACAAACAAACAACAAAGATGATTAGGGGACTGGAGGCTAAAATATATAAGGAACGATTGCTGGAATTGGGGTATGTCTAGTTTAACGAAGAGAACGACAAGGGGGGACATGATAGCAGTGTTCCAATATCTCAGGGGCTGCCCCAAAGAAGAAGGAATCAAGCCATTTTCCAAAGCGCCTGAAGGCAGGACAAGAAGCAATGGGTGGAAACTAATCAAGGAGAGAAGCAACCTAGAACTAAGGAGAAACTTCCTGACAGCTAGAACAATTAACCAGTGGAACCACCTGCCTCCAGAAGTGGTGAATGCTCCAACACTGGAGGTTTTTAAGAAGAGACTGGACAACCATTTGTCCGAAATGGTGTAGGGTTTCCTGCCTGAGCAGGGGGTTGGACTAGATGACCTCCAAGGTCCCTTCCAACTTTACTACTATTACTAAAAAAAGTAAAGTTTTTTCACTTTACCAGGATATTGTAAATAGGGAAACTGTCAAATAGGGCTGGCAAGCTCTCATTCAATTTTTTTTTTTTTTTTTTTTTTTTAAGCCACGGAGAACTTGAGTGGCTTTGAACCAGTCAGTAAATCTCAGATCATCCTATCTTATGTGTGAAGTCTCCACTGTACTACTTTTACTCCCTGGGGGAAAAACTGGATTAAAATGGTAAATGCAAGGTTTTTTTTTTCTTGTTTTAATCAGTTAACAGGAAAAACAAAAGATTGCTTTTTTGAAATTCTAAAACCGATATTATTGTAAGGTAATTCTTTGAGGAAAGTGTCGTGCAGGGATATGGGCAGTATGGGTTTAAAAAAAAAAAAAGCAATATGGTGGCCATGTCACACATAAAAGCCAGCCAGAGCTTTGATTGTTCCCATGGCTACCTCTATCTTGCCTTTTTTGACCACACTTTGGTCAATAGGTGCTGTGTTTCAAAAGTTCACATGCCTACAGTGTAGGAAAAATTCTCCACGCCTTTCTTTCACTCTTTCTTTTCCTAATGCTTTGTTATTATTTCCCTTTGTGGTCTGTTTAATAAAGACCCCCAGTTGTTGTTGTTGTTTTCCATCTAAAATGAAAGGAACCCCAATATTTTCTACTCCAGCAGCTTGGCCCTTCCAATCCCCCTCTGTATCCTAAAGCTCGCATTTCCTTAGAAAAAGGCTTTTTCCAATGAAGAGAAGAACGCCAGCATCTCTTGTTTGCTCACAAATTGTTAGATAAGCATTACTTTTCTTCTGGAGTTGATTCCTACTCCTGAAGTCAAAAGACCATGAAATTTAATTTTATGCCTATTTGACCAGGATCAATTTAGTCTCCAAATCAATGTGAGAGATAAAGACCGATGGGCGCCAGGCGGTTCGGCAGCTGGAACTGCCAAGCGCGGAGGGAACTCAGCGGCCATAACACTTGAAAATCGCCCAGGAAGTCCACCATTAATGGTGAGTCCCAATCACCCTTCCTCGCTGGCTCCTTGTCGACGGTGTTCTTCGGTTGCCGGGCACTAAAACAAACCCGAGCTTTGTTTACGGAGTCTACAATTACAATGCAGGCTCCAAATATTTGCTAGTCTGCAATCTTGCAGCTCCACTATAAATACTTTGGCTCCAGGTGGATGGGCGGAGAACTAGCAGAGAAGGAGGCAGAGGGGATTATCTGCAGAGATCAGGTAAGCATCCTGGAGATTACTGGTGGTGGGGGGGAGGGGCTGGCCTTTGAGTCTCTGGCTTCTTGCTAAAGGCCCATGGAATGGAGCAAAATGAGGGGTACATCATTAATTCAACTCTCCATTATGCATCTAGAGTCAGATGTCTCCTCTTTGGTCTTCCTAGTAAGTCTACGAGATAGGTCTAGTGGTCAATTTTGTACAGCTCCAAGTCAACTCAAGGAGCAATGATAGAGCAGAGGTCCAGACCTGGCACTCATAAGACTCAAAACAATGGGCCACTTTCATGCTGGAAGGGAGGGAGAAGGGCAGATTACTTCTAAAGCTTTCTGGAAAGAATGAAAGGTGAAAACAGAACAGACCACAATAGTAGCGGGTCCTTATTTAGCCTGCCTTGTGCAATGCTAATTTTCTATCTGCAGGGCCTGGACAAGACAGCAAGGAGCATTCAGAATAATATTTGTAGGTGGCCTGAATCATATAGTGCAGGGGTGTCCAACCTGGGCAACTTTAAGACCTGTGGACTTCAACTCCCAGAATTCCCCAGCTGGGGAATTCTGGGAGTTGAAGTCCACAGGTCTTAAAGTTGCCCAGGTTGGACACTCCTGCTTTAGTGCAACCATTTCTTCAAGAAATGCCATCTTACTTACAGCGTGTGGAACTTCTAAGATGAAGAAGACTGAGTTGGATAGACAGTCACTTTGGACGTAGGAAAGGTCTTTTTCCCCCCAATAAACCATCATCATCCAGGATTCTCTGGATATGGTGAACTAGCCCAATATAGACAAAATGTGGTTCTTTCCATAATATACGTATCTTCCTCGTGTAGGGAGCTCATTGGGTAGCCCACAGAGGAGAAACACTGAATATTGCTGTAGTTAATCATACAAAATTATGCTTTAGGTTTCTGGGATCAAAATTGGGGTTCTTTCCCTGTTTTATGCAGGGTGTTTGATCCTTGGAGACAATGGCAAGAATGTGATCTAGACCCAGAATTCCTCAAAGGAATGTCTCTGTTCTGCGAACAAGATCCCAATCCAAAGGGCAGTAAAAATCAGCTTTTTTCTGGCATGGTGACCACCAGGTGTATTGAATTATAGATCCCATCATCCTGTCCCACTATGGCACGGAAAAGGCAGCTATTAGCAAAGATGAGGATACTGGCAAATAAATCCAATCTTATTTCTTCATTTTGCTTTTTTTTTTTCAAATGACACAACTTTTGCTCTAGAACCCAGGACTTTGGTCTATTTTTGATATTGAAGGTGTTGGTTTTAACAGAATAACAGAGTTGGAAAGGGTCTTGGGGATCTTTTGTTCAACACCCTGCACAAGCAGGAGACCCTATACCATTTTAGATGAAATGGTAGTCTGATCTCTTCTTTAAAACCTCCAGTGATGGAGCATCTACAACTTCTGAAGGCAAGTCGTTCCATTGGTTGATTGTTCTCACCATCAGGTTATTTCTCCTTAGTTCTAAGTTTCTTCTCTCCTTGATTAGTTTCCATCCATTGTTTCTTGTCTTACCATCTGGTGTTTTGGAAAATAGTTTCACCCTCTTGTCTTTGTAGGAGCCCCTAAATATTGGAACACTGCTATCATGTCACCCCCTAGTCCTTCTTTTCAATAAACCAGACATATCCAATTCCTGCAACCGTTCTTCATATGTTTTAGTTCTCACCCACCCCTAATTATCTTTCTTGTTCTTCTCTGCTCACTTTCCAGAGTCCCAACATCTTTTTTATATCGTGGCAAGCAAAGCTGGATGCAATATTCTTGGTGTGGTCTTACCAAGGTATTGTAAAGCAATTGATCCATTTAATGTCGCCTTTCTGTCCATTTCTTCAAGGGTTTGTTCAATGGGATTGTTGTTTAACATTGACCTTGTTTCAATCTCAGGAAGACAGTTTAGAGATGTTACAAGCCAACTAACTTTCTTTTCCTTTCTTGGTGGCCCCATCCTGGTCTCCAGGATTTGTCCCTAGAAAGAGATAGTGACAGTGTTGATAGGATCTAGTCTCATTGTGTCTTTGTTTTCCAGCAGCTGACTCCCACTTTTTCTTGGCCTTTCTTTGATCCAGAAAGTCAAGCATTTGAACAGCAAAGAGGAAAAAGATGGCAGCTGGGGTGATACAAGCTCTAAGCAAGTTCAGGCTACCCACCGAATTCCAGTATCCATTTCTGACCTCCCTAGCTGGCCAGGAGATGAGCTTCCAGTATTTATCCGGAGAAGAAGACACGGAGGAGGAAGAGGAAGATGAGACAGAAGAGGAAGGAAGGGAAGACATGGACTTAGAAGAAGATCTGATGAGTTCTGTCCACGAAGATGCTGCCATGGAAGCCAACCCCAGCGTCAATAACACTAAAAAGACAATGCAGCTCCTCCAATTTGCCGAACGCATCAGCCACGACATCCAGAGGTATTTTGGCAAGAAGAACAAAGAGCAGGAAGATGAGGAAGGGATGGAGGGAAGCAGCTGCAACACTTACGAGGACTTCTGCTCCCTACCACTGTCAGGACAAGTGATGTCCTACACAGATCTGACCAGGATTTCTCAGCGCGAGGAGACTGATGATGAAGAAGACTTTTCTGACCCCCACAAGACTTTTGAGCAGCTCTGGAGTGAGAAAGGCAAAAAGTTGGGCCCCCTGGCTGAACTTTTTGAGTACGGTCTTTGTAAGTATCTTCAGCGACATCTCTCTCCTGATAATAAGAAACGGATGAGGCTGGAGAGGAAATTTGGATATGTCACCCCCATGCAGAGCAGAAAGCTACCTCAGTCCTTCTGGAGGGAGCCAACGCTCAGCCCCATAGGTACCCCAAGTGGCAATCCTCCAGACTTTAGTGATCTACTGGCGAACTGGACTTCTGAATCTGGTCAGGAGGATCTGAATGCCAGCCGAGAGCAGCTTGGTGAGATCACCAGTGATGGACACTAAGAAGCCTTCCTTTCTCTCATTGGTTCAACGTGCACATTGCTAAATGCATCTTCAGAGAAATGTTGCCCTCCACCAGTACAGATAGTCCTTGACTGACGACGACAATTCAGCCCAAAACTTCTGTTGTCACGTGAGACCCTTGTTAAGTGAGTTTTGCCCAGTGGTGGAATTCAAATATGTGAACAACCAGTTCTCTGAGTAGATGCCGCTTCCGGAAGTCCATTCTGGGCCTGGGCAACCAAAAATTAGCTACCGGTTCTCCCGAAGTGGTGCGAACCGGCTGAATCCCACTACTGGTTTTGCCCCAGTTTATGACCTTTCTTGCCACAGTTCTTAAGTGAATCTCTGCAATTGTTCAGGCAGTAGCACGGTTGTTAAGCAAATTTGGCTTCCCCACATTGATTTTGCTTGTCAAAAGGTCACAAAAGAGGGTCACATGACCCCGGGATACTGCAACCGTCATAAATGTGAGCCGGTCGCCAAGCTTGCAAATTTTGATCACGTGACCAAGGGGGAATGGTGCGACGGTTGCAAGTGTGAAAAACGGTTGTAAGTCACTTTTTTCAGAACTACCTGGATTTAGTTTTGATTCTGCAATTCAACCCCTGCCTCAATTTCATTGATCCTTCCATTGTAAGACAGTTTGGCTGTAACTATAATTGCTTTCACCCCCATATTACACCAAAATAATTACATTGCCCACTTACTAATTGATACTGTTCAAAGCTCTGTAGAGGAATATGTGGATCTGGAACAAAAATAATGTGGATTTGGAACAAAAGCTGAAGGGTTAATATAAGAAGTCGGAAAAGACAAGTGAAACGAAAATGGACCAAGCAAAATAATCCCACTGTTCTGTCTCTTCCTATTGATTAAAAAGAAAAAAAAATCCAGAAATCAGAAAGTACCAATCCATTTTTGAAAGCACACCTTTGTCCTCAATAACCATAAACAAAACAAATTCTTAATCCCAATGAGCAACTGCACACACACAGAAAAGATTGTGGGACTTTGAAATCCAAAGGGGATGAGGGGGGGGATCTGTGCTTGGGTGAGAAATATTTTAAAACAAACTTCAAGGGGAACAAAGTCATTTGTCTTGTAAACAAACCTGTCCCTTTGCTTAGGAATAGGAAAGAAGGGAGGGAGGGAGGGAGGGAGGGAGGGAGGGAGGGAGGGAGGGAAGGAAGGAAGGAAGGAAGGAAGGAAGGAAGGAAGGAAGGAAGGAAGGAAGGAAGGAAGAAAGAAAGAAAGGAAGGAAAGACCAGCACCTTAACCACAACATCAAACTGGGCGAGGAATTATGGGAGTTGAAGTGCACACATCTCAAAATTCCCAAATTTGAAAAACACAAGGAAATGTCTGGTGCTCCAGCTTAATTTTCACCAGAAGAACAGAGGCAAAAGATCACCTGGATGGATAATTCAGCCCTTCTAGTTTGACAAGAAAGGCCTGAATCACGATCGGGGGTTTTAGACAAAACGTCCACTAAAGTTGCCAAAACATTTCAAAATTTTTGTCAAAGTGGCTTTAAACTAACAGTTTAGCCCCAATTTATTGTAGCCCCAATCTAGGGTTGTTGGTTTTTGTTTTGTTTTTTGAGTGGTCCCTAATACATCTCTCAAAATTCAAAGTTTGGTTTAAAGAAAAGAAAACCTGGCCCTTTGTGTCATTCAGACAACTCAGTGCTGGGAAATCACACTTCAGCCCTTTTCTGGGACAATCTTTCCTCACCTCCCTTTATTTTGGGTAGCGTTCTTCCAGAAAGTTTGATTTGAGTTTGTTAAGTTGGCTGTATTCCTTGGTGGAGGGAAGGTCCGTCCCTCTTTCTGCACCTTATTAAGAAGTCGAGAGCCACGCTTGCTAGCAACGGGAGTTGATAGCAACCCTGCCTTCAGCGGGCAGAACAAGGGGGAACACCCTTGCTTGCCATTCAGACAACATTCTTCGGCTCCTTCCTGGATTTTGCTCCGTAGAGGCAAAGCTTCCTCAAACTCCATGGCCAAGGGTCCCGAGTACAGCAGCCTCGGCACTTTCCATGAGCAAGTTCAGTGCCTCACCAATGAAAATGTAAGTGGATGAAAAAGTTAAGTGTTCAAATCAATGCTTTCCTATCCTATTATACTGATATTATAATCACCACAGTCCAAGAAGCAGAGATATCGAGAACACGTTAAACTCCGCTTTCAAAGAGACCACGGCAGCTAATGTATCTATCTACAATATAACCTCCAAAGCAATTCTGCACCATTTTTTTGGGGGGGGGGAGATTTATCCTCCTATTGTCTGTCTGTCTGTCTGTCTGTCTCTCTCTCCTCTTTCTCTAATTTTACTATCTATTATCTATCTATCTGTCTGTCTGTCTGTCTCCTTTCTTTCTCTCTCGAATTTTACTATTATCTATCTATCTATCTATCTATCTCTATCATCTATCTATATCTATCATATATCTATCATCTTTCCTTCTCTCTATACATATAATCTTTAACTATGTGTGTTATCTCATATCTATCATCTTTTATTCTCTTTATCATCTATCATGTCTTTCCTTTTCTCTCTCTCCCTCTATATAATGTATATGTCTGTCTGTCTGTCTGTCTATCTATCTATCTCTATCTATCTATCATCTATCTATCATCTATCTGTCTATCTATCATCTATCTATATCATCTCTCTATCTATCATCTATCTATCTATCATCTATCTATCTCTATCATCTATTTATCATCTATCTATCTATCTATCTATTATCTATCTATCTATCTATCTATCTATCCATCCATCCATCCATCCATCTATCTATCTATCTATCTATCGCTGTCATCTTCTCCCTAATTCTCATCTGCATCTACTGAAACTAATCCCAAACCAGAGATACTCCATTTGCCACATCCAAACCTGTTTTCCATTTTCTTAAGTTTCCTCCCAACATGCTGTCGAATTTCATAGTGCAAATGTTTGAAAATTGGCAGGGCAGCTGGGTGCTCCTGTGCAGCGGGAGATTTGTATATTTCCTGTATCATGCACTTTACCATTGGTATGATGTGATAGAAATTAAAAACACACCAAAAAACAACAACAATAACAAAAACATTCCTTCCCAAAACCCAGGACAAAGAAAATCCACTCACTGATATTATTGTGATACCCCCTGTGACTTTAATTTTTTCTTCTGTTCAGTTGTGTTGGAGATGGCCTGGACAAGTCCTTCCAGTTTCCTTGGCAAGGTTTTTTTTAGAGATGGTTTGCATTGCTTCCTTCCTAGGGCTGAGAGAGAATGCCTGGCCCGGCTGTCTTCATGTCTAAGATGGGACTAGAATTCACTGTCTCCCAGATTCTAACGTGATGACTGAACCACTACACCAAACTAGCTCTCCTCTGGCTTTAGCATCCCTCAAACTATCTCCTGCCATTCTGAAAGGAAGCATATAGCATTTTATCATTTAACAACTTTGCCTTCATCTTCCTCTCCTTCTGCTGTTGCTTCTGTCAGTCAACTTTTCGACTGCATTCTTCTTTTGGCTAGAGACCATCTCTCCATAGCTACCATCTCCTCAAGGTCTCATCCACTTCCATTTTGGCCAGGTCTGGGACCTCACCAGCAACCAACAGATGACCCATGTAGGACCTGAAGTTCAGTTGAAAATGCCCGTTCTTGGAAGCTTTTTAGGGCACTCTTGTTCTTCTTACACTGAAAGATGTCAGAATTAAAGTCTTCTCCTGGAGGAATGGGACAACCCACCATGGCCAACTCTTCATGGGACATTCATTGCTGCAGGACAATTCAATGTGGGATAACTCAAGACAGAGACAAGTGAATTTGCAGCTTCAAGGGCTTCTAACTTGAGAAGGCTTAAACCTAAAGCAAGACCAGGCTCACTGCAATTCACTCGTCCCTCTCTTGAGTTATCCTGCATTGAATTGTAATAATAATAATAACAACAACAACAACAACAACAACAATAATAATAATAATAATAATAATAATAATGTGCGATGATCAATAATAATAATAATAATAAAGTTGGAAGGGACCTTGGAGGTCATCTAGTCCAACCCCCTGCTCAGGCAGGAAACCCTATACCATTTCAGACAAATGGCTGTCCAGTCTCTTCTTAAAAACTTCCAGTGTTGGAGCATTCACCCCTTCTGGAGGCAGGTTGTTCCACTGGTTAATTGTTCTAACTGTCAGGAAGTTTCTCCTTAGTTCTAGGTTGCTTCTCTCCTTGATTAGTTTCCACCCGTTGCTTCTTGTCCTGCCTTCAGGCACTTTGGAAAATAGCTTGACTCCCTCTTCTTTGTGGCAGCCCCTGAGATATTGGAACACTGCTATCATGTCCCCCCTGGTCCTTCTCTTTGTTAAACAAGACATACCCAATTCCAGCAACTGTTCCTTATATGTTTTAGCCTCCAGTCCCCTAATCATCTTTGTTGCTCTTCTCTGTACTCTTTCTAGCGTCTCAACATCTTTTTTACATTGTGGTGACCCAAACTGGATGCAGCATTCCAAGTGTGGCCTTACCAAGGCATTGTAAAGTGGTATTAACACTTCACGTGATCTTGATTCTGTCCCTGTTAATGCAGCTCAGCAGTGTGTTGGCTTTTTTGGCAGCTGCAGCACACGGCTAGCTCATATTTAGGTGATTGTCCACTAGGACTCCGAGGTCCCTCTCACAGTTACTACTATTGAGCAAGGTGCCACCTATGCTGTACTTGTGCATTTGGTTTTTCTTGCCTAATTGCCTAATTGTCCCGCGGTGAGTTAGCCAGGGTGAGTTGGCCACAACAAGGTGTCCTACCTAGGCCCTTTCCAGGAGCACTGAATCTCCCTCTCTGCTCTCTCAGGTTCAGCTACAAGATCGAAATGAAAAGCTCTACAGCAAAGTGGAAGAATTGCAGGAAAAGCTGGGACAATTGGCTCTCTCTAAGGCGGACATGTCCTCCAGACTGATTTGCAGTGAAGAGGAGAAGCTCAAGGTAACAAGAAGAGAAATTTGCTGCTTTGAGACATGCAGAGAAGCAGTTAGTGGTTTTTTTCCCCCTTTCCTCCTGGGTTCAAAGCACTTGGTTCCTCAAATAAACCCAGACACCTGTACAAACATTAAAAATGTCCCTCATGCAGAAGACCACGTTCAGCTGCTTCTGGGGCCATCTACAACATGAGTTTTGATTTCAAGGGGGCATGTAGGGCACAGGATGAATGCTTGCTGATTTTTTTGTGTACAAAGTAAGCATGGTGTATTTGTATCCATAGATTTCCAAAGACTTTGTCGATTTCCAGATTGATACCAACAAAAAGAGAGAACAACACGAAGCCGAGAACTTTGAACTGAAGAATCTGGTATGTGATCTTTCATTAAGAGATTTAATTATTGCACCTTTATAAACCGGTATTTGGTTTTTTTTCCCCCTCCCATGTTTCATCTTAGGTCAGATCCCGCTCCCAGCTGGCTTCTGTGTCCACCCAACACAGCTGCATCATGGGAAGTGTAGATTTAAGATGGGATCTACTTTCCTTCTTGATCCATGCCTGTTTTATTCCTCTCTGGATTTACTCTGCCAGATCTTGGGCTTGGAGAATCGTATTCTGGAGATTGAGCTCCATGATGAGAGGACTACCGGAGAACGGGATGCTTTGCAGGAACGCCTGCAGACCTTGGAGAATGACCACAAGGAGCTGGCCAATGAGTACCTTGCTTTGAAGAGCAACTACCTTGTATTGGGCAAGGAGCATGAACAGGAAGTATGAGCTGCTCAAGAATAATCCTTCACCTGCTTCAGACACTAGGCAACCATCAGGTTCCAAAAACCAAGAAAGACATGTAGTGTTTCTTTCAAGCAGGTTATTGTTCGTCACCCATAGACAGAATTTTGCCAAACTGAAACAAACTACTACCTGCACAAGGCACATATTCTGGGAGTTATTAGGGAGGGAGGGAGGGAGGGAGGGAGGGAGGGAGGGAGGGAGGGAGGGAAGAAGGAAGGAAGGAAGGAAGGACCCTAATATGGATGGATTGAAGGAAGGATGAATAGAAAGAAGGGACATTGGAAGGAAGGAAGGAAGGAAGGAAGGAAGGAAGGAAGGAAGGAAGGAAGGAAGGAAGGAAGGAAAGAAGGAAGGAAGGAAGGACACTGATATGGATGGATTGAAGGAAGGATGAATAGAAAGAAGGGACATTGGAAGGAAGGAAGGAAGGAAGGAAGGAAGGAAGGAAGGAAAGAAGGAAGGACACTGATATGAATGGATGGAAGGATGAATGGAAAGAAGGGACATAGGAAGGAAGGAAGGAAGGAAGGAAGGAAGGAAGGAAGGAAGGAAGGAAGGAAGGAAGGAAGGAGGGAGGGAGGGAGGGAGGGAGGGAGGGAGGGAGGGAGGGAGAAGGGGAAAGGGCAGGGTAGGAGGGAGGAGGATGGGAGGGAAGGGAGGGTCAAAATTCCAAAACAAAGAAAAATACTTAGTGATTCTTCCAAACAGATTTCTTTATTGTTCCTCACCCATAGACAGAATCTTGCCAAACTGAAGCAGACTGTACCCCCATCAATCATGTACTCTGTCTTACATGATCTCCGCTTTCTCCCTTGTAGCTCTCTAAGAGTGAAGAACTGAGCAGAGAGTTACTTAACTTGGTTAAGTCCAAGCAGGAGCATCCACATCACGTCCAAACCAAGAGCCTTGAGTCCCAGACTGAGGCTGAAGAACCATCTGCTGAAGTAGAGCGGGTGCAAACCTTGATCCATCGCTTTTCTGCCCGCAGAGCCAAGGTGTCTGGATTCTTTGCTCCTCTCTTTGTGATGAACAAATCATGATATTTATTGACTTGATTTGTACAGCTGCTCATCTCAGCAAGTGACCCTGGGCAGTTAAAAACACACAACAATTAAAACGATTCAGATGCTCCTCAACTGTCCTTTAGGTAGCTCAGTCCCAAGCCAAGATATTGTCTTCAAATGACTATGAACATGATTACGGAACCTTTGTCCAGAAATGTGAAGCTTTCTATAGGCCGACTAGCAAATCTTGCCTCTTTCTGAGAGCTCTTAAAAGAGGATCTCTTAGATATTTTAAAAGATACTAGTTGATTTAATATTAAGGATTTAGATCTATAAGAGAAATAAAAAAAATAGTCACTAGAATAATAGTCTTGGATTATAATATAGAAGTTGGATTGAGATGATAAATGTTATTTTATTAGTAAGTGATGAGGTATTAGGATGAGAAATAGGATAGGTTTGTGAAATAAAGTAAAAAATTATCTGAGTAAATAATAAATGTATTTTAGATATGACAATTATTTTGTAATGAACTAAGGGAACTTTGGGTTACCCTAAATCTAAAGACTATGGATATTAAGCTAACTGGAATACTGTAATTGAAATTAGGTAAAATTTAAAAACAGGACACGAAGGCGTATAAGTTAAAATATTTTGATAAATGTCTTAACCGACTGAGTTATAACTAGCAATGTATTAATTTGAATGTGATACAATAACCAAGGGAAATAGGAGATTTTTGATGATGTAACCTGACATATGTATGAAAGAGCTTGTTATTACCCAATCACCACGTTGCTTCCTTAACACTTGGAGTTTTGTAAAGTTGGAAAATTAATAAAACTTGTTTTTTTTAAAAAAGAGAGGGTCTCTTGAAAGAGTGGCTTTTCTGCTTGTATCAGGAAAAAGGTGAAACTGTCTTTTGTTACTTTACTTTGTGTTTCTTATAGACAGAAATCAGTTTAGAACAGTCTTGTCTCCCTCATTAGAAAAAGACAGAGATTCCTATCCAAATTGCATACATTTCTTAATGGCCCCCGTTTGCACAACACTCTTTAAAATGTTATTTAGATTGGGGTTTTAAAAGTTGGGGTAGGGGGCATTTAGGGGCTCTGATTGCTTTACATTTTAGTTGTGATCTTAGTGGTTTCCTAGTGACAACTTTTAATTGTGTCTCTTAGCTGTGTCTCTTGATGATCTTAGCTGTGTCTCCTAGTTGTCTGAAATGGTATAGGGTCTCCTGCTTCCAATTACATTATTCCGAAGTCTGTATTCTTAAATTGGATTGTAAGGAGATCTGGTATGGATTCCATGTAACAACCATTCCAATGCTTACTTCCTGTCTTTTAGCCCAAAGATGTGGTGGCAGCTTCAGAACATGAAGACCAAAAATTGGAGAAAAGTGTGAGTTTTAATGGTGCAGTGATTTCATTCCCCCAAATTATGGAGATTGACTCAGCCTTCCATCCTTCCGAGGTCGGTAAAACGAGGACCCAGATTGTTGGGGGGAACAAGCTGACTCTGTAATCTGCTTAGAGAGGGCTGTAAAGCACTGTGAAGCGGTATAAAGTCTATTGGCTATTGCTGTAGCTGACTGGATGTTGCATTAGGAGCAACTGTTGGAGAGGAAAACAGCAATGGTTAGAATGCAACATTTCAGGCTGCCCATAGCGAGCAGTTCGATCCTGACTGGCTCAAGATTGACTCATCCTTCCATCCTTCCGAGGCGGGTAAAATGAGGACCCAGATTGTTGGGGGCAAATATGCTGACCCTGTAAACCGCTTAGAGCAGTGATGGCGAACCTTTTAGAGACCGAGTGCCCAAACTGCAACCGAAAACCCACTTATGCATCATTGAGTGCCGTGTGGGTGTGGCCAATTGGGTGGGCGTGGCCCATTGGGTGGGTGTGGATGCGGTGGTAATGGCAGACTGGGTGGGACTAAAAAGTTCAATCAATCAATTCCAACATTGCAAGATCTTTTTTTTTCCGCGAGAAGTTGAAATTGACTGATTGAACCTTTTTTTTTTTTTTTTTTTTTTGCACATGGCGGTGGAGGCCTAAAGCGAAAAGGTTTTATAAAACCCAGCTGAAGGCCTAGGACTGGGCCACGGCACGCGTGCCCACAGAGAGGGCTCTGAGTGCTGCCTCTGGCACCCGTGCCATAGGTTCGCCACCACTGGCTTAGAGAGAGGCTGAAAAGTACTGTGAAGTGCTATATAAATCCAAGTGCTATTGCTATTATAATCTAAATTAATCAGACAGAAAAATATTCACAAGAACAGTGACGAAGAGGCATAGCTCTGTCGGAGTGATTGCTGTTTTCCTCTCCAACAGTTGCTCAGAAACCAAGGTCACATCACTGAAGAGATGGAAAAAATGAGAGAAATGTACAGTTCCCAGCAACAGAAATTGGAGGAGAGAATGTGAGTAAGACCTCTACATACGTGAGTCCTATTAAAGCAATTGTGCACCCTGTGCCTTTCAGATTTTTATGACATTCTCACATTGAACTGTCCAATTGTTTTCTTGAAGAAAGAGTGGAAACCGTTGTCTAAGGTACTGGAGAGCTCTGTCATAAGTTTCTTCTTCATCCTTTAACAGATATTGGACCACAACATTTCAAAGTATTTTAAGAAATTCAAAGACAGGAAACTTGCTGGCATATCAAATCAAATTCCTGTCGCTAAAGGAATTTTCTTTGTGCTGCATTATCTTAGCATATCCAGAGTCTTCTTTCTGTCCCAGGATTGACAAGATGATATTTGTTATAATTGCGTGACCTCTTCCTCCTTTTTTAAATCATTATATGTCATCCCCTTCTTTTTATTTGGTCTCGTAAGAAAGCAGGACAATATAGGTAGGCATCTCAAATGCTTCACCCAACTAGAGGAGGAGGAGGAGGAGGAGGAGGTGGAGGAGGAGGAGGAGGAGGAGATGATAGTGATGATGGAGGAGGAGGAGGAGGTATCAGTTCAAAAGAACCATAACAAGAGTCAGCAATACAAGAAAAGCAAGCAAGAGAACTTGAGTTCAGGACCACGGAGAGGAGCTCTAGAGATGGAATTGAGAGAAGTTATTCCAGCTTTTTCCTGGAGTTATGGATTGAGATTGGACAGCTGGTCTTCCTGGAAGTCCATCTCTCAAATACTTCAGTTAATATCCTTTTCCTGCCAACCTCTCCTGAATGTTGAAAGTTGGGAGATGTGATCACTAGGCTAGAGAAAGCTCATCCATTGGCTACACAATGTGGAGATCTGCTCATCTGGTTGCAGGTTTCCAATGTGGAGTCCAAGGCAGAGGAGATTGGCTTTGAGTCATGATCACTGGACATCTCTTATTCCAAACCCTTGAAAAATGATGGAGCAGATTCACATTTTCACCTGAATGGCAGCCAGATCATTCCTGCCCATCCATTGATCTGGTTAAAAACATATTGCACAGGAAACAAGAAGGAAGCAGAATGAGCCAGATGTGGTCCTCCTCGTAGCACCTGTCTATGGAGATTCTCAGTCATCCAGGGCATGGTTGTCCCAAAGGTGCTTTTTCAAAAGGCGATGAGACTTCCTTGTTTTTTGTTTTTCCTTTGAGAACATTTCAATAGTCATCCAAGAAGCTTCTTTAGTTCTGACTTCAGAAGAAGCTTCTTGGATGAGAAGTGAAACATCTTCAAGGAAAAACAAAGTCCAGTTGCCATTTGAAAAAGCATCATTGGGACAAGAGTGTAGCACCTGTGTTCTCAGGATCTCATATGACTCCTATTTTGGCACAACCCAGAGCTTCCCAGACACCAAACCTTGATATCCTGACATTTGGAGGAATGAAATACATTGTTGTTTCAGTTTAAGAATAAAATAAGATTGACACAAGGAAATACAGCCCTGCCTCCAAAGAATGGCAAGTGCCAGAAAAGAGAGGCCTCGTTAATTTTGCGTAATTTCTCTATCCCATGTATCTACCCAAAAGCGTTAAACAGAACTTCTGGCCAATGAAGGGTTGCTCACCCACAATAAAGGGCAAACGGCAATATTTGTGTTGTTTTCGGTGTCTTCAGGATCACCATGGGCAAAGAATTGCAGGAGGCCAAGAAAGCAATTCGGAACACCCAGCATAAACTGGCAGAAGAGTCGGCGGTGAGAATCATTCAGCTCTGCTTTGTAGGCAAAATCCAAAGCAAGGATGGGTCATGGTGTGTGGGAATGGCCTTGGGATACAGGAGAGAGAGTCAGAGACTGGAAAAACCCCATGTAAAAGGTATCTCAGCCCAGAAAAGGTAGCAGAGGGTGGAGGACATTTCAAATGGGCTCCTCTCTAATTTTCCAGAGAGTAAAAGAGAAGGAAGAGAAGGGTACTGTTAATGCAACCGTACCATAAAGATAGCGCTAGTACTCGTGGTTGTGCTTTTTGCCTGGAAGGAAGCAAGAGAAATTAGCTTCATCAGCCATTACTAGAATTAGAGATCCATCAATGACCTTCAATCTATAATAGCTTTAGAGCAGGGGTGTCAAACTCAATTTCACTGAGGGCCGCATCAGCATTGCGGTTGCCCTGGGGGGCCCGGGTGGGTGTGGCCAGAGTGGGTGCAGCCTACTGGGTGGGCGTGGATGGAGTGGGTGTGGCCTACAGGGTGGGCATGACCAGTTCTACATCATTCGCATCAAGGGTGCCTGTGGGGGCCTGGGCAGGAGTGGGACAGATCTGGGGGTCTCTGGCAGAAGGGGGTGGGACCGGGGCAAGTGTCAAGGCATGGTCCACCGGGACAAGTGCCAAGATGGCCACCACAAAATTGTACATTGGCTCCCGGCTGGCCTGGGCCAGGGCCAAGGCAGCGGGGGCCGTTCCCTCATTCTTTCCAGGATGGCTTCACGGGCCACATGAAACCACTTTGCGGGCCGCATCCAGTCCCCGGGCCTTCTGTCTGACATGTCTGCTTTAGAGCAAAGGATCTCCAAACTTGAAGAGTTGTGGACTTCAACTCCCAGAATTTCTCAGCCAGTCAGCTAGCAATTCTGGAAGTTGAAGTCTACAAGTCTCCAAGTTGCCAAGTTTGGAGACCCCTTGCTCTATATCAGTGGTTCTCAACCTTTCTAATGCCGCGACCCCATAATACAGTTCCCCATGTTGTGGTGACCCCCAACCACTTATACATCACCGAGTGCCAAGGGCGTGGCCAAAGAAAAGGGGGAAAAATGGCGGACAGCCTTGTTTGGCGACCCCTGTGAAATGGCCGTTCGACCCCAAATGGGGTCCCGACCCACAGGTTGAGAACCGCTGCTCTAGAGTGAACAAAAAGAAATCATTCTATGCAGGAGCTTTTCTTCATTTTATCTCTTGTTAGAGCACCCAGATTGATAGCTGTCAAGCTCTGTTGCTCTTCAGAAAAACATGTCAACCCTTGGCGGAAAACCAACCCCTCAATGACTTTTAGCTGAGACAAGCAGGGCTTGAAATATATATGTTGCAGCCAGTGCCCCGAGCTCTTTTTCCAAGACACTCCATTCCATTCCTTCTTCTGTTTTTTTTTTTAATTTTTCATTCCACCTTTATTGCTTTATCCATCTAACAAAGAATATTCCAGCACTCCAGAATCAAAGGCATATGGGCGTTTGGGAATATGGGATGCACCAGTCTCCGTTTCCTTAAAGCGAGTTCCAATTTTGGCCATTAAGCTGAGGACTACCTGTACATTTTTCTCTACTTGGGCTACAGATCCTGTTGTCCTCTCATGGGCAGCTTCAAGAGGTTGAATCCGAAAATTCCAGGCTACAGTTACAGCTCAAAGAGCTGAACGAGCAATACCGCTCACACCTTGTTCAGTACATCACAGATCTGGCGGTAAGCATTTTCTCACCGGGAGTTGATCCAGATGCCTCTCTTAAACTTGCTTCACCCCCCATTAAAGCAACCCGAATCGAGAGCAACCCAAACATTGTCAGAGTCAAAAGAAAACACCCACATTTGGGTGTTATGGAACCAGTAGGTAACTATCCCCATTTTGCTCCTGTTCATCACGTTTTGAAAGCCGAGCCGCAAAGGCACAAGTTAGACTGCAGGGAGGGTGGTGAGAAGGAACAAGTATTAGATATGTTGTCTGCCTTGAGTTACTTGCAAAATAATAAAGGTGGGATAAAAAATGAATGAATGAGTGAATGAGTGAATGAATGAATGAATGAATGAATGAATGAACTGAGCAGAGAGCGCTAAGCAGTTAGTGCTAGGGTGCCCCATTCTGTAGTCTCACCAAATGTATTTGTATGTCAAGGAGTACACGGATAGTAAATCGTCAGCTGCTACAAAGGAACCCGCTCAAATGAAGCGTTTTGTGGACAGCATGCTGAAAGACATCCGGGCTTCCTACAAATCTCGGGAGGAACAGCTAGCTAGAGCTGCTCGCGGCTACAAGAAACGCATGCAGAATTTGGTCAAGAAGCATGAGGGCCTACTCGTGGCTTACAGGTAAGAGAAGGGGCCAAGCTGGAGGACAGCACACAGCAGAACCTAAACTGAGACCCAAGTCTTGTTGATATTGCATCTTCTATGTACCTGGCTCTGTGGCAGTGGTTCTCAACCTGTGGGTCGGGACCCCATTTGGGGTCGAACGACCATTTCACGGGGGTCGCCAAACAACGCAGTCCGCCATTTCCCCCCCCCTTTTCCTTAGCTGTGCTACTCCCTTTTATTTTATTGGCTTTTGAAAGCCAATAGAATGGATTCTCTTGAATAGAGTCTAATTCTATTGGCTTTCAAAAGTCAATAGGAATGGTCCAGGCTGTCTCTGCCCTGCTGAGCCCGCCAAAAGTCCCATTCTGCAAACGGTGCTGCACCAGTGGAGTAGTCCTCGACTTACGACCGGTTGAGTAGTCCTCGACTTACGACAGGTTGGGGAGTCACGGCATTAAAAAGGTTGAGAACCACTGCTCTATGGAGTCTTGGTTGCTTGGTTTTGTTACCCAACTAGGTAACGTTATCAATGCAAGTATGAGGTTTGCTCCCTATATATAATACTTCGCCTTGCCAGACCCTGTACCTATTTCTGGAGGGAGACTATTCCATAGAATGGGGGCTATTTCAGGACAGTCCTGCTCTCCCAGGCATATCCCATGGACCTCATCAAGGGAAGGGAACTTTCAGCATCTCCCCCCCCCTATCTCAATGATGGGAACCGGACAGGCACATTAAATTCTAGCAAGGTGTTGGAAGATGCTTTACTAATGTTTCTGGTACTGACATAAGATCTCTAGAGCGGAGACTGTAGGCCAGTGGCCAATAACATGCTTGCTTGGTGATAGGATGCAACGTGAACAGATCCGGTCCCTGGGCTCTCCGGATCTGGATCCTGGTCCACCGGAGCACCATTTTTCCATCACGGATGCTGAACTGCTAACCAACACCTCGCAAGAGTTAAATCGGTTACGGGAAGACAAAGCCAGCCTGGAGGGACAACTCTATGAGCTACAGATGAAGGTGACTTCACAGTGTACTTTTTGCCCGGAAGGGGAACTTACGAGATATGGCTGGGAAGACCAAGCCTTGAATAGACCTGTCCTGCAGTGCATTCAACATTAGAAAAGAGAAGGATACAGCTTCTAAAGCAGTGGTTCTCAACCTTTTTAATGCCGCGACCCCCAACCGGTCGTAAGTCGAGGACTACTCAACCGGTTGTAAGTCAAGGACTACTCAACTGGTGCAGCACCGTCTGCAGAATGGGACTTTTGGCGGGCTCAGCAGGGCAGAGACAGCCTGGACAATTCCTATTGGCTTTTGAAAGCCAATAGAATTAAACTCTATTCAAGAGAGTCTATTCTATTGGCTTTCAAAAGCCAATAGAATAAAAGGGAGTAGCACAGCTAAGGAAAAGGAGGAAAAAATGGCGGACTGCGTTGTTTGGCGACCCCCATGAAATGGTCGTTCAACCCCAAATGGGGTCCTGACCCACAGGTTGAGAACCACTGGTCAGCTTGGTCTCTGAGAAAAGAATCTCAGGTGTTTCAGACCTAGGAAGGACATCCAGCTTCTGCTTATTGTGCCAGCCTGGTCCATCAGTACCCCCACCTGCGTGAGGGTCTTCCTCCAGCAAGTCTCCCAACTCTCTTCACTGCATGTCAGACATATATTCAAGTTAAGACGTGCCGGATCAAGCCAGCATTGTATCCCACAGGATCAGCTGGAACTCTGTACAAAAGAGAATATAAAATTTTAGTCACCCGCTGTTATCCTCCCACACCTGTTGTTCAGAGGTACCCTATTTCCAAAGATTTTGAAATGTCATTTGAAATATCATGCACCACCTGTCACGTGCTGCAGGAGTTTGACTCTACAGAAGGACTAGAAGCTGGGCAACTGGGAGTTCTAGTTCCATCTTAGGCGTGAAAGCCAGTTAGTGATTTGGGGGTAGTTCCTCTCTCTCTCAGTCTCAACCCAACCCACCTCACAGGGTTATTCTGAGGAAAACAGCAGGAGAGATCACGGTGTTACATCTTGAGTTGTACAGAAATAAAGGCACAAATCTAATCTAATCACAAATACATTGTGTTTTTTTTTTTCCTGTTTCTGTTGCTTTAGGTAAAACTAAGTGAAAAAATGATCTCCGGGACATCTTTTCAGTGAGTACGTCTCCCTCTCCATGGGGTTTATATGAATTCAAATCTTTACTACAGCCAAAAGCCAGAGAGAAAAGATAAAACTGAAAACCGAACAGCTAAGATATCATTAAGTAAAAGTAATACAGGTAGTCCTTGACTTATGACCATAATTGAGTCCAAAATTTCTGTTGCTAAGCAGTTGTTGTTAGTTGCAAAGTCATGTCTGACCCATCGTGACCCCATGGACAACGTTCCTCCAGGTCTTCCTGTCCTCTACCATCTTCTGGAATCCATTTAAGCTCACGCCTGCTGCTTCAGTGACTCCATCCAGCCACCTCATTCTCTGTCGTCCCATTCTTCTCTTGCCCTCCATCTTTCCCAGCATCAGGCTCTTCTCCAGTGAGTCCTTCCTTCTCATTAGGTGGCCAAAGTATTTGAGTTTCAGCTTCAGAATCTGGCCTTCTAAAGAGCAGTCGGGGTTGATCTCCTCCAGGACTGACCGGTTTGATCGCCTTGCAATCCAGGGGACTCGCAGGCGTCTTCTCCAGCTCCATAGTTCAAAGGCCTCAATTCTTTGACGCTCAGCCTTTCTTATGGTCCAACTTTCACATCCATACATTGCAACTGGGAAATGGCCTTGACTATACGTACTTTTGTTGGCAGGGTGATGTCTCTGCTTTTTTAGTATGCTGTCTAGATTGGCCATAGCTTTCCTCCCCAGGAGCGTCTTTTAGTTTCTTGGCTGCAGTCCCCATCTGTGGTGATCTTGGAGCCCAGGAAGATAAAATCTGTCACTACCTCCATTTCTTCCCCATCTATTTACCAGGAATTGAGAGGGCCGGATGCTACTCTTGCTAAGCAGAGTAGTTGTTTAGTGAATTTTGCCCGAATTTTATGCCCTTTCTTGCAACTATTGTTAGTTGAATCACTGCAATTGTTAAGTTAATAACTCGACTGTTAAGTGAATCTCTTTCTTCCCCATTGACTGTGCTTGTCAGAAGGTTGCAAAATGTGATCACATGCAACCGTCATAAATACAAGTCAGTTGCCAAGCATCCCAATTCTGATCACGTGACCAAGGGAATGCTGCAATGGTTGTAAGCATGAAAAACAGGTCACTTTTTCCAGCCTTGTTGTAACTTCGAACAGTCACTAAATGAACTTTTGCAAGTCAAGTACTACCTGTACAGGTGGTGTGTGTGTGTGTGTGTGTGTGTGTGTGTGTGTGTGTTCTCGTGGGGCCAGCCTTCCCCATGGTTATGTGGGTCCCTGTGTCCCCACAAAGCCAGGTTTTGACCCCTTTGCAGAAGGCCAAAAGATTGGGACCATTCCTCAAGATGTTGCACAATGTTTATCACGTTTGCAAAAAGGGTGGGCGGGCAGACCCAGTACTCCCCCACGCAACAACAACAATAACAACAACAAAAATCCCTTTATCTATCCCCTTTCCTAAAAGCACAGAGCCTGAAGAATCTTCAATGGAAGCATTCACAATTAAGCCCAACGACATCATTAAAACGCCGGGGAAACATTCACAAAACTGCATAGGCCGATTGTCCCCAAACTTGTACGTTATTAATGCTTTATTTTGTCCAATCTGGCCAAAAAGGCTGTTCAAGAGGGCTAACAATAAACGCCCACCTAAAATAAAATTTAAAAACACACACACAGAGACACAAAACCTCAGAGCTGATCAGTGCAAACAACACCACCTTATTTGCCTTTATAAACGAGCCAGACCTGGCGGTACAAATGTCAATCTCTCTTTCTTTTAAAAAAATTCTTGAAAGAGAGAGAAAAGGGACCTGGAGAATTCCTGGCGGCAATGAACTTGCCCTCTAGAGGGCGCTCCGGATATCCCAAATCCTCCCCCCCTGCCCCCCCCCCCCGCCATGTAAATTGGAGCACAATGCATTCCTCGGCCCATTCCATTCTTTTAATACAGTCAGAATTCTCCAAACATCAAATGTGACCTATATTTTACTTATGCGGGACTCGGACCAACTCAGCCGAACTTTCCCACGGCCGGCTCGCATATTTCCCCACGATTAGATCACCTATCCTCAACCCCCCACCCATGAAGTAGGGGGATTTGCTCCCTGAAGGAGAAAAAAAACAAACCCCAAAACACCCCTCAACCAGAATGGAGACATAAAAGATGGGCGAGGGTCAAGATGGTGGCGCCTCCTTCCCAGGGTTCTCACCTCCATTTTTTTTTTTTTTTTTTTAGAGAATGTTTCCTCTTGTGTGGGGGAAGTAGGAAGTTTGGGTTTGCAAGTGGCTCAATCAATCGAGGCTCATCCAGGGATGAATCTGAGGTTGCAGACCGAATTGATGAAGCGGCCTTAGGCAGAAGGAAAGCGACAAACCCATCCGCTTGATATCGGCCCTTCCCCTTTTGACATCCCTCCCTCCTTCCTTTCCAGTCTTCCTCCCTCCCTCCCTTCTTCCTTCCTTCCTGCCATCCCTCCCTCCCTTTCCACTCTTCCTTTCTCCCTCCCTCCTCTTCCCCTTCCACCATCTCTCTCCCTCCGTCTTCCTGCCTTCCTCCCCTTCCCTTCCCCTTCCGCCATCTCCCTCTCCCTTCCTTCCTTCCCTTCTGCCATCTCTCCCTCTCTCCCGTTCCACTCTTCCTTTCTCCCTCCCTCTTCCCCTTCCACCATCTCTTCCTCTCCCTCCGTCTTCCTGCCTTCCTCCCCTTCCCTTCCCCTTCCGCCATCTCCTTCTTCCTTCCTTCCTTCCCTTCTGCCCTCTCCCTCTCCCTCTCCCTCGCGTTCCATTCTTCCTTTCGCCCTCCCTCTTCCCCTTCCACCATCTCTCTCTGTCTTCCTGCCTTTCTCCCCTTCCCTTCCCCTTCCGCCATCCCCTTCTCCCTCCCTTCCTTCCCTTCTGCCCTCTCTCCCTCTCCCGTTCCACTCTTCCTTTCTCCCTCCCTCTTCCCCTTCCACCATCTCTCCCTCTCCATCTTCCTGCCTCCCTCCTCTTCCCCTTCCACCATCTCTCCCTCTCCCTCCCTCCCTAGTTTTCCTGCCTCCCTCCCCTTCCCTTCCCCTTCCGCTCTCTCTCCCTCTCCCTCCTTCCCTTTCCAATCTTCTTCCCTCCCTCCCTCCTCCCCCATTTTCAGGGTTATTGGTACTACAGTTCCCACCCTTCCAGACAGCAGGTGGTTGTAATCCAGTGCCTAAGGACTGTAAGAGACCCCGGTTACCATAGGTCAGGGGTAGGCAACCTTGGCTCTTTTGTGACTTGTGGACTTCAACTCTCAGAATTCCTGAGTCAGCCATGCTGAGGGGAAAGGGAGAAGTTTCCAAGCTGAGCCAGGCTGGCTCAGGAATTCTGGGAGTTGAAGTCCAAGAGTCACAAAAGAGCCAAGGTTGCCTAGCCCTGCCATAGGTTTTCTCCAGGGATACGGTTGCGGTTTTGGAGACATCTGAGCTTGAATATGGAACCCAGGCACGCAAAGCAGAAAATTCTAGCACAGAGCCAATTTAGTAGGCATCTCCTCATCACAACTCCATCTCCTTGCTGTCTACTTCCTCCTCTTTTCACTGTCCTTAAATTGACTCAGATTTTGTTCGTCAGATCTTTTGTCTAGGCTGCGGCTTTTCCTCCCATCTCCCAAGGTTATTCTCACAGCCCTTTACAGTGGCTATTCCACAACATCCTTATCTAGGTCCCTTACAAACCAAGTAGCCGCATCGTATGTAACCTTACTGAACATTAAAGTTGGTTGGCTGTTTTCGTGACAATGTGTGGGATGAATCCAGGTTGCTGGGTTAGTTAATGGCTTAAATCAGTGGTGGCGAACCTACGGCACGGGCGCCAGAGGCGGCACTCAGAGCCCTCTCTGTGGGCACACGCGCCATCGCCCCAGTCCTTCAGCTGGGTTTTATAAAACCTTTTCGCTTTAGGCCTCCGCCTCTGTGTGCAAAAATAAAAAAGGTTCAATCAATCAGTCAATTTCAACCTCGCGGGGAAAAAAAGATCTTGCAAAGTTGGAATGGATTGATTGAACTTTTTAGCCCCACTCAGTCTGCTGTTACCACTGCAGCCACGCCCACCCAATGGGCCACACCCACCCGGCACCCGATGATGCATAAGTGGGTTTTGGGTTGCAGTTTGGGCACTCGGTCTCTAAAAGGTTCGCCATCACTGGCTTAAATGTTTCGAGAGATGAGTGAGTTCGGCAGCCAAGGTAAGAGAGTTATCTGTACACAGCTCCAACAACGGGGGGGGGGGGCTCTTTTTAATTCACAGTCCTCTGCCTCCCCCTGTCCCTAGTCTGCTGGAGGGAGACGGCTGGGCTGAACTGAGGAAGCAGCTGCGGGAATTTACCCACGCTACCCAGGTAAGTAAAACTCTTCAAGAATCTGGCAAGGGCTTTTGGGGTGGCATTCTTCCAAGCCCCCTTATTGCTTGATGTGATATTGGTATGGGAGAAAGGCCTTGGGAGACTGGTCAAAGAGATGTTGTGTAATGTCAACCGTCCCACTGCATTTAACAGCAAAGGAAACTCCTGGAACATTTTTTTTTCCCTCCATTCTTACTGAAAAGCCCTATGGGTACAGAAGCAGAAAAGCCAGTCCTGACACTTTTGCACGCAAAAAAAGGATAGGAAAACTTTTCCTTCTCCCCCCCCCCCACCCCCGGACCTCCCACTGTCCATTATCCACCAATCATTTGCACTTGCTTTATTTGGGAAATAGCCAGTCTGCCTTGGAGGTTCCCACTCAATGGCCTTGGGCATGGGTCTGCCTCATGCTTCTAGGCAGCACATTTGCATTCCAGAGTTCCTTCCTAAACCTCCCTTAGATTCCAATGCCTTCCTTCCCCCCCCCCCTCCAGTTACTGTTGTCTGCTTGCGAGCAGGGCTGCATAGCGAGTCAGCCATGACACATAGGGAACAGTAAGATAAGAGATAGCATAGCCCATAGCTGGATAGTGGGCAGATCAAAATACTCAGAAGAGACCCTCCCTAGCCAATTGGGCTGCAAAGGAAGGGGGAAGATTAAAGAGACATGGTGGCGCAGGGGTTAGAATGCAGTATTGCAGACTAACTCTGCCAACCGCCAACAGTTTGATTCTGACCGGCTGAAGGTTGACTCAGCCTTCCATCCTTCCGAGGTTGGTAAAACGAAGACCCAGATTGTTGGGGGCAAATATGCTGACTCTGTAAACCCCTTAGAGAGGCTATAAAAGCACGGTGGAGCAGTATATTAGTCTAAGTGTTATTGCTATCTTCCTTCCTTCCTTCCCAGTGGTTAGAATACAGCACTACAGGCTGACTCTGCCCACAGTCAGAAGTTTGATCCTGACTGGCTCAAGGTTGACTCAGCCTTTCATCCTTCTGAGGTGGGCAAAATGAGGACCCAGATTGTTGGGAGTGATAGACTACATTTATTTGCCAGCCATCTCACCCTGAGGTGACTCTTTAGGACAGCGGTTCTCAACCTATGGGTCGCGACCCCATTTGCGGTCAATTGACCATTTCACGGGGGTCACCAAGCAAGGCTGTCCACTATTTTTTCCCCTTTTCCGGCAGGTGCCTTACCTCCCTTGGGCTGGGCCAGCTGGTGGCACAGCCGGTGGTCGGCCTGCTCTGTCTCTGCCGCTTGCCAGCTACACCTCGGCCGGCGCAGGGGGCGGCACCATGCATGCGCGGCGCTCCCGGGCAGGGAAAGTCCTTGACTTACGACCGGTTGGGTAGTCCTCGACTTACAACCGGTTTAGTCCTTGACTTATAACCGGTTTAGTCCTTGACTTACGACCGGTTGGGGGTCGCGGCATTAAAAAGGTTGAGAACCACTGCTTTAGGATAAAAATGAGGACTGAAAATGGCACACTCAAGAATTTCAAGATTCTGCAACTCTACAATAAAAGTAGGTTTAGTATTTACAATTGGGGCTCAAATCTTCTCCACTGTGAAGGGCTGAGAGGTCTCCTCTACAGACATTAAGTTATTGGCCACCCTTCATGCTTGCTATGTCCCTTCCCACAACGTCAGGTGGAACTGGAAAAGGAGAGAAGCCAGCTGCTGGCCCGGGCAATGGTAGCAGAAGAGCAGGTTGCTGAACTGCAAGAATATGTGGACAAACATCTGGTGAGGTGAGAACCAAAGGCAAAACTTTTCTTTGGGCCTCTAGCGTTGTCAGTTTTCATCCTGAGCTTTCAAAAAATCCAAGATGAAAGCTTCCAGGTCGCTCTGGTTCCCAAATGCTGCAGGAAGATACAGGTTAAATCTTTCCCAGGTGAGTTTTTCCCCCGTCTCCTGCCCTTTGGTCTACTTGATTTATTTTTCACAATAGAAGCTGCTGGGCACCTGGATTTTATCAGTAAAAGTAAGTATAGCGCCCGTTATCTCCTTCCATTGCAGATACAAGCAGGAGATTGTGAGAATGCACAAACTCCTAGGAACTGACGGGTCCCGAGAATTGAGTGCTGGAGCATCTGCGATTCCAGTACTTTTGATGTCCCAAAGGAACCTCAATAAGGAAGTGTAGTTTTCTTGTCAGAATCCTTGCAAATGTTCTCAAGAGGCGCGAGTAACAACTAGGACCCAACATCTGGTACACATTTATCTTCAAGAGATATTAGATTGAAGTCCTCCATAGTAGCCATGTGGGTTCCTGGGTGAAATTTAAGCTTCCAAAATGTGAACGTTTTGTTCAACGCTACTCCAAAATTCTGGAATTTGTCTGTTTATGAAGAGCTTTTGGATATAACACTGTGTATATATACACAGTGTGTGTATAAGAGGTGATTATACATTCTTGGAAGGGCATCCTGTGTAAATGAAACAAAATCTGTCCGCACTTTATTTTGACTTAGTATGGAAACAGAAGATCACATATGATTCCATTTGGTCTATGTTTGATTTGTTGATTAAAAACTGTCTATCGCGATTTATATAAATATAATTTTAGTTTCAGTTCACTTGTCAGTTACTGCATCGTATTAATCTATTTCAACTTTTTCTTAACTTTGCCCTTTCCCTTTTAGATACGCTGTTTATCTTTCTTTTTTCTTTTTAGCACATACTACATATACACGGGCAGTTTTGAACAGTCCATCTCGGCATTTGTAAATACTGTATTCGATTGGTATCACCGGTACAATTTAAGTAAGACTCAATTCAATTATAGCAACAATTAACCAAAAGAATTTAGCACCAACGTTCATTTTATCCTCACAGCAAAGTTGCAAAGTGAGGCAGATCGAGGAAAAATAACCAGCCTAAGACTGTTCACTACGTAACACAAGGAGATGTGAATCCGAGGTTTGGACAGTCAATCCAAATATAACATGAGCTCTTGAATAACCACAAAGAACACATTTCTCGCTGAACTGCATTCTCTTCCATCCCATCCTATTCTGAGTGTCCTTCATCATCTGCTGGTCTTCAGAAATAAGGTCTAAAAAACAGAATTACATTCTCTCTCTCCTGTCCTCCTCCAAGGCTCCTCCACCAACTGCTGGTGTTCCTAGTGAAGTCTAAGAAACTCAAGTCGCTTTCAAAAGTGACCCCCAGCCAAACCGCTTCACAAATGTTATCACTCATGTACACATCTATGCTTGTACAATGTAGGGCAAGGGTCGGCAACCTTAAACACTCAAAGAGCCACTTGGAACCGTTTCCCAGAGAAAACACTGGGAGCCGCAAAACTTGTCTGCACGCGTGGGAGAGGGGGAGCTTGATTGAAGAGTTTAATTAAAAAGAAATAGAGGCTGCTGTGCATCAGTTCTCTCCCTCCCTCTCTCTCTCTCTCTCTCTCTCTGCTGCTGCTTCTTCCTGCTTCCTGCGGAGACACAGCAAAGGCAGGAGCCCCGCCCAATGAGCTTATCAGCTTGTCGGAGAACAGCGTGAGGCCATTCTCTTTTTTACACACACACACACGGGGGGGGGGGGAGAAGGAGAGAGAGAGAGAAGGGAAGCACAAATGCCTCTCTCTGTCTCTGCAAATGGCGGAAAAGGCTGGGAGCTGCAGGAGAAGGCTCAAAGAGCCACATGCGGCTCCGGAGTCGCAGGTTGCTGACCAGTGATCTAGGGGATCATAAATATATTCCTTCTGCCAGCCCACCATTCTCAATGAGGATTGGATTTGAGAAGGTAGGGACCTCACATGCTGCTTGGGACTAATCAGAAAGAAAGGAAAACTGGCACCAAGATCCTTGCAGTTTGCCAATCGGAACAATAAACAGGCACACTGGTCCCAAATGAATGATTTTGCTGACCAATATCCTTTTCTGCTGAATCTTGAAGGGGACAGGAGGGAGAATGGCTTTTTTTTTCTCCTAAAAACCTACCACTCCTCAGCTTAAATAGGCTGTTGTTTCAGCAAAGGAGAAAGGAATCTTCTTAATGGCCCATCAGCCAGCAAAGATGCATTGGGTTGTTGTTGTTGTTGTTTTGAGAAACTGGCATATCCAAGGTGACTTATTCTCACACCGGACTCCCTTCTAGCTCATCCTTCTTCAGTTGCCGGATCATCTTGACATCGTATGCCCAGGCTTGGTTCACACCTTCTCCAGCTGTGTCAGTGTGGGTCCAGTTGGGAAGAGGAAACCGCCCAGCCACCACACGAGCTTCTTCTGGAAGTTCCATCAATAGCTTTTTCTCCAGAAGCATCAGCTAGGAAGAGAAGAGATATCCTTCTGAAGAATCTATTAATCAATAGGGAATAAAGACAGACCAAAAGAAGCAAATATTTGTTGCTCAGGTTGAGCTGTGGGGTCCTTGGTGCTCTCTTAGTGTGCTTGTTTTCTTGCAGACATTTCATGACCCAAACTGAGTAACATCAGTGCTAAAAGGGAGTGGGGTTTGCAGGGAGGAGGTGGAGGAGATCAGAGGAGGAGAACGAGGACTGTGGGGTCTTTGGTGCTCTCTGAGCTTGGTTGTTTTCTTGCAGACCTTTCATTACCCAACTAAGTTACATCATCAAATGATGCTACCTAGTTGGGTAATGAAACGCCTTCAAGAAAACAACCAAGTTCAGAGAGCGCCAAGAAACCTGAAGATAGCTGTGCATGTTCGGCTACAGCTGAAGCTCAAGGAGATAGCATCACCTTTGAAGTGGAGATGAAGTCATGGCTACCAACTTGGCCGGCTTCAAGAAAGGGTTGGAGTATTTCATGGAAGTCCTGGGGTCCCTGGCCCTTAGCCTGTAGGGCAGTAGGACTGATCTTGAAGACCCTCTTCTGGGAGACAAATAGGTTTCTTTCTGTGAGAACCGACCGCTGGACTAGGTGGATCTAATCCAGGAAGGACTTGTTCATATGTATATGTTCATATATTCAGAACAAGAAGCACTGGATGGAAACTTATCAAGGAGAAGACCAGCCTAGAAATAAGGAGAACTTTCCTGACAGCGAGAGAACAATTAATCAGTGGAACAGCTTGCCTTCAAAAGCTATGGATGCTCCATCACTGGAGGATTTTGAGAAGAGACTGGACAACCTTTTGTCTGAAATGGTCTAGGGCAGGGGTAGGCAACCTTGGCTCTTTTATGACTCGTGGACTTCAACTCCCAGAATTCCCGAGCCAACCTGGCTCAGCTTGGAAACCTCTCCCTTTTCCCTCAGCATGGCTGGCTCAGGAATTCTGGGAGTTGAAGTCCACGAGTCATAAAAGAGCCAAGGTTGCCTATCCCTGGTATAGGGTCTCCTGCTTGAGAGGGGGCTGGACTAGAAGACCTCCCAGGACCCTTCCAACTCTGTTATTCTGCTCTGCTCTAAGCAATCATTTAGTTCTTCAGTTGCTACAAATATCCTCTTATTTCACTTCGCTCACTATCTGAGGTCTTGAGGAACCTCCATCCTTTTAGCCTTCTAAACGAGGACCTGGCTCTTCCCCCAGGAATTGGGATGGAATGGGATCAAGCTGGGACCTTGTTTGGTCTGTCACATGGGGGAGGAGGCTGGTTTTGCTTTGAATCTTTGCTTTTACGGCTGGTTGCGAGTGGCCTAGAATCCTGATGGGAGGCCATATAAATCCTGTACATAAATAAACTCACATGCCATGCTAAGCCATGGTTTGCTGAATAGCCACCCTGCGTGGGTGCACATGTATCACTAGGCTAGAATCCATGATTTAGAAACTCAGCAGGGATGGCTTCAGAGAACATATTCAGATAAATCGGCACAATTTGATGGCTACGGGGCAGGACATGGAAGACGCAGACTTCGGGGAAGGACATTTGAGGGTCAGCAACCAGAAGCCCCGAGGAAGAGTCTGCCTTTCACACCCCAAAGGCACTCGTGCCCCCGACTAAATTAAACCAAACATACCCGACTTTTACCAAGGCGAAAGGCCACATCTCCTGAGCGTTCCCTGTTGCTCGGGGTTAGAAGTTTATACATTCATTTTTCGTTTATTTAAAAACTATCCTCCATCTGCTATCATTTGGCAGATCCAGAGGTCCCCCTCCTTTCAAAGAAAAACTTAACTTTGTTTTGTTTTGTTTTGTTTTAAAAAAGAAAGCCTGTTTCTTCCTGGAAAGAACAACAACGACGAAAATACTCCGCTGATTTGCAAACAGGATTTGCTCTTATTTCAGGGAGTCCTCGACTTAGCGACCATTCGTTTGGTGACCGTTCAAAGTTACGGCGGCACTGAAACAACTGACTCATGCAACTCGGGCTTATGACTACAGATAGTTCTCCACTTACGACCCCACTTGAGCCCCAAATTTCTGTTGCTAAGGGAGGCAGGTGTCAAGGGCCTCATTTTACGACCTTTCTTGCTACAGTTGTTAACTGAATCACTGCAGTTGTTAAGTTAGTCACCCGGTTGTTAAGTGAATTTGGCTTCCCCATGGACTTTGTTTGTCAGAAGGTCATAAAAGGGGAAGACGTGACCCCAGGAAACAGCAACCGTCATAAATATGAGTCAGTTGATCATGTGACCATTAGGGATGCTGCAAGGGACCTAAGTGTGAAAAATGATCGTTAAGTCACTTTTCTCAGTGCTGTTGTAAGTTTGAACGGTTGCTAAACGAACGGTTATTAAGTCGAGGGCTACCTGTATTGTAGCATCCCCATAGCCATGTGATCAAAATTCATATAAGTCTAATATAAAAATAATAACTCCCCAGCTAGTCAGATATCCAGGCTGTCTGGGTCCATTTCATTGACAGTGGCTACGGTCTAATCCAGTGATGGCAAACCTTTTAGAGACCGAGTGCCCAAACTGCAACCCAAAACCCACTTATGCATCGTCCGGTGCCAGGTGGGCGCGGCCCATTGGGTGGGTATGGCTGCGGTGGTAACGGCAGACTGGATGGGACTAAAAAGTTCAATCAATCAATCCCAACTTTGCGAGATCTTTTTTCTCCATGTGAGAAGTTGAAATTGATTGAACCTTTTTTTTTCCCACACGGTGGTGGAGCCCTAAAGTGAAAAGGTTTTATAAAACCCAGCTGAAGGCCTAGGACTGGGGCAACGGCACGCGTGCCCACAGAGAGGGCTCTGCATGCCAGCTGTGGCACGCGTGCCATAGGTTTGCCACCACGGGTCTAATCATTTTCTTTTGCTTTTGTTTTGTTACACGCCACACTTTACCACATCAGTTTTGTAATCGTTATGTTTTACTGCGTTTCTCCCATTCTATTTTGGACTTTGTTCTCGAACTGATCAGCGACAGTAATAATATTTACTGTCACCACAAACAGGGCAATTCACCACCACGACCCCCGCCTGCAGTTTTTGGAGAAAAACCTCTCTCTTCTGGAGAAATATTATACATACCACACTAGGGGCCAGGAACACGGCTACATTCTGACAATCGGATAAGTTCACCTTTAAAAAAAAAAGAAAAAGACAAAACATAAAATAGAAAAAAAAATAGATGACTTTCGTGCAATGTTTAAGGCCGTTTCCATTAAAAAGATCTGGAGCAATCAGGGGAAAAAAAATCTTTCTTGGTCCAACTCACTGGGTGGGTCTTCGCATTTAACTCACAAGCCATCAATAATATTGGCTTGGCTCTGGCTCAGAGGGCTGTAGAAGCCAAGAGATTTTGGTCTGCAAAGGAGAGCTTTGGGAGTTTGAATTCAGCCAAGTGTAATTCGTTCAAGAAGCTGAAGCCAAATAAACCACAACGCAGCACCCTGAGTCATTTAGTTGTTGCAAAGACTGATCAGGATGTATACTTCACAGACAGGACTGTCTGGAGAACGTGGGTGCAAACAATTGTAGGCGTTGGACAAGACTCCCAAGAGCAGCCTGGACGGGCAAGGAAACGCACAAATGGATCAGGGAAGAGATCAAGCCATAATTTTCATTGGAGACGCAAATGACAGGTCAGGCTGTCACATTTGGGGCACATCATGTGAAGACCCATCTCTCTTGAAAAGTCCATAATGCTGGGAAGGGAAAGGGAAATGGGAAGGAAATGGAAGGGGAAATGGAAAGGAAAGAGAAGGGAAAGGAAGAGGAAATGGAAGAGAAAGGGAAAGGAAAGGGGAAAGGGAAGGGAAAGGAAAGGAAGAGGAAATGGAAAGGAAAGGGACAGGAAAGGGAAGAGAAAGGGAAGCAAAAGGGGAAAGGGAGAGGGGAGGGGAGGGGATGAAAGCAAAATATGTGCCTATCTGTAATTTTTTTAAACAGATGTGCCCTTCCATAGCTGCCCTGATGTGCAATCCCACGAAAAGATGTGCTCGAACAAAGAGGTTTTATTCCAGGGGCACAAACGTTATGAGTGAACACAGATAGTCCTTGACTTACAACAGTTCATTTAGCGACCATTCAGAGTTATGACAGCGCTGAAAAAAGCGACTTAGGACCGCTTTTCACACTTATGACCTTTTAGAGCAGCAGTTCTCAACCTGTGGTCAGGACCCCATTTGGGGTCGAACGACCATTTCACGGGGGTCACCAAACAACGAGTACACCATTTTTTCCCCCCTTTTCCTTAGCTGTGCTACTCCCTTTTAATCGATTGGTTTTTGAAAGCCAATAGAATAGACTCTCTTCAATAGAGTCTAATTCTATTGGCTTTCCAAAGCCAATAGGAATTGTCCAGGCTGTCTCTGCCCTGCTGAGCCTGCCAAAAGTCCCATTCTGCAAACGGTGCTGCACCAGTTGAGTAGTCCTCGACTTACAACCGGTTGAGTAGTCCTCGACTTACGACCGGTTGGGGGGGGGTCGCGGCATTAAAAAGGTTGAGAACCACTGTTTTAGAATATCCCCAGGGTCACGTGATCCAAACTCAGGTGCCTGGCAACTGGTTCATACTTAGGACTGTTGCCATGTCTCAAGGTCACGTGACCCCCTTTTGCCACCTCTGAACAGGCAAAATGGGGCAGCCAGATCCACTTAACAACCGTGTTACTAACTTAACAACTGCAGTGATTCACTTAACCACAGGAAAGGTTGCAAAATATTAACAAATGTCTCACTTAACAGAAATTTTGTGCTCAAATTTTTGATCATTAAGTCAAGGACTGCCTGTACACTCAAACTGGGTTTCGATGTCCTGGCGTTACGTTCAGAATTCCAAAGTCTTTTTCTCACCTTCCAAAGGTCTTCCTTGTAGTAAGAAACCTTTCCATAACACCCAGCTTTCCACGCCCGATAGCTGGAAAGGCGCAACAGCCACGGATTGAGTTCATAGCCAACAGCTGGCCTGAAACCTTGTTTGTAAGCTTCCAGGACCTGCAAATATAGACCAGGTTTGTTTATTTCCTAGTTCCCTCAGAAACAAAGGGATCTGCTTTCCAGGAGATCAAACAATCCATCTTAATCTAGTTTTATTCTGATTTGACTGCAGCTCTCTTAGGATTCGGGGGAAAGAGACATCTTCGTCTCCATCTTCTAGTTAATTTTTAATTGGGAATATCCAGAAGTGAACCTCAAAGCTTCAAATGGTGTCATCTTCCCATTTTTAACAGAGTTTGGGAGAAGGTTATGATCTCAAAAGAGCACCAAAAATCACACAATACAGTAACAGAACAAACCCACAGAAGAAAAAAGCCAACATCACTGAAATACTACGCACAGCTCTGAAATGATGCCATTTCTGTGGCAAAATAAATGTAAAATATTAAATATCAAAATAAAATAAAATGACATTTGTAGGATAACGAGCAACAGGGCAAAGTAAACTTCACCAGCCTGCAACTGATTTTAGGGCACGCAAAAGAAGCTTTTTTTTAAAAAAAAAATAAAAATAAAAATTTAAAAGGTTAAAATACAAAATTACAATTAAAAAAAGGAAAGGTGCGGATCAACAGAAAAAGTTTTTTAAATGGCCTAAAACCACAAAGTAAGTAAATAAATAAATGTTTCTTTCCACTCTTTTCAATACGGATACGGTTACCTCATAAAAGGCACTTTTATTTTCAGTTTAGCAAAAGAAAAAAAAAGATACAAAACTAAAAATATAAAGATATACAAATGAAATAATAACAACAACAAATGTATAACATCATCAGCAAAAGAAGATTTTCCAAGAATCAGGGGTCATGAGGAAAATCAGAAAAGCAGGTCAGACTCAAGATATCCTGGCCAAGCCAGAGGTGAGTAAACTTTAGCCACAATTTTCTGTTTGAAGCCTGCATCACCCTTTGTTTGCACACACACACACACACACACACACACACACACACAAATTTCAGCCTCATGGTTTCCTATCGTTTTTCAGGCAGAAACCAGTATAAAATGCTTAAAATGGTTAACTAAAAAAAAAGAAAACTCTCTCAAAACTCCTATCAAGAGAGACCCCAAAAACACCCATTCCCTCATGCTCATAATACAGGTAGTCCTTGACTTCTGACACAACTGAGTCCAAAATTTCTGTTGCTAAGCGAGACAATAGGTGAGTTTTGTCCCATTTTACGACCGTCCTTGCTACAGTTGTTAAGTGAATCACTGCACTTGAGAAGTTAGTAACACGGTGGTGAAGCGAATCTGGCTTCCCCCACTGACTTGGCTGGTCAGGTCACAAAAGGGGAAGACGTGACCCTGGGACGCTGCAATGGTCGTAAGTATGAACCGGTTGCCAAGCATCTGGATCTTGATCACCTGACCATGGGGATGCTGCAAAGGTTAGGGTTAGGGTGAAAAACAGTCACTTTTTTCAGTGCCGTTGTAATTTTGAACGGTCGCTAAATGAACTGTTGTAAGTCAAGGACTATCTGAATTATACAGTGGTGGGCAGACTTTTCCTAAATGTACTATGCAGATAGATTTGTAGTACAGATAGTCCTTGGGGGCCGTTTACTGAACCCCAAGTCACTGAAAAAAGGATTTACAATCGGTCCTCATACTTACGGCTGTCACAGCCGTGTGATCACATGATCAAAATTTGGGTATTTGGCAAGTTAGTAACCCGGTTATTAAGTGAAGCTGGCTTCCCCATGGATTTTGCTGGTCAGATGGTCGCACGAGGGGATCACGTGACCCCGGAATGCTGCCACCGTCAAAGATAGGAGTCAGTTGGCCAAGCGTCCGAATTTTGATCACCTGACCCTGGGGAGGCTGCAACGTTTCGGTGAAAAATGGTCAGAAGTCACAGTTTTCAGTGCCACTGTAACTCTGAACAGTCACTAAATGGACTGTTTGTAAGTTGGGGACTACATTTATAAGGCTGCCCTGCTTGCATCATCACTCTTACAATGCTCTGCTGTTCTCTGGATGAAGTTCAGTGCCTGGCTGGGGACATCACAAGCTCCTCTGTGAGCAGCAAAGGATCTTTTCCACATAGAATCAAGATCAGGTGAAGTGTTAATACCACTTTACAAGGCCTTGGTAAGGCCACACTTGGAATACGGCGTCCAGTTTTGGTCACCACAATGTAAAAAAGATGTTGAGACTCTAGAAAGAGTACAGAGAAGAGCAACAAAGATGATCAGGGGACTGGAGGCTAAAACATATAAGGAACGGTTGCTGGAATTGGATATGTCTAGTTTAATGAAGAGAAGGACGAGGGGGGACATGATAGCAGCCTTCCAACATCTCAGGGGCTGCCCCAAAGAAGAGGGAGTCAAGCTATTCTCCAAAGCGCCTGAAGGCAGGATAAGCAACGGATGGAAACTAATCAAGGAGAGAAGCAACCTAGAACTAAGGAGGAATTTCCTGACAATTAGAACAATTAACCAGTGGAACAACCTGCCTCCAGAAGCGGTGAATGCTCCAACACTGGAAGTTTTTAAGAAGAGACTGGACAGCCATTTGTCCGAAATGGTATAGGGTTTCCTACCTGAGCAGGGGGTTGGACTAGAAGACCTCCAAGATCCCTTCCAACTTTACTACTACTACTACTACTACTACTACTACTACTACTACTACTATCTTTTATGAGCAAAACAAGGACTTCCCATATTCAAAGTCTCAGAGGAACCCAGTAAAGCAATGAGGTTTTTCTTACAATTCTGCCATCCCCCGAGCCCAGATCTACGATCTTCCCCGAACGTCCTTTGAACAACCGCATGACGTTTTTGACTTGTTGAGCGCTTGCTGGGATGTAGGGGACCTAAAAGAGAAAAGAGAAAACCGGTATTCTATCCTGGAGTAAATGTCTAAGGAGATTCTCAAACCCATTTTCTCCCTGGCCTGCACAATTCAGCGCCACGCTCCCCTTAAAAAGTCTCATTCAGTTATTTAGTTTTTACCTGCAGTTTTAAGGGCACTTTGCGAAAACCCGGCATAAGAATTCCTGCCCATACGATATAGGCCGTCAAGCCGGTGCCGGCTGCAATTTGCAAAACATTCCAACCGTCCATTTTCTTGCCTTGCAATTCAGCGGCCACTTCTTCAGCATCTTCCGGATCCATCTCTTCTGTAAATGAATTCCATTTAATTCAGTGGGGTTTACCACTACAGTTGTCAATTAGAAAGCTGGACCATAAGAAAGGCTGAGCGCCAAAGAATGGAGGCCTTTGAACTATGGCAAATTTAGACAGCATACTAAAAAGCAGAGACATCACCCTGCCAACAAAAGTATGTATAGTCCAGGCCATGGTTTTCCCAGTTGCAATGTATGGATGTGAAAGTTGGACCATAAGAAAGGCTGAGCGCCAAAGAATGGAGGCCTTTGAACTATGGTGCTGGAGAAGACTCCTGCGAATCCCCTGGACTGCAAGGCGATCAAGCCGGTCAATCCTAGAGGAGATCCACCCTGAAGTTGAAACTCAAATACTTTGGCCACCTAATGAGAAGGAAGGACTCACTGGAGAAGAGCCTGATGCTGGGAAAGATGGAGGGCAAGAGAAGAAGGGGACGACAGAGAACGAGGTGGCTGGACGGAGTCACTGAAGCAGCAGGCGTGAGCTTAAATGGATTCCAGAAGATGGCAGAGGACAGGAAGGCCTGGAGGAACGTTGTCCATGGGGTCGCAATGGGTCAGACACGACTTCGCAACTAACAACAGCAACAAAGTTAATTCAATGCGAAGGTTGCAGTTTTAGTTGTCCTGAACATTCTTCCCCCCCCCCTTTCCATATGGGGTTTGAAGGGCAAACCACAAGGACTTTGTAATGTGTTAGCTAACATAATTACTTTATGTTTTGATTTCACTTTTCTATCTTTTAAAATGGTGATAAGGTTTTACAAAACCATTAGACTGGCATGTAGGAAAACTTCCTATTCTATGGCTGTATGGATTGATTAGATAGCTTCTAACATCCCTAAACTGAAAAGATAAAAGTTACACAGAAGGGTGGCTGGATACCAACTCCTGATAAGAAAATGTTTTTTAGCATCAACTGGCATTTGGTTATCTACAGCCTTTCTGGTTGATTTACTGTGCAAAGGAAGGGTTACTTTTATCTTGTTCTCTTTCCTCTTTCATTTTTTTCTTTGTTATGTTAACTATAAAAGGGGATGTAAGCTAAGGATGGACCAATGTATGGCTGTGAAAGTTGGACCATAAGAAAGGCTGAGTGCCAAAGAATTGAGGCCTTTGAACTACGGTGCTGGAGAAGACTCCTGCAAGTCCCCTGGACTGCAAGGCATTCAAACCGGTCAGTCCTAGAGGAGATCAACCCTGACTGCTCTTTAGAAGGCCAGATCCTGAAGTTGACACTCAAGTCCTTTGGCCACCTAATGAGAAGGAAGGACTCACTGGAGAAGGGCCTGATGCTGGGAAAGATTGAGAGCAATAGAAGGAGGGGATGATAGAGAATGAGGTGGCTGGATGGAGTCACTGAAGCAGTAGGTGTGAACTTAAACAGACACCAGAAGATGGTAGAGGACAGGAAGGCCTGGAGGAACGTTGTCCATGGGGTCACGATGGGTCGGACACAATTTTGCAACTAACAACAACAAAGCTAAGGATCAGGGTTTCCTCTTTAAATGAGAGGAATCCCTTTTGTCTGAATATTCTGATAAATTGTTATAAAATGATCTTCCCGTCTCAGTCTGTCTCATTGGAAAATATGCGTGCCAAGACATTTGGCATTTAAGTCGCACATCTAGTTAAAATTCCCAGGGACCCTGCAAACACATTCAGGCCACTGCACGGAACACATTTTCTTTTGCAAATCAAGATTTGACTATTTAATTGGAACCCCCAAAACAGATCGTTCAGTAAGACTTCTGGACGACAGGCAAGCAAAACATTTGCTACATTGTTCATCCTGCCAACAGTATAAAGCACCACAATAAACAACCCTGAGCCTCACCTGAACCCCTCTCAGCCCGTCCTACTTTGCAGGGCTGTTTGCCAGAGGGGAGGAGAACAATATGGTACCCCCTCCCCCCTTTAATTGCCAAGAATGCCTGCCATTCTCCGTGCCCAGGACGGAGCATGCAACTTGTATTCGGCACAATTGCAACATGGACGGTCCAAGCAATAAAATAACGCAGAGGGAGAAGGTTGTGTTCCTGGGCATGGGCAGAGTGCATGCCCCAGCTGGGGACAAGAAACTGATTTGCATCCACACAAAGAGGCGGCTCCTGCAAATTAGCACCCAGAAGCCCGCTTGGTCTCCCCCGTTCCCGCTTTCTTTTTAAATGCAAAGAGTCAAGTCTCTGTCTCCCACCCCCTGCAAAAAAAACTCCCTCTCCCCCCCCTCCCCGACCCCTTCCCACGCTTCTCCATCCAGACCCGCTTCACCTACTACGGAGAAGGCACTGCCTCGGGAGCCACGTGGCTCACCTTCCTGGGGAGCCGCGCGCCGCTCGGACGCTCCGTGTGGAAACGAGCGACCCGGGTAGCTTCCGTTCCCGTGTCTTTTCCGAGTGGAAAGGTTGCAGATCCGCGGAGCTTGGGGGAAAAGTTGCGCGCGTGGGTCGCTGGCTGCAGAATTGCAGGCTCCCCCGGGGGTTGCAGAATTGCACGGCCTCCCGGCTGCGTCCTTGCTCAGTATTTGGCGCAGCGTTGCATTTAATAGATTTAGTAACTGATTTACTGACCGAAGAGAGAAGCAACCTGGAATTAAAGAGAAACTTCCTGACAGGGAGGACAATTAACCAGGGGAACAACCTGCCTCCAGTAGCGGTAAATGCTCCAACACTGGAAGTTTTTAAGAAGAGACTGGACAGCCATTTGTCCGAAATGGTGTAGGGTTTCCTGCCTGAGCAGGGGGTTGGACTAGATGACCTCCAAGGTCCCTTCCAACTTTATCATCATCATTATTATTATTAACCAGTGGAACAACCTGCTCCAGAAGCAGTGAGTGCTCCAACACTGGAAGTTTTTAAGAAGAGACTGGACAGCCATTTGTCTGAAATGGTATAGGGTTTCTTGCCTGAGCAGGGGGTTGGACTAAATGACCTGCAAGGTCCCTTCCAACTTTATATTATTATTATTATTGTTGTTGTTATTATTATTAATCTACCTTATATCTATCATATCTTATCTCTTTCCTTCTCTCTATACGTATAATCTATAACTATGTATCTGTTATCTCATATCTATCATATTTTATTCTCTATCATCTATCATGACAATAACCTGTCTGAGATGGTATGGGGTCTCCTGCTGGAGCAGGGGGCTGGACTAGAAGACCTCCAAGGTCCCTTCCAGCTCTATTCTATTCTTCTTCTTCTTACAATCACAATCAAACTATTACTATACTGTCATAAAAGCCTAAAACAAACAACTATCTCTAACTTTTATTAGTTCAATTTGCAATACTGTACAACGAGCCCGGCCATTCTCAGCATGAAGCAATCTGCTTTATTGAACAAATAGGTTTTAGAACCCTTGACGTGTACAGGAGTCCTTAAATTAATTGACCGCAATTGACCCCTAAGTTTCAGTTGCTAAGTGAGAGATTTGTCCACTGAATTTTCAGTTCCTGACCTTCCTTCCCACGGTTGTTAAGTGAGTCACTGCAGTGGATAAATTAGTCACACGGTTGTTAAGTGAATCCGGCTCCCCCCCATTGACTTTGCTTGTCAGAAGGTCGCAAAAGATCATGTGACCCCGGGTCACGGCCACCGTCATACATACATGCCAGTTATCAATTCCCCAAATTTTGGTCACATGATTGGGGATGCTATCATGGTCATAAGTGCAAGGATCACTTCTCAGTCGCTCTTCACTGCTGTTGCAACTTCAACAGGTCCCTAAAACGGGTCCCCAACCCCCAGTCCGTGGACCAGTACCACGCACTCTCCTGTCCACGGAAAAACCTCTCCACGGAACCGGTCCCTGGTGCCCAAAGGATGGAGATCTCTGCTTTACAAGCATGGCTGTTGTAACTATTGGCTGCATTTGCCCTTCACACTAAGCTAGCAATTTAAGGATGGTTTAACGCCCTGGCATTGCCCAGTTCAGGGGTCCCCAACCCCCAGGTCTGTGGGCTGGTACCAGGCCGTGGCATGCCAGCAACCGGTCCGCACACACAAGCAAAGCCCCATCCACAGGATGCAGGCAGCACACAAAACCACACACCCCCTCCGGTCCACAGAAAAACCTCTTTCCAACCCTGGTGTCCCAAAAAGTTGGGAACCTCTGCGATAAACAAATGGTTATACCTGAAAATCAACTTGAAGATCAGCCGATGCCAACAAGATCCAGTAAATCCAATTATAGGGGGAAATTAGAAGGAAATTCTGCCCCTAGTCCCACGGCCCAGTTTTTCTCTGACCTGTTGGGTCAACAGCGGAAGTAAGAATCCCAGATTCATATTTGTCTGACTGCAGTGGCTAAGATCAGGCGGGTTCAGAACGATTGCCCTCCCCTGATCCTTAGTCCTCCTAAGAGTAATGATGCAAAGTTACTTTTTCCATGCAGAAATTCCACATCCTGGGGTGCTCCGTTTATATTCTGGCTGCTGACCTTGGACCCCAATGTTTATTTGCATAGCGTGGGATGAAGGAGTGTTAATTCAAAGAGGCTGAACAGCAGGATATCGCACCACGTAGATGCCTTTAGTGCCTTGTTGGGTGATGGATGTTTTTTTGGGAGATGGATGTTTTTCTTTCCTCTGACCTGGGGATCATATTGTCCACGTGGCCCAAAATGCCTGATGCCAAGAGCTGTGATGTACATTAGCACTTGCTCTCTCTCTCTCTCTCTCTCTCTCTCTCTCTTTCTCTCTCTGCTTTCCTCTCGCTTTCCTCTCCTTCCCCCTCTCTGTCTCTGTTTCTCTCTCTCTCTCTCCCTCCCTACCTCTATCTCTACCTTTACCTCCCTCCTCTGTTTTTGCAAGCTAGATTTTGTTCTTAAGCATGTTGGCTTGTTTCAACTTCAAGAGACAATAAGAGAGAAATCAAGGCAGTCCTGTCTATAAAAGACTGGAATGGAAAACAACTGCTTGACGGGCTAGAGATGAGGGGTAGCCCAGTCAAGAGGCAGAACCCAGAGTAGCCACAGAAACAAATATTTGTAGCTCAGGGTTCAGCTCAGTTGCTCGCTGAGCTTGGAGATGTTTCATTATCCAGCCTGGTAACATCAGCAGTGCTAGGAAGGAAGGGGGTTTGCAGAATGGAGGAGAAAGGGAATGGGAGAAAGAGAGAAAGGGAGGAGGAGATGGAAGAGAAGGAGAAGACTCTGGGATCCTTGGTAATCTCTGACCTTGGTGGTTTTCTTGCAGAGTTTTATTACCAAACTAGGTAACATCATCAATGCTAGAGAGGAGTGGTGAGGAGGAGGAGGAGAAGAAGAAGAAGGAGAAGGAGGAGGAGGAGGAGACTGTGGGACTCTTGCTACTCTCTGAGCTTGGCTGTTTTTGCAGACATTTCATTACCTAACTATGTAACATCATCAGCACTAGAAAGCAGTGGGGTTTGCTCTTTGTTTATATACAGGTGCCAATAGAAGAGAATATTTGTAGCTCAGGATTGAACTGAGCTGAAATCCACGCAATTTAAAGTCGCCAAGATTGAGGAATCCTGCATTAGAGAAACCCAACAGATGTTCTAAGGCAGGCAATGTGGTCCAGTCAGCTCCCCCCCCCATCCATTTTCATGCATTTCTCTTCCATCCTCACTCCAACTTTTATCCTTACCCCCAGGACTGTGTCCAGCCTCCAGCAGGATATGCAGAACAGCTGGATCTGTGAGCGTGGAATCATACCTCCTGCCCGAGACATTTTTGTTTTTTATTTTTTAAAAAAGGAAGGGGTTCAGTGCCAACCACGGTTCTAGTTTCAGTGAGAAGATTTGAGCTTTCCGGAAAAATGAGAGCATCACGGACGAATTTTTCCACCTACGCACGTTCACGGCGTGGAAAGTCTGGTTTATATCAGGAATGTGCAACTGATATCAATTCCAGAATCGTACCAGTCACGGATTGACACCCGCGGGGCTAGGATCCGAAGGAGGCACAGCTAATTTTTATAGCTTGCATTGCTATTTTTTTTTATATAAAGCCATTATTTTCCCAAGCAAACTTGCCAAAGCAATAAACTTGGATCTACCAATTGAGGGTGTGCAGATCCCTAAGGGAATTCTGGATTTTCCTGAACATTCAAGAAAAGCGGCCTCACAAGCAATGCCTGTCTTTTGCTTTACAGATAGTCCTCGGCTTACGATCACATTTGAGCCCAAAATTTCTTTTGCTAAGCAAAACACTAAGCGAATGTTGGCCTATGTTACAATCTTTCTTGCCCAGTTGTTATGAATCACTGCAGTTGTTAAATCAGTAACACAGTTGTTAAGTGAATCTTTGCTAAGTGCCTTGTCTCCACTGCTCCTTGCTGTACAGCGCCCCAACAATTTCCCAGAAAATCTGGACACACACACACACAAATGCACACAATTTTTTAGTAAAGAATTTTTTTTACAAAATCAGAACGTGAAAAATATAGAAGACAAGTGAGAAAGCATTGAAAACAATAGAAAGCCAAAAGAAAAACAATACTTAAAAGAATAGACTTCTGGTTTTTTTTACAGCAGTGAAATACATACTTAATACCTTAATACCCCTTGCCCCACTCAAAAATTACAGAATGTAGATCCCTTCTCCCCCATCTACGTTTTTATTCAGTAAATCCAGATGTCTTTTTTTTCTATTTTCAGCAAAAGGTTTGCAGTCTTTTATAAAAAAAAAAGTATTTATATATGTGGACAGCAGCAAGTCTCTTTTATGCACAAAAATGGAAGGAACTAATCAAGCAGAGAGAACAATTAACCAGTGGAACAACCTGCCTCCAGAAGCGGTGAATGCTCCAACCCTGGAAATTTTTAAGAAGAGACCGGACAGCCATTTGTCTGAAATGGTGTAGGGTTTCCTGCCTGAGCAGGGGGTTGGACTTGATAAATCCAAGGTCCCTTCCAACTTTATTATTATTATTATTATTTCGATCCCCACAAAGGACGAACGGCTGCAAAAACTGATGGAGTTAGCAGAGATGGCTAAATTGACTGCTTTGATTAAAGAAAAAACAGAAGTACTTTTGTTTCTGGTTGGAAACCGCTTCTGGACTTTGTGCTTGAGGTGGAAAAAAAACCCCAAACTTTGATTTTGGGTTTTAATGATTAGATAGATCTGTTGTCATAGAAATGGCTAGTTTATATACCATTATGTAAAAGTAAAATGTTGAGGTTTGATGTTACTATTTTATTCTGTTGCCCC